TTACAACCGTTAAGCCGTTCGCACGCAACTGAAGTATTTTTATAGGTTGACATAACTGCAGTAGGTGTTCATTGGGTCTGCTTTCATTGTCCGTTCTAACTGCGAGTAAGCCCTTAAAGGCTTAAATCTTATTAAAGGGAGCCTTACTTTATGGGATAAGGTTTAATTAATATTTTGCGTTGCAAAACTCTTTATTATTACAAATATTGGATTAAAAAAACGTGTCAAAAATTAAAAATGGGCGAGCTTTGCCACTTACAACGCAAACCAGATAAGGTCATGACTGCTAAAACAAAACGCCGTCAGCGTTGTTTCATTTGATAAAACAATGAGATTATCATTACCAACTGATAATTGGGCAAAAAAGGAGATAGCTGTATCATTTTACGAGATATGAAAGCAGTAATATTGATTATGGTATAAGCTGATATATTTAGTATATTTTTCATTAGAACATTCCAGTGGCGGGAAAGTTACGCCGCGTGGTAGTTGTCGCCTCACTGCCAAATAAAGTAAGTATTTTGACAAATTTTGGTTATGGTTATAATAGATATATTGAAAACCACATACAAATAAGAATCAAATAGGCAGGGCATACGTGTTAAGAGTTTGACACGCCATAAGGCACAAATTGAAGACCACAGTATATTTTTCCGAAAAATATTATTCGCATACAAAATACACCCTTTAGCGAGTATTTTGTATAAATTAGGTTCACAAACCTTAAAATTCTCCGATGAAAGCTTCAAATGTCTCTCCAAAAATATATTCGCATATATTTTCAAAACTATAAAACGTAATACACACTAGCTTTCGCGTCTTTATTTACCCATAGATAGTTTGTGCTATTCACGTTTTGTGTGTGGCGTGGATGGCCATTTCGACGTAGGCTACTCTTAATGTTAAACTACTGTAAAGTACTATTTGCTGTCAAGTATGGCCAGCATGAGTTTTATAAACTACATATTGCACGTGAGATAGAACTTTATTAGTATGGGTCCTTGTGAATGAATTGCTCGAATGCATGAAAAGCTTGCGTCGTGAACATTCTAGTTATTTCAGTTTAATGCTTTCTTACGGTACTGCTTATCTTTAGATTCCGATGCCACGGGTTGTGTTCGAGAACCACCTAAGGAAAGTATTCGTATCAAAGTCAAATAATCTTTATTCAATAGAGGCTTCACTTAAGTTCTTATTGAACGTTAACAAAAAATCTACCACCATATATCTACAACCATGTATGACCTAGAGACATTTTATTCGGATTTAGGTGATTACGTCAGTTAGGTTACGGTTTGGTTTACAACTCCTCTACACAGTAACAGGTATGACTTCAGTATTTAAAAAACGACCCCAAAACTTAATTTTTTAGTGTCGTAATCAATGAGTTGGTTTACTACGGTCGTCGTTCAGTCGTAGGAACTACAAATCAGCTTGTTGGAAATTAATATTAGAAAGTGTTTTACGCAAAGGGAAAATGTTAACTGTTCTGCTTTTTTATATATTTTTATTATATATACGATTTATTTCAATACAATCCACGTTAAAATTATTCATTTTATCATATGTATTTCGAATAATGTTAGGTACCAATGATGTAGGCATTATTCTCATAAAGATAACAATTATCATCGCTGACAAATCCTTGTATATAAGAGATTATCAGTTTTATGATTAATGACAAAACATTTGAACACTATTAGTCGTTTCAAAATATGACCAATGAAATATTTTATTATGAAACTGTATGAGCTATCTGAAATCATTGTCGTTATAAAACGATATTTGAAATTATTTTTCTGTTGTAAAGGAGATAATAATAGATGTGCCGTTGCTTAAAATGAAAAAAAAAAAAAAAAATGTAGATAAAACAGGTTAAGATTTACATCGGTATGCCAAACAGATTGTTTAGCATAGTCGTCTGGGCGCAAATCTCGGGTTCTGTTCCCACAGCGGAGAAACACTTTTGTCTACAAATTTTAAAGTTTCATCTAAAATGCGGAGATTAGCACTATGAAAATTAGAATTTCTTGGAAGATGATTAAAATGCATCCGATTCACAAAGTAACGAGGTAATTCCTATTGACATAATCTCTGTAGTCTCGAAGATAATGTCTCCATCAAATATAGGCTCATTAGATACGATACGTACAAATGAGCACTGATGGTACAGGGAGTTGAAATGTGAGGGGTAAGCTTGGAAATTAAAAGCACTCTATCAGATTTGCAAAGCACTTCTATCTAAGATCTCTTTTTTTGAACTTTCTGAGAATATTGTGAAAACGAATACGTGAAACTCACGATGCTGTGTACTCCCTTTTGCAGCTGCGACTCTATATATACAAAGCGCAGGTTATTTATTTATTTATTTAGTCTTTAATTCATTTCCTTTAATACGGAACACAATAGGCGGACTTAATGACTTAAGGCATTCTCTGCCAGTCGACCTATGATCTTTAGGCAGGTGCAATAATAAAATTAATAATTAATTAAATTAGAAAACAATCAACCAAAAGAATAAAAATATATAATATTCAGGTTTAGTCAGGTTCAGTCGCAGAATATTGCTTTGATCTCTGTGGTTAGATATTCCAATGAAATGTTCTTCTATTATTTGAATCCAGCGTAGGGCAGCATAAGTCTTCGACGACCAGATTCTCCAAGATTATTTCGATCCTTTAGCCTCACGAATAGATATTTTGTCCGAATATAAAGTTCATTCACCAATGAACTTTACATTCCTTGTATCAAGTAGTTAGTGCCACTGCACTTATTAGTTGTAGGGAGGTTTGTTTGCTCCATTACCATAAAAAATATGATAACAATAATTGTGGTAATTTTTGGTAGTATTATTTTATGTACAAATTAACAGCGCAGAAAGTACGGCCTATTTCAGAATTCAAACACTTTTAATTAAGTGTTAATGTAGAGTTAATTTTAATACTTCTTTTTTTTGAAAAATGCATTAAAAACAAAAACAATCTGTTGTTATATGGAAATAACAATGTTTAAGGTAATACTTTATAGTGTTTGGAAACGAACACTATCACAAATACCTTTTTAATGCTTTATTAACGATTTTTTACAAGGTTTAGTATGAAAATGAATTGCAGATGGCGACAATCCAGCTTCGGATCCTTCTGTTTGCGGCGTTCTGCTTAGCGGTCAAAGGAGTTCCTCAATCGCCACCAAAACCGACTTCAACAATATTTGGCGATGAAAGATTAGTAGGCGAAATATTCGAGGACTTAAATGTCTTCGAAAACCAAGTTTCTCTTGGCAGAAACGATGCAAGCTCTCACAGATTACCGACTACTACGAAACCAACACATTACAATGTTCTATGGACGATTGACATCAGTAGATTGGTTTTCAGCGGATCAGTAGAAATCAATTTTGTTGCGACACAAACGAATTTAAACGAAATCGTCATTCACGCCATGGATTTAGAAATCGCCTCCTTATCAGTACGCCAGGGCAACACGGTGTTGCCTAGTACTTTTACATTGGAGCCGCAATATCATTTTCTACGAGTCAGGTTGACTAATTCTGCATTGCAATATAATGTAACGAACCCTGTCGTGTATACATTGTCCATTAATTTTGGCGCGCCGCTACGCGAGGATATGTACGGAATATATAGAAGTTGGTTTAGAAATAACAGTACAGACTCCGTTAGGTATGTATGTTACCTGATATAACGTTAACTCGAAATATGAATTTAATTTTACATCATGGTTATCTTAGACTTCCATGATAAGGTGCGTTTTTGCTATAGTTGCTACGCCTTTCAACGGGTTGGAAATAACCGATTAGCAAACCGACTCGTATTGGCCATCGTAGTGTAGGAAAATTCCCGCTAGATGGAGTGGAGAACTGTGCAAATGTGCGGGTAGTCGATGCGGCTCAGCATCGTGCTTCGTGGCAGTCTGTGGGGGAGGCCTATGTTCAGCAGTAGGCTCAAATAGGCTGAAATTAGATGATAATGATGATCATAGCTATTAATTCCTTGTCTAATTTTTATTGCTTATTAAATCGCTACTGTACTTACCCTTTAAATTTAAGTTACGAATTATTAAATTCGTTGATTTGGCATATTATTATTCTTATTCCTCTTGATATGGAGTAATATTATTTAGTAATATTATATTTCTTTGTTGTATTCAAATGACCAAATAATACTCTAATTTTCAGTTGGATGGCAACAACTCAATTTCAAGCGACCGCAGCTCGATTCGCATTCCCCTGTTATGATGAGCCCAGCTTTAAAGCAACCTTCGATATAACCATTAGACGTCCAGTAACACATAGGAGTTGGTCATGCACTAGAATTAGGCAAACTATAAACAGCACGAACCCGTAAGTATTTATAGAAAGTCAGTGTAAGGGGTAATTGTACCTTGATATATTAATTATAATGTCGTCTTAAAGTTCTAGATATACTGAGATGAATAAATAGGGTCGATTTTGCTTAGTCTTTAAAATATATTGGTATTGAGATTTTGATAAATTATATAATTATTATAGCCTATTCTTATTGACGTGGTACGGATCATATATACGAGAAATAATATAATGAAGACTAAGGAGATACTATAGAAAAATGTTATACGAAGAATTCCTATACTTTTTGAAACACTCGAATTACAAATAAAATACACAAATGCTCTGGAGTTTCAGCGGATGACGGAGAAAAATATGAGTACCAAATAAATTACCAACGTTTTCTTAAAATATTTGCTTTCGGTTTCAGATTATATCAAGACGATATATATTACACAACGCCCGTAATGTCCACTTACTTACTAGCTTTGATCGTTGCTGAATATAGTTCTATGGAAGTCCTACAAAATAACGTGGTAACATATGAAGTAATTGCAAGACCTGCAGCAATCGAAACTAATCAGGGACAGTACGCTTTTGATGTTGGTCAACTGTTACTGGCTGAGATGAATAATCATACCGCTATGAACTTTTATACCCAGCATCCTTACCTTAAAATGACACAAGCATCGATCCCGGACTTTTCAGCAGGTGCTATGGAGAACTGGGGCTTACTCACTTACAGGTAGGTAAAATGCATACAAAATACGAGAGGGTTTTTTTAAAATGGCAATCATCTAACATAGCATTTTTTTTCTAGAGAAGCATATTTGATGTACGATCCTGACCACACAAATGATTATTTTAAGCAGTTGATCGCGTACATCCTGTCGCATGAAATTGCTCATATGTGGTTCGGTAATCTCGTTACTTGCGATTGGTGGGGTATTCTTTGGCTTAACGAGGGCTTTGCAAGATATTACCAATATTTCCTTACTCATTGGGTATGTATGTATGTACTTTATGTGAAAGCTTTTCATCTTGTTTCGATTATAAACTCGAAACGAATGATTTTTTCATTAACAAATAAGTACTGCGAAATATACTAAGATGTGTAGTTATCTCGTTAGAAAAATTTTATCAAAATGGTCATTATTATAATGAAGTAATTTTTGTAGGTTGAAGATTATATGGGACTAGAAACTCGATTCATTACTGAACAAGTTCACACAGCACTTCTCAGTGATTCCGCAAACAATCCTCAACCTCTGACAAATCCTGGAATCGGAAGTGCTCAATCCGTTAGGACCATGTTTTCAACAATATCTTATAATAAAGGCGCTGCTATAATCAGAATGACTGAACATCTGATGGGTTTTGATATTCATAGACAGGGTCTGCGGAACTACTTGGTTGAGAGGTAAAATTCTCCTTTTTAATATTAAAAATGCTTACTGTTTATATATATATATATATATATATATATATATATATATATATATATATATATATATATATATATATGTATATATATACTACCTTTAAGCTTTAAATTTGACCATATCAGTTAATGTATTTAAATGAAAATTATTTTTGCAGAGCCTACGACACCGCGCTGCCTATTCACTTGTTCCAAGCTTTAGAAAGAGTGGGAAATAGTTCTGGTTCTTTCTCCGCTTACGGATCTGATTTTAATTTCATAGAATACTATAGGGGTTGGACTGAGGAACCTGGGCATCCTGTATTAAACGTTAATGTTAATCACCGGACTGGAGACATGACTATCACTCAGGTAATTGTTTATTGTTTGTTATCGGTTTGTTAAATCAGAGTAAAAAAATATGTTCCAGTGCATTAAATTATTTATTTCGTTTTTATGTCAGATTTTAATAGATAAATTATCGAAAATATCTCTGTGCTACGACTTGAGTCTTGACGTTCTACTTCTCAAATCTCGACATCTATATAACTTTATACTATTTTTAGTAAAATTTGGCGCCACCTTACATCAACTTTACAGTATACCGTTAGTCGAAAAAAAATTTTCGAAAATTAATCTCATATTTAAATTTCATTATAAGTGTAGTTGAATAGAAATCTTTCTTTCATTTTTAAATTAGGAACATAATATAAAATAATAATAGTCTTAATAAAAGCAATTAAGGCTCTAATATGTTCTTAATAAGTAGTACAGCCACGTGTATAGTTCTATAAATTTTTATAATATAACTCGTCTATGTATATAAAAAACATTTTGCTCATGTGCGCCAAATAAATATTTTACTGAGCTTGTTAGTTTTAAGCAATAGTTTATTTTAGATTAGAGTGTGATTAATATTCTAAAAATCTTTTCTTCTTTTAAGCGTCGGTTCAATATCAACACTGGCTACTCCTCGATTAACACTAACTGGATTGTTCCCATTACTTTTGCCACTGCCAGCAACCCAGACTTTGCAAACACCAAACCCTCGCACGTAATCAGTAAAACAGTGGCAGTCATCAACCGTAATTCTGTTGGCGATGAATGGGTAATTTTCAACAAGCAGCAAACTGGTATGTCCAAATCTTTCGGAACAATAGTTGTCATATCTGAGTGCCTTGTAAATATTGCGTTGAACTTTGCTTATTGGAGTATTATTCCATAATTATAATTTCTAGGTTACTATAGGGTTAACTACGATGACTACACATGGGATCTGAATGTCATAGCCTTAAGAGGACCAAGCAGGGTTCAAATTCACGAATATAACAGAGCCCAGGTACCACAGATTTTTTATAACTTCACAGGTTAAATAACAGATTTTGGAATTAAATTTTTATTTAATTTTTTTTCACTTCAATTTGAAACATTTAATTTCCAGATTGTTAACGACGTGTTCCAATTCGCTCGCTCGGGCCTGATGACATACACTAGAGCATTTAATATTCTCTCCTTCTTAGAAAACGAAACAGAGTACGCGCCTTGGATGGCGGCAATTACTGGATTCTCCTGGATAAGAAATAGATTTGCAGGCACACCGCATCTGACCCGAATAGAGGTAGGCAGCAATTGGGGCTAATTGAAGAACAGAAATTATTCCAATATTTATAACTACTTCACCCACTAGTATATATGTAGCCAAGTTGGTGGTTCGGTACAAACTCTTTATTTAATCTAGTTTAATGCCATGTTTCTTACTTTCCCCAGTGACAATGCTGCATATATGATGTGCTAACAATATTATTTTTTATTTTCTTAGGCTCAGATAGCTAGGTGGGCCAATACTGCAATAACAGGTCTGACCTACTACCCAATAAATGGTGAATCATTCATGCGCTCTTATCTACGATATCAACTAGCACCAATGTTGTGTTCAATGAACGTGCAGGAATGTAGGAACGCCGCCAACCAACAGTTCCGTAATTTAGTTAATAATGGTGTCGAGTAAGTAACATTTTGTATCTTAATCTATATTTTGCTTCACTGTTTTTATTCATCAGAAAAAAAAAAAAGATTGTCAGTTAAATATAAAAGTCACATACGATTGCAACGGAGAAAACAACTTTTATTTGTTGGATATAATGAATGAATGAAATACGCTTTATTGTACACCAGACAAAATTACAGAAGTAACAAACAACTACATACAGGTACAATTGGCGACCTTAACGCTTAGAAGCGATTTCTTCCAGGCAACCATGGATATAATCCGACATTATAAATACTACTAGTGTTTGTGTAAATTCTAACTCAATCCAAGAATCTTTAATTTATTTGGTTGGTTATTAATTTGTTGTTTGCAGGGTTCCACCAAACAGTCGTAATTGGGTATATTGTAATGGACTCCGAGAGGGAACCGAGGCAGACTTCAATTTCTTGTGGAATCGTTTCCGAAACCACAATGTCTACACTGAGAAAATTCAACTGCTCATGGTTCTGGGCTGCACTCCTCATGCTAACTCACTTAATACGTTAGTTGTTGTGTCTTTATTTCGAATTTACTTTTAGTAACTATCAAATGAAAAAGTAACTTTATTGCTTTATTATATTTTTTTATGTGAAAGTTGCCAAACGAGCAGACGATTCACTTAATGTTAAGTGAATTCCGCCACCCATGGACATCTGTTACACCCGAGGGTTGTAGATGCGTTGACAACCTTTTGAAAATTGGACTTTATTATATTTGCGAATGTTTGCGGATTTGGTCTATTTTACTTCAAAATGGCTGAAATATGTGGAATGAAAGGTGATATTAAGAGAGTTGTACTGTAGATTAACACAAATAACAGTTTTCATTTTAATAAAAGATCGATATCTAGGAAATAGCTCCGCCATAAAAGTCTGTTGGTAACAGAAAGATTTAATCGATTAAATAAAATTGTTGATTAATCTTCACTCATTTTTGCAGGATCCTGAGGACTATAGTGAACGACACCTTCGTTATCCGTCCCCAAGATTTTACGACAACACTTAACTCAGCCGTTACGGGTAATGAGGGTAACACGCAAATCGTCTTCCAATTCATTAGGAACAACCTTCAGTTAGTTATAAATGCGTAAGTAGACAAAATATTTCAATCGTACTGTCTTTGTTGCTAAAGTTTAAGGATTTTACTTAAAAATCTGTACATTTCAGTTTTGGATCTGCCTCTACGCCTCTCTCATACATTTCTGCTAGACTGAGAAATGAAGCTGAAATCAACGAGGTAAGTAAAACTATTATAGGAGTGGATACCATGAATGCACATTTGTTTCTTTATTTAACACTCTTTAATTTGCTTCATCTATTTCTAATCAAATTTTCCACCAAACTACAACCACCAACATTTCCAGTTCCAAGCGTGGGCGAATCAAAATCAGGCGTTACTAGGCAATGACTATCAGAGCGTGTTGAATGGCGCCGTGGCAGCCCGCGAAAGTATCCAATGGGCTGCATCAGTGGCAAACGACGTTAACAACTACCTGACAAACGGAAACGACAACATCCAACCAAGCACAGCCACTACGCAACTAGTAACTCAACCCACTACCGTGACGGCGCCACCAATATCCGAGCCCTCAACTCCGGCTCTTCCAGATTCCGCAGTGACGTCATTTATTTCTCTTCTCACTCTCACTTTCGCCATCATTCTGAACGTTCTTTTGTAATGTTGTAATATAATGTTAAGTCTGCGTGTAAATATCTTCATCGCATATTAGTTTTTGTAAATTAATAAAAAAATATATATTAATAATTATTTTTTTGTCTATCCTATTATTGAATTCAGAACGCAATAAAAATAGTTAAGAACACAAAATACATAAAACATTATTTGTCTTATTGATTGTGGCATAATGTAGAAGGAGACATCAGAAAACTTCTGCCTTAATTTCTACATATTATATGGTAATCCGGTTATACACACAATTAATTAGTCATGTTTAAGACAAAATAGCTCTTCAAAACAATGCAAAAGGACTACAAAGCCGAAGGCGATAGGTTAAAAGACTCTTGTTTGTACTTTTACTTGTAATTAGCTGTAGTCAAAAGTTATCAACAATGTTTAGGTCAGCAACAAAGTAGATGAAAAAACTGCTACGAACGAGTTTTTGACTTTTTTTTTTGCCCTTACCTTAGGATTTATATGATACTAATAGGATACGATACTCATATAAAGCATAAATGAGTTATACATTAAGAAAAGTGTCGACTTGTCAGAAATATGTGAACGGAGATAGTAATTATATGAATTTGCCATTAGCCTGTAATGTAATATGTAGCCTGTGTTAACTATGACATTGCGATGTTCAACGCCTCTGTTTGTCCCGCGACCACGAACGCTGAAAGGGTTCTAAACGTGGGAACGCTAAAATAAAAAAAATCGAAAAGAACGCGAAAAATCCTTAAAAATAGTTTCATTTCTACCGTCTCTTCAGATTAACATAAAATCAGCAGCAAGGAAGTTGTGGATCCTTGCAAACGTGCGGTAATATTTCATACCGGGTTCTTTCCCTTCATAAAACGCAAGTCCGATCATGTAAGGAATATTGCTGCCATATTTGGGCTTATTTTGTAAAAACCACTAAGCTGCTCTGAAATCGGTGGAGAGGCGTCCAATAAGTCTTGGTCACCGTGACCTGATTAGAACCCATTTGTATAGTCTCGAACACTGGCTTAGAGTAGCAAGCGTCTCGGTTGTATAGCGGACAATGGTCACAGAAATTGCATAATTTAACTCCCCCCTAGCCATTGCATCATCGGATAACTAGACACTCTGTAGGACTGCAGTACTTTTATTAATATTCCACGTCTACAAATGAAGAAGTTCGCCTTCTCTTTCGCAATGCGTACAGCAAAGGAGTGGAACAGTTTTCCAGCGTCAGTTTCCCCTCTGATAATGTGTCTTCAAGGCAAAAGTGAATAAATAGGCTCTTACTGAACTAATAAGTTTACCATCTAAGGTTACATCTTACTTACCATCAGGTGAAATAATAGTAGTAGGTTCTTCATCCAAATACCGGCACAAGCCGGTATTTGGATGAAGAACCTACTACTACATCCTATAAAGATTGTTAGGGAACTGGAAACGTGGTGAACTCATCACGTCGTCATAGGTGAAGGAAAATATCATGAGGAAACCGGCATACTTTTGAAATAATAACAAAAAAAATACAGTGAAATCTGCCAATCCATAGTGGGGTCACATGGAGTACCATGGCCTAATACCCGCTATATAAATGAGTGTATACCCAACAGTGGTATACATATTTATAAGGTATTACTAAACTTATATGTACATATATTTAAAACTAAGTCGGTAATTTGTTTATCTATATATGTATATTTAGATAATTGACCGACGTAAAGTCACTTTTATCAGTATACTTTCGCACCTTTACAATATCTAATAACCAAATTTTTAATAAAGATAAGATAAAATGATTAGGGAAAAAAACCGATTAAGATAAATGGATACTAGAAACAGTAACTTATCCATTTCCATTGTGAGCCAGCACGAATATGGTAAGTCACTTTACTTACATTTATTGTGGACGTCAATTTATATATTAGCATTATGTTATTACGGAGAAATTTTTCTGTTTCACGCAGGGGCCAAGCTGGTTCTTATTTCTTCTGGGGACGGCCCTATTCCAGGGCAGCCTTGGTTACAGTCCTGTGCCGGTCCCTGATGAAGAATGGGAAGAGTTTTTCAGGACCCTAAGGGATCCCGCATACCGGTTACCCACAACCACCCGACCTCGGCATTACGAAGTATCCTTGAATCCGTATTTTGACGTCGTGCCCGTAAATACAACGGCCTTTACCTTCGATGGTGAGGTTACCATCTATATAAGCCCGACGGTCGCCAATGTAAACGAGATCGTTATACACTGTAACGACCTTACCATACATTCTTTGAGCGTTCAGTACAATAACACAGATATAACTGCCCCCGGCCAAACGCCTACGTGCGAGATGCCTTACAGCTTTTTAAGGATTCGCACAAACACAAATTTGGTAATTAACAGAGAATACGTTGTTAAAATTACTTTCACGGGCAACTTGCAAACCAACATGAGGGGCTTTTACCGGAGTTGGTACAATGATGCTAATGCGAGGAGGTAAGATTATATCTTTCATTAAGTAGTGATGTGTGATATTTGAAATTAACATTTTCATCATCCCTTTTTATGTAAATATTTGTAGTAATAACTTGTATAGGATTTTCCGTTTCCTATATCGGGATATCGTTATTAGCTTTAACCAATAGGAGTCAGATAAATAATATTCTTTTGTTTCTAAAACATAATTTAAGTGTATTTTTAAGAAGGCTTTTATATTTTTTATTTAATTTTTGTAGTATGTTCTAGATGTGTGCAGGTGAATTTACACTCTTATATTACCAGCTCATAAACCATATTATAGTGATAACGTGGGCCTCTATTATGAAAAACGAATAACAAGTACTTATCAAAGCTTCCTGTCAATTAACGTTTGTTAAAATGAAAAGTAATAAGATTAATAGGATTAAATAGATGATAAAATCGATTATATTGACAGTTGAAGTTGATGCGAGTAGTGTAGTATTAACATATTTCCTTACTTTTATTTTATAATTACTAATAATGTTTCTGATGCATTTTTTACATCATACATAAAATAATGTTAAAGGACGAAGATCACTCTAGTATGAAGGTTTTTATTTAATCATAAATTACATCCTTAACAAATATAACCAATAATTGAGTTTAAATTAATTAAAAATGAGCTGAACTTTAAAGACATTTCTAGGGCAGAAGACGTCGGCGTTCGTCGTCGTTTAAATATATTAGTAATATTAGCAGTATATAAATATATACTGTAAAGGTGAAAAAATAACCAATGTATTTCTTTCCAGATGGATGGGCACAACTCAATTTCAACCGGGACATGCTCGGCAAGCATTCCCTTGTTATGATGAGCCTAGTTTTAAGGCAACTTTCGACATAACCATCATAAGAGATTCTACTTTCAGTCCCACCATATCCAACATGCCTATCAAAACTACCGGACCGTGAGTTTTTTGTAAATAATGACTATAATATAATTGGTATTCAGTTTCCACTTCATTCTTATTCGTGTTCAGTGTGTTCTTGTAATTAAGTATAATTAGCCGCCTAATTACAATGATCGGCTTAAACTTGAACTTAAATTGAAGTACTGATTTAAACACGTTCTGGGCGGTAAAGGAAATCGTGGTGAAAGCTCAATATGTAAAAAGAATCAAAATGAATATGTGTGTTCTACAACAACCGCAGAAGCCTTGAAGCGGATTGGGATGCTCCAACATTTGTGGAGGCTTTTGTGCCTAGTTGATGGAACATGCCCTAGACTCATAATGCAATTCTAACCTTCCGGTTGTCGTTACGGATTATTAGGGATGAATAGGAATATTGTTCAAGTTTGAAATTCCGTTACGACTCAGAGAGCACTGCTTATTAAATTTTTATATGAAAATGTAAAACTTTTATGTTTTGAGTGAAGAATTGATATTTGGACGTAAGAAGTATTAAAAATAAAAAAAACCTCTACCGGTGTTTGACTTGTGACCTCTAATCATGCACAGACTTAAAAAGAGGCAAATTTTTCTGTCTTTCGATGTATTTCGATTACCATTAAAATTTTTTCGTTTCCATTTTAATGTATGTTTTAGTTTTATAAAAAAAAAGACTTTCTTTGGTTGTTTCAGAATAGTAGATGGTCGAGTTGCAGAAACCTTTTGGACGACACCATTGACATCTACTTATTTGCTTGCATTCATTGTATCCCACTATATTGTTGTAGCCGCGGGCAACAACACCCAAAGGCCTTTTGAAATCTATGCACGTAACAATGCTGGCTCCACTGGCGAATGGTCCCTTGAAATTGGTGAATTACTTTTAACAGCCATGGAGGAGAAAACTCAAATTCCTTACTATACAATGGCTGAGAACCTAGGCATGCAGCAAGCGGCGATTCCAGACTTCTCCGCCGGTGCTATGGAAAATTGGGGTCTCTTAACTTACAGGTACGCTGCAATAACGACTAAGTGGCATTGCAGACTTCAGCTTTTAAACTGGAACTCGCTTTGATAAGCGTTGTTATCGCTTATCATGAAGTATTGAGTAAATTTCTTTGTTTTAATTGGTTTTTAGTTATAAACTTTGTTCAGTTCAAACTGTAAAATTAAATAAACTCCAAAAGTAACAGGTTTTCTACTTATATCTCGTCAACTTGTGTCGACAGTCGAATGTTTGACTTTTATGGGTCGAATTTTAATTTACTTCGTCAAAAATGATCTTCGTTATCTTTGTTATTTTTTACAATTACTTTTAGAAATAAATAATGTTTATAGTTAATGATATTTTTACGCGAAGAGCACTTACCTTCTTTCCATCAGTGGAAAAAGTCAATAAAGCAATAGATGAATCTCTCATCTACTAGAGAAGAAAGTAAAATACAAAATTTTCACAGGGAAGCGCTGATATTGTACGACCCCCTCAATTCCAATCACTTCTACAAGCAACGTGTAGCAAACATAGTGTCTCATGAAGTGGTACATATGTGGTTCGGAAATCTCGTCACCTGCGCGTGGTGGGATAATCTTTGGCTCAACGAAGGCTTTGCTAGATACTATCAGTATTACCTTACACACTCGGTGAGATATGCAGATTTATCTTATATTAAAGGGACATAGACAGGAGGATGACGATAATGATACTTATGAATATTTGGTTAGAGATACGTTTTGTTTATTTAATCTACCAGGTAGCAAGAGACCTCGGCTTCGACACCCGCTTCATTGTGGAACAACTGCAGACGGTCATGATCTCCGATTCCATAGACTCGGCCCACGCCCTCACCGATCCTTCTGTCAACGACCCAGCCAGCGTCAGTGCTCACTTCTCTGCTATCACCTACGCTCGGGGAGCCGCGATCATAAGGATGACCCAACACCTTCTCGGAGATGACACATTTGATAAAGGGCTTCGCTTTTATTTGTTAGACAGGTAATTTTAGTCATTTTTATCTCATGTATGTACTTCAAGGGGATCATATAAGCGGTCAACAATTACATTTTTATGTATGTAAATGAAAAAGATTTTAAGGATTCGTGGTAAATTGAAATTTACCTTTGTCGAAACTTGTAGATAATGATAATACGAATATCTCTTCAATTAATTTAAGTAAAACATTCTCTAAATACGAGAAAAAAATTATTTATGTTTCTACTAGTTTAAATAATAACATATTTTTTCTTATACAAACTTTCTATAAGGGATTTTCTGAGTAAGTAATCCTTCAACATTAAAATTAAAGTATCGTTATAATATGTAAAAAATAATTTTATTCATGAATAGACTATATCGTGGTAACATTTTTTTAAATTCCAACGTCGAAATGGATGCTGGAAAGTACTAGAAACGTCAGTGGTTTATAATAGGAGAATGAAAATAAACTGTGACAAAATTCGTAACCCAGTTTAATTAAAATTTCCTAAATATATTAAATATTGTGGACTCAAGCATGCTTAAATAAGACGATGTTGATGAAGTATATTAAAAATTTACAGTTTTTAAGTACTTATAAGTTGTGACTTACATTACGGACATTTTTCTATAAACACTGGATTCAATTAAAGATTATTTACTTCATTTTTCAAATCTTTTACTTTATTGAAATCAAATATTTATTTCACACGGAACAGGATTCTCGTATGCTGTAATGGAGATTGTATTGTTGAGTAGTAGCAAATTCTTACTTATGGCAGGAAATTTGACGTGGCCGAGCCTCATCATTTGTTCCGAGCCCTCGACGCCGCCGCCGCAGAAGACAATGCCTTGACCGCTTACGGTGGTGTCACCATTGACACTTACTTCAGGTCCTGGTCCGAAAAGGCTGGCCATCCATTGCTCACTGTAACTGTCGACCAGAGAACGGGCCGCATGATTGTAGTACAGGTGACAAAGTATTTTTTTATTACGTACTCGTATGACACTGAACTCCTCCTAAACGACTGGATTGATTTTGATGAAATTTTTGTGTGTCTTCAAGTCAATTCGAGAATGGTTTTGATTCACAATTCGGGACGCTACAATTTTTTTCATTTATACGTTGTCGGGTTTAAGTCATGTGTACAGAACAACGTCTGCCCGGTCTGCTAGTTGTTTACATTTGTTTAATGTTTCTAAAAACTGTTTTAATTGCAGTCACGTTGGGAACGTAACACAGGCGTATCGCAATTCCCGGGCCTTTGGTACGTCCCTATTACTTGGACCAGGGCTGGCGCACCCGATTTCGAGAACTTGAAGCCATCACAGATAATATCTGCTCAAAGCACGCTTATTCAAAGGGGCACTACTGGACTTGAATGGGTCCTCTTCAACAAACAGGAGTCTGGTACGACGTTTGACTGAAAATGTTGTTGTTATTTTATATTAGTTTTTAATAGCAGTTTGGTTCTACTTAATTTGTTTCACTGATAAGCATACATATTATAAGGATGTTCGTTATTAACACATAAACCAAGATAAACAATAGAATAGATAAACATACTTTTAATACAATATTTTTCACTAGTGAGGATCGAACCCACGTCCACAACGCAAGAAATAGATTCCCTATTAATGAAGGTAAAAATTAACGATTTATGTTCATTACTTTTTGATATACAGAGTAATTGCCTGGAATTATATTTAGTGATAAGATTGAAGTTATCACAAAAACGTGTTTCGGTACATTAATGATCATTGACATTTTTTTTTTTCAAAGTCGTAGCAATGATTATTAGGTCATTCAGTAATACACAATCTAAATATTCGGATACCATGCATATTTTACCATTTTAACTATTTATGTCATTTGTGAGGTAAAATTTCTATATTTTTCAATGTAAGTTCAGTTGTCCTTCCGAAAAAAGTTTGGGCTATATAAAGGTTGCATTTAAAAAGTAAAGAAAATTAAGAGGTTATATATGTCCCACTGCAGGCATAGTCCACCTCACAGCGGATTGGCGGACTTATGCAGGTTTCGTTACGATGTTTTCCTTCACCGGTGAGCACGTGACAAGTCAGCACTTAAAATTAACAATTTCATTGTTACCGGCACCGGGGATCGAGCTCGGCGAGCGCCCGGCTAACAAGCTATCATGGATATAATGTTTGGATAAACACTTTTTTAAAATGATATTTCTCAATTAGCAAATATTTCACAGGGTTCTACAGAGTAAACTACGACGACACTAACTGGGCGCTACTAACTAGAGCGTTGCGAAGTGCAAATAGAACAGTTATTCATGAAATCAACCGCGCTCAGGTAAGTTCACGGAAAGGATGATTCTACTCAGGGAAAAGATAATGCTCAAACAAAAGGAAAAGTAACGACTTATATAAAGTAATCTCGATATCTAACAGAGTTGTTAAAATAGATCGCTCGCAGGTGGTCAGTCAATTTCTTTATTTATATGAACAAATAAATTTATTAGTACAATACAGCATGCGAATAAATTTGTAACTCCGTCTGATCACTCAGTTCACGCCCTATTACGTGTTCTCCCCCCTTTCTTTCCTTTGTGAAATATCCTTTATGGATCCCCTGCCACTGGATCGGGGGAGTGGCCGGGGTATGTGGGAGTCTCGGGATCACGTATTCCCCTGCCATAAGAATTTGCATAATACAATATTTCATATATTATTAATTTGTATTTATTTTGCAGATAGTGGACGACTTATTTGCGCTCGCTAGAGCTGGCGTCAAGAACTACGATAGAATATACAATATATTGTCCTTCCTAGAGTTTGAAGATGGATATGCACCTTGGATTGCAGCAATTAACGGTTTTAACTTTGTTATTAGAAGACTGGCACATGACACAACCAATCTTCAAAAATTATTTGTGAGTAAAGTTGTTCAAAACGTGATAGTTATCATATGTCTAAAACTATCGATTTATTTACTACTTTTACTATTTGCCAAATCGATAACTATTATAAGCATTTGTTTTTTTAATTATTCACTTTTTTATAGCAAATTGTCTTTATTTTACAAAATTAGTAAAATTCACCCATGCCCCTGAAATGTTCCTTTAATATTGTAACTTATTTATTACCACGGTGTGAGGAATAAAGAATATTCGTTCATTGATTCATTCATAATTACATTGTTTAATTAGATGCATGTTTTAAATGTACTTCACAGGGCGTAATTAACAACTTGAGTGTAGCAGTAACCAGAAGGCTTGGCTATTCTGAAGTATCCGGCGAGTCCTACATGGACGGCCTACTGAGAATGTACCTCCTTACGTTCCTCTGCAATATTGGCCACCAGCAATGTGTGTCGGAAGGTAGGAGAAACTTCCAAAACTGGAAGAACGGAACTTTGTAAGTAAGAATTATTTGCAATTACTTACAAAATTAATTTCGTAGTGTAAAAAAACAATAATTTTTGTTATTTTCTTGCTTGACAAAATACGTTTTGTCTTACTGATAAAATTCTATCTTAACATGACGGTATCATTTGGGATGTTATAAGTTATTATTAAATTGATATTATCTCAAATTGTTTGAATACCATCTATGTTTGTAAATGCTGCAATTGCTATGCGTATTTTAGTTAGAATATTAACATTATTATTTACCATTACTATTTCACATTTTTCAACAAACTATAGAACCAAAATAATGCCTCAATAAAATAAAAATAAAAAAACTTAAAAATATTTGATCCCGTGATAATGACACCTTATTACTATTGCACATTTAAAAGGCTCAGTCTATTCATGTCCATTACAGCATTCCAGCGAACATGCGTCCTTGGGTTTACTGCGTTGGTCTTCGCGAAGGGAACGAGGAGGACTTCACTTACTTCTGGAATCGCTACCTCGCCGAGGATCTCGCCAGTGAGAAGGTGGTGATGCTGGAGGCGGCTGGTTGCACCAGCAATCAGGCGAGCCTGTGGAGATACTTGGACGCTATCGTCACCCTCGATGACGCGGTCCGACCTCAAGATTACAACGTCGCGATAAACGCAGCCGTCTCTGGCAATGAGGCCAATACGATGAGGGCGTTCGAGTGGTTGAGGAACAACATTGCCAGGACTACTGCGGCGTGAGTGGAATAATTTTTATTTGAATTTTAACAACACACCTAATGTTCGATTTTCCCTCGTGTGTAATAAAATGCCTTGTCAGGCGGCCAGATAAAACATAGTTCTAGCCAATCCAGATTAAGGAATTATTGTAATGCACTACTTTCTAAAACTTCTTTCTGTTCGGTAGTTTTTTTTAAGTTGTGGTGAAAATTTATGCCATATATTAATTTTTAACAGGTTAGGAAGTGTAGCCACTCCAGTAAGCAATATTGCGGGACGTCTTTTGAACGAACAACAAATCACCGAGGTAACAATTAGACAAATTTATTTTTAAACTTTACCCGTAAATCTATCATACTTAAGTTTAGCTGTAAATTAGTCTCAAAATAAAAAAATCAAACATCTTGAGTTTGACCTTCAGTGTACTTGTATTTAGATGTTGGCCATTCACGGAAGCATTATTGAAATTGGGAATTTGATTGTTAAAACTAATTTTAAAGTAAGATAAATTTTTTTGCAGTAACATTTTAAGGCTTTACGCAGTCGTTCTACATATAAAAGATTATTTTCTTTGTTTTCGATTAAAAGACGAAGTACTGCATGGCTTTTATAGTTATATTAATTTTCACCAAAAAAAAACCTTGCAGTTCCAAACATGGCTTGATGCTAATCGCGAGGCCATCGGCGCTGCATATAACACTGGTATCAATGGCATAGCTGCAACAAGAACTAATCTTGCATGGTCTCGTCAACGCACCAGCGAAATGGAACGATACTTCGAGGCTGGATATGTAGAGGACATCATAGAAGATATTAACGATGGCGAGGAAGATAAAGAAGAAATAGAACAAGAGAAGGAAGAAGAACAAGGTATCGAAGAAGAGGGAACGGACTCTGCAAATATTGCAGCACTGAGTGTCTTTACTCTCGTTGTTACGCTCACCATTAACCTTATGGCTTAATATAAATATGTTTTTGTAGCTCTAAACTTGTTATTAAAACTGTTGTATGTCGTTTTGTCCATGTATATATATGTTAAACAAATGTTGAAATACATAACAAATGATTTTAAATAAAATAATGTATATATATATACTTAATAATTTTTCCTTCACCGAGAATTGCTGCACGGTACATTCATACAGTATTATGTCTTACGGTATCCTGCTACAGCCGAGCGGGTGATATTAAATCTGCATCTTCATTCTGCAGAAGAGAGCTATTAGAGCAATTTATCAACTTCGCTTTCGGGACTTGCTTAATATTTAAGAGGATACATATTTTCACGGCTCCATGTCATTATATTTTTGCAAATATTATGTATGTCACATGTTGACTTTAATATAATATTTATATTTATGTATGTCACACGTCCGCGTAGAATAGGCTGAGGGATTTAGGTAGAATAGGGAGGGGACATTCAGCCAGAAAGACAGATATACATATATATATAAAAAGTTTTATTAAAATCCATTCAATAGTATTTGCGTGAAACAGTAACAAACATCCATCCATACATACAAACTTTCGCCTTTATAATATTAGTAAGGATTCTGCTATTCTCACGATCGTAATATAAGAAACAAGAATAATTATATCCTTACTATAGACTAGCTAAGGTTAGGACTTTCTTCTTGGGTCCCTGTGTACAACAAAATACCTGTACTACAACAAAATACCTGATTGAAAAAGTTCAAACATGTTGTAAAGCAGACACTCTTAAAGACACAAAGGCTTTCTATAAGTTAGATAATTTAAATGACCAAGTGGCTTGGTGTTCAAATACTCCAGCACAGCATGAGATACACAATATTGTTTTATAAACATTGACATATAGTTCAATGACAAAAGATGAAAATATTGTGGAGTTTTTTCTGAACTTCAATCATTATTCTCTGCTGACGAATGCAGATTGTTGATTGAACCATTAGGGTATATTTCACTAGTTAGTTTACTGAATTCAAATTTAGTTTATTGAATACAGGCAACCAAATTTTAGTATTTAATTTTTTATGACGTCGAAAAACGGTTTGAACAAATCTTACTTCGAATAAAGATATTTTGACTTTGATTTAAGATTTTCCAAAGGTAAAATTAAAGGAAAATAATACGCAGCAAATGATGACAATAACTAAAACTAGTAGGCTGTTCCATTAGCCTACCGTTTGACCTTATACTAAGCCGTCAACTTTACAAAGTTGACCTGCTATATCATTTTACTCTAGTACTAAACAAACATGACGACTAACTGGTGTTGCCTAATGTCGATGGCGACATACGGCGCCATAGACATTTATCAACACCAGTGGATCGTCTTCAGTATTTGTTTTTAATAAACTCATTCTCTAAGAAACAGACAAAAACCTAGGTTTCTTCCAAAACAAAGGCAGCAACGGTTTACGGCGCGGTGATATTAGAAATACCAAGACACGTAACGTCGTACTAAATCAAGCCAATACCATCAACAACGCGATTGAAATGTTGTGCCGATCCACCTTTGTACAAAGAGTATTAGGGCAGAGTCCACCACGCGCAGTCACCCCATTGTGGATTGGCGGACTTCACATATTTTTGTAATATTTCGTTTTGTTATTATATCGAAAACATGCAGGTGTTGCAGATATTCACGGGCAGCGGTTATCACTTAAGATCAAGTCAACCGCCAGCTTGCTTGCCAGTTCTACTCTCAGTTGCTAGACGATGTGCCAGCTTTTAAGAGAGCTTTAAATAATACAAACTATTGTAAACCATCTAAATCTTTCACCATTTATTGATTGAACAACATTTTTGCATTATTGGTCTTCTGCCAGGATATACGGGTACGCGATTATAACCAATTTACGAAAAGCTAGTGGAGGGGAAAAAGCGCATATAAAGTTAATATAACTAGTATGTAGGTGCCCGGCATAAAGCGACGCAAGATATCACCAAATAAATTTCTGTCAGGGATTCCCAGGGAATGCTCCTGTGGAACCATGCTTGAGTGAAGGATAAATGGAATAGCTACTTCCTGGAGCTACTAAACAATCACAGCGCGGGTGGCAAAGCCTTCCATCCAAACCGCCCCTGAACCTCGGACTTAGTGCCTCAATATCATTTGACGATGTTCAGGATTGTCTCCGCCGCATGAAAAATCGAATAGCGGTGGGACCTGACTCATGTCGATCGAAGCGTGGAAATAGTTGGGCTCTCTTGGTATGCTCGGTCCTCAAGTTACCCAGTTAATATTGGACTCCATTATTTCAGAAAACAAAGAAGTGGTGAGGGCAATAGGCCTATAGTTCGATGGTACCGAGCGATCATCATTTTTTATTGATCGAGTGTAAATTTGGGACAATACGTAGGGAATAGGAGTGCCGGAAAGATGCGTTAATACCGGTGGCATAAACACGTCCCAAACGCAATAGGAGGGATTTCGTCTAGCCCACTCGACTTTTGGATCTCTAACTAGAAGGGTGCTTTACGCATCGACAAAATTGAAATACTTGATTTTTACGTGACATCATTTTTTTTTTAAAGTTTCATGTTTCGCCAGTAAATATTTATTTTCAAGTCAATTTTTATTTATTAACAGCACTTCTATCTATCTACCATGCAGTTTGAAAGATCTTTATCGATATTGCTATAATTTTTAAAACGTAATAATTTTAAAACTTTAAAACTGGCTACGGAAACAGGCGGGTTGTTTCCGTAGCCAGTTTTATTTTAATTTATTATAAGACATTTTTATTGTAGAATTAAAAAAGTTATTTCAGGCACGCCAATGCACATAGCTCATATGCGATAGTCACATTTAATCATGAAAAAGGATAAAGAAATAAATTCGTGCTACGTAAGTTCTAGATAACATACTATTCATCAACGGTTTTGGTGTATAGATAAAACTTGATAATTAGGTAGTATAACATTACATACAAAATATGATATTCTAGTCGGTCACTTGCCGCCGCTCTGGGCACCATGGGTAAGTTTCAGTATTTTTATGTATTTTCAACAAAATAATCGCGTAATTGCTTTCAAAATGAGTACGAAGTGATGTAAAATTTGTAATTTTTTTTTAAGAAACTTTGACTGATTAAATATGTTATTAGAAGATGTTTAGAGATCGCCCATTAATGTTTCTTTAATTTAATCTCCCTTTGAGAAAAAGTCAGCAAACCTTTTTCTGTCAATGAAATTTTTGTTTTGGTTTTTTATAAAATGGCATTAGTTTTCTAACAATTAAGTGAAGGTGACGAACGCTATTTATAAACACTAATATTGCGATTAGAGCCGTGATAGAACATTGTCCGGGCGCACGCTTTTAGTTCAATATACTCGAGCAACCCCAGTTCCATCCCTGGTGCCGGCACCAAGAAATTTGTTAATTTTAAATGCTGACTTATGTCTGATAAGCTCAGCGATAAAAGAAAACATCGTGAGGACACCTGAAAATTTACGAAATAATAACAAAAAAAATGTGCCGAAGATATGTGAAGTTAGCCAATCCGCAGTGGGCCACGTGGTGGACTATGACCTGTTACCCTATTTACAGACGAGGCCCTTGCCCAGCAGTGGGACATGTATCTATAAAATTATAAATTTAGACATTATCTATTTTATTAAGTTTATTTCATTTAGAAATAATGATAGGTAAAATTTATACAGTAGTATAATACAATAGGACATCTTTTTCTAGGTCTTCAAAAGATGGTGCCGTTATTTTTTCTCCTAGTAGGATTTATAAGTGCAGATCCACTGGAGTTCAGGTCAAATTTCGAGTTTTTGGAATACAGCACGAATATCGATGAGCCAAAGTACCGATTACTCGATATAGTTCAGCCTATCAACCAATACGTCGATCTGGATGTCTACTTGTCCCAGTCAAGATTCAACGGCTTAGTGCAAATTGACGTTAATGTAAGTGTTTCTTATGAGTTCTATACCTATAGAGTCTAGTTCTATAAAGTAGCATAAAGGATAAACCGTAAGCGGATTCCAAAGAAACCTCACGGATTTCTACTACCTATTTGCACTGCATAAAAAGTAACATTTACAGTTACGATAAAAAGTTGTGATAAATATGCTCAAATTAATTAATAATAGTGTAAAATCATAAAGTGTCAAGTAATTAGAACCTAACCACCGCTTTAGCATTTAATTAAATCCAAACAATTCATAACTATGAGCATAAATCTTAATTGCGACACATAGTCCTGTGTTTGGTAGTTATAAAAACTTCTTTGAATTAACTTTTTATGCGTTCTGTTATTCATCATAAGAACTTGAAATCCATATAACTCATTGGGTTATACTATATGGGTTCTTACGTTAAAAAGTTAACATATTTCACAATTACAACAATTTATAGGTATTAATGCCAGTACATTACGTTTTATCTATAGATACCTAATCATTTGTCAGATTAAGATAAAATAAATATCATTAGTTATAGGGCAAACGATAATACATATCGTCTTAATCATGATTAGCAAAAAATCTCTTTGACATTATTAATTTGTACCGACGACACAATAAGATTACAATAAACCATTTCTTTATTGATCTAATATTTACAAGATTAAATCTATCTAAAATTACATATTATCTAATAAACCTAATTACAATTGAATATGACTAATGTGTTTTTTCAAGTACTATGTGATAACTTTTATTAAATAGTGTAATAGTAGAACTCACAAATCTCAGAAATCAAAAGAACATACTCAGTTATAAGTTAAGTTTTTAATAAGTGAATTGCATGTCATTATTTCTTTGTAACATAGGTTAATGTGTGGGTATTCAATATAAAACATACATATAATACATACAAATATACAATATAAAACATACATATAATACATACAAATATACAATATAAAACATACATTGAGCTCGTAAAGGTAAATTAAAAGCTTACCTGTGCCTAAATGCAATTTCTAGTATATACAGCGAGGAAAACTCACAATCTCATTCAGGATTTGCAAAGACTATAGTTATTTTTATTTCTTACACACAAGTTTCTTATTATGATATTGTCTACGAACGTCAAGCAATGAACTACTCGTATTAATTCCAAAACTTTAACCTAGATTAATGTCATATTTCATATATGTAGAAACTTACTCACGCATCACTTTACAGCGCTAATCACGAATAACATTCGATACATTTAATAGGTCTATCGACGTAAATCAGATTTGTGTTCATTATGATTTATGTCAAACGTGATCTCCTAACAACAGAACAGGCACAAACGCTCTTATTTTGTATGTTGATCGGTAGAGTAAGTCTTATGCAATTGTATTCGGCAAATGAGGTCGTGGATTCGATTCCCATATTTCAGTATTTGTTCCACTCACAGATGATTGTTCCGATCTGGAAGTTTGTCCATATGAAATTTTCATGTGTCACATTATTTACATTGTTAGACATTATTTTCCTACAGTAAATAAGGTGATGTTTTATTTAAAGAGAATGTATATTTTTATAGGTCCGACAAAACCTGACCCAAATCGTCGTGCATCAAAATGTGGTAGCAATCCAAGGTGTAAACGTTATCAACTCAAACAACCGTCCAGTGCCGCTAGATGTCTCAAATCCGTTCGAAGTCGATTCGTATTACGAAATTTTGAAGATCAACTTCGCCGGTGTGATTCCTATTGGGCGTTATAACATCACGATCCGTTACTTGGGTCAAATCAACGAGAACCCGGTAGATCGAGGTTTTTACAAAGGTTACTATTATTATGGAAACCAGAAACGGTAAGTTTTTAATTTAGAAATCAAGGTTTCAAACTCAATCGTATACTAAGTTGATTAAATTTACGTCTGTGAGAATTTTGCAGCATTAATGCTATTAAAGCAATATACAGACAGCGTTGATGAAAGTAAGAAAGTTAACCTTACAAAATAAAAGTAATTATAACGAATACATAATAATTATATTGCTAAATTTATCAAATTCACCTCATAGTCGATAGATGCAATGTATCTTTATGTATGGAACGACTCAAGTCTCTTTGCTTGTATCGTACGAATTTTATTGCAATTGAATTCAACATAACTTTATTAACGATAAATCATGCACTTTACAGTCTACACCCTAAATGTATATATTTTCTGTTTTAGCGAATACGCCACAACACAGTTTCAACCATTCCATGCGAGAAAAGCTTTTCCTTGCTTTGATGAGCCCCAATTCAAATCGAGATTTACCATTTCTATCACGAGAGACAGCTATCTCAGTCCATCCTTTTCAAACATGGAAATCAACTCCACACAAGTGTAAGTAACTGATTTAAAAAAAATTACAATTATATCCAATAATTATAAACGGTGTATTAAAATTGTGTCTTATGAATGAAGAATATAAATGATATTAAAGTTGTAAAGGAGTGATCACCTCTATCTTTGAGTCTTTTTAATTTGTAAAGCCTGACAGGTGTTCAGACTGTCAGTGCACACCAATAAGAAATAAAAAAAAACAATTAGTAGACGCCACTTCAATTCAAATCTATGATATCATATCGCGATTCTATCCCCACAAGTTTGTATATCATTATCTTGTTAACAGGGTTTCCGCAAATCGAATACGGGAAACGTTCCTTCCTACTCCAATCGTCTCTGTGTACTTGGTCGCTTTCCATGTGAGCGATTTCATCGCAACAAACTCCTCTGCTACGAGCACCAAGCCGTTCCAGATAATCTCAAGACAGGGACCAGTCGACCAACACGACTACGCAGCCGATATCGGCATGAGAATAACGAACTCGTTGGACGAATACTTTGGTATCGAGTACTATTTTATGGGCCAAGGTCAACCTATGAAAAACGACCACATCGCTTTACCCGATTTCCCATCAGGCGCTATGGAAAACTGGGGAATGGTTAATTACAGGTACGAATTTAGTGCATTTTTAGTTTTATCAAATGTGATTTAATTATATACTATTATTTTAATTTAGGTATTTTTATGATTTCTATTAAGTTCGCTAGATCTATGCATAAAAATTTGGTACGGCTTAACATTGTACTTTTTAGGGAGGCGTATTTACTATACGATGAAAACAATACAAATTTGATCAACAAAATCTTCATCGCAACTATAATGGCCCACGAGCTGGCTCACAAGTGGTTTGGAAATCTAGTTACGTGCTTTTGGTGGAGTAATTTGTGGCTAAACGAATCATACGCCAGCTTCTTTGAGTACTTCGGTGCCCATTATGTAAGTTAAATACAGTTCTATAGTTTACCCGGAAGACGCATAAACAGTACATTTTATTTTTCATCTTGAGTGTAGTCTCATAATCAAATTGATCAAATATTTCAATAGCAAATGCGATGTCTCAGATTTAATTTCTTGGAAAAATTTCATTTAAAAAGTATTTGTGTGCTGTAAAATACGCAGAATCTATGCAGCCAAGCATTGCTAAAAGTGCAATAAAGAAAACAGATAGATGTCGAGATTTTCAGACAGTGAATTCAGTTGGTTAGAGCGTCTGGGCGCGTTACCTAAAAGACGAAGGTTCGAATCCCGTAGCGCCGATTAGTTGTTGGCAATTTATCTACGAAAACTCAATTTTGTTTTTTATGATTTGCATGATTGTATTATTTAAAACTTTGTACAAAATCCGTGTTATGTTGAGAGCTATTTATTAGTTTGGCAACAAGATCAAAAGCATTCAGGCTCAGAAGCATTACACCGATAAATTCAGCCGCTTCTCTTGAAAATATTTTCTAACATTTACAAGAGTTTCATCTATACCTTGTATTATTGTTGTGTTATCTTGTTTCAGGCTGATCCATCTCTAGAATTGGATGATCAATTTGTAGTTGATTACGTGCATAGTGCTTTATCTTGGGACGCTGGTGCATCCGCTACTCCTATGAATTGGAGCAGTGTTGCCACTAACCCATCAGTTTCATCCCACTTCAGCACAACAAGCTACGCCAAAGGGGCATCGGTTTTGAGAATGCTTGAACATTTTGTCGGATTCACCACTTTCAGGAATGCTTTGAGAATATACTTAAATGAGCAGTAAGTGGCATAATATCACATTATGTCATTAATTTCAATGATTAATTTTAATAAAATTATATTTTGTATTTTCTATATCGTACTGAGCATTTTGAACAACCTTGTAAATATTGCTCAGCATAGTTGTTATTAGCTTTCTATTGCTTTTTTATATCAAAAGGTATTTAAACACCATTATTTCCATTCTTGCAGTGCTTATGGCATTGGATATCCCGAGGACATGTACGCTGCGTTTAGAAGAGCTGTATCTCAAGATGCATCATTCGCTAGAGATTTTCCTAATATAGATATCGGAAGAGTATTCGACAGCTGGGTTCAAAACCCCGGAGCGCCTGTCGTTAATGTCAACGTAAATATGTCGAACGGCGAAATCACCGTATCTCAGGTTTGTGCTCCATATAAGAAGGTTATTATGCCCGGCTCAGCATTGTAGAGAAGCTGGAAATTATACAAAAAAATAACTTGAATCATATGACGCATTACTTAGATAAGCGTTTCTATGTATACATCAAGCAGTGGCATCTTATATTACATTTTCATTCAATTTTATGTAACATCTGTACGTTCGTGTATTTATTACAGCAACGTTTCCAACTCACTGGTACACCGGCAAACACGTTATGGCAAATACCTATTTCATGGACGCACAGCGGCAATATCAACTTCCATAGCACAAGGCCTAGCTTCGTGCTAACCCAACAGTCTGCAGTCATTCGTAAAGAGCCCGGTCATCATTGGGTCATGTTAAATATCGCTCAATCTGGTACGGCAATGAAAAATTACTATTTACAAATTTAATAACCACTTATATACCAGTACTGAAAGGAATAAAGAGAGAAAATACAAAATTAATTAATTAATCAAGGTTCTTTCTATATAGGTTTATACCGCGTCAACTATGACGATCATAATTGGGAAATGATTGCGTCTTATCTTCGAACCAACAGAAACAATGTCCATAAATTGAACAGAGCACAAGTAAGTTTCTTGCTATTTTATTTAAACTCAATTTTATGAATCTGTTTATCCTCATGTAGTTCCTCTTCATTCTTGCCTCCAGTTCCCTTTAACAAGTTTTTGCCTCTAGATGATCCTGCATAGTAAAAAATAAACGTATTCGAGTTTAATGTCAATTGAGAAAGCTTTATGAGCAGTGATGATATTTTATGCAGGCAAAGCTACTGAGAAAAAATCATTATAGATCAAATCTGTGCTTTCGACTATATTAATTGTCATTTCAGATCGTGAATGACGTCCTGTTCTTTATTCGTGCTGGGACCATTAGTATAAGACGTGCATTCGACGTTCTTTCATTTTTGAGAAATGAAACCGATTATTACGTCTGGGCCGCTGCGCTCGGACAGTTGGACTGGATCAGATCAAGGCTGGAGCATCTGCCTACTGCTTACGAAGAATTTAATGTAAGTCAACTGCAATATACTTTTAACTTTGACCATAAACTGAAGAAGAACTATAACCTGATATTATTGAAACAGACGGAATGAAGCAGACGGAAGTCATAAAATATATCTGTCTGTATATAAAGCTATAGGACAGTCTTAATCACTGGGTCACTAGGTTGCACGTTGGCAATCTGAGGGCAAATTTCGAATAACATGAACTTGAATCTAGAATTTTTTTAAATTACATTTGAATTGGGTCTTTTGGTTAGCAATAAATCAAGCCAAAGTATTGGTATTAAAATACGAATTAAATGTGTGTCTATAAGTGAACGGAATTGCTTTCCGAAGTTACGAGCAAAGATTTGTTGTTAGTATTACTTTGTTCTTTTCAATCTCCAATAGTTGAAATACTTCAAGGTTTAATGAAATACTATACTATTGCATTTTAGATTATTTATCTAGATTGTTATCTAATTTACACAGGCCTATCTGATGGATCTGATGGAGACAGTCATTCAGCACTTGGGATATAACGAGCGTCCTACGGATTCTGTATCCACAATTTTGAATAGGATGCAAATTATGAACTACGCTTGTAACATGGGACACGCGGGCTGCATTGCCGACAGCCTACAGAAATGGCGCGCTTTCCGACAAAACGCAAGCAATCTGTGAGCTATTGAACTAATAGAATAATTGGTTTGATTTAAATCGTTCTTTAAGGATTATTTTAAAACACTGTAGCATAACTTTATTCTGAGTTGTAAGGAAGTTTTACATATACGGTGGTGGGACCACGCAGCAGCCTCGGCTGTTGCACGAATGGGCAGGTTCGTCCGGGTAAGTACCACGACCTAACAGAAGATCGGCGTAAAGTGGAAGTATAATACTTTTGCGTTTCTTCCGGTGAGTGAGGTGGGCGGAGCCCAACTTTCAAAGGGTTGTCAACGCATCTGCAACTTTCGGCTGTAGCAGATGTCCATGGGTGGCGGTATTCACTTAACATCAGGTGAACCGACTGCTCGCTTGGCAACTTTTCACATAAAAACAAATTCACAGACAATCTCCCAGATCCGAAACAATTATCTGTGAGTCACACAAATAATTGTATCTTGTAGCAAGTGAACCGACGACCCCGGCGCCAAAGGCAATAATTTGGCAACAGCACTACGGAGTTATCCTTTCTTTTATGTTGATTTATATTAGCCTACTCCAACCGATTTTGTGCCAACTAATCATCGAACAATTCTATTATCAATAGTGAAGATTTAAACTTACACGGAATAAAATATTACCTATGTTACCTATTTGATATCTGAATGAGATACGAGTAGGCTATATTTTAATTTAATAAATGTACATATCTTTGTTTCAAATTTCATTAGCAGAAAAATATGCTATTATGAGATAGTTAACAATATAAGCAAACAGAATAACAAATCGAATTTTTACATATTTGTATTGATGTACTTGTATTCAGTTTTAAATGACTCGTTTTGTTGTTACATCAGGGTACCAGTGAACGCCCGCCGCTACGTCTACTGTACGGCTATGCGTCAGAACGGTGCCTCCGATTACAACTTCCTCTTCCAGAGATACAACGCGTCTGAGAACACGGCCGACATGGTGGTGATGTTACGCACGCTAGCCTGCACGAGGGACAACGCCTCCTTAGAGCAGTAATTATTTCACCTTTTACCTTCTCAACCGTAATCGCAGCTCAAATACTGCTATTTCTTAGAAGTAAGATGTATGTAATACCCATCATGACATTGAGGTTAAATTATGTTCAATTCATCGGATAGATTTTATTCGCTTTGGAACAAATTAACTAATTAAAAACGTGATAAAAATTGGTATATTTGTTGATGTTAAAAATGGATAGCAATTTTGTAGAAATAAAATGACTTAAGAAACTCGATCAGTATTGATATGAGAAAACGAGTTTAAAATTCTAGAATTCGGTATATTATGTGTGAAAAATAATGATTATACTTATGCTTATCAATAATATCCTCCCCATAGTACATCTTTCTACTCCAAGTCCTTTTCTGTTGAAGCTGTTCGGCTCTGGAACTCTCTCCCACTACAAATTAGGCGGGCACAATCCCTACCTATTTTCAAGCGACTTATAAGAAAACACTTTATGCCTCCTTAATCATTGTGTTCCATTCCTCGATGTTGTCAACTTATATCTAAATACTTATACATTATTTATAACGTATATATTTAGATATCGTGTTTGCATGTGTATTTATGTATAATTTATTAATATGTATTTATATTTTGACTTATAGGTTTCTCTTATCAATTCAGTGCTACTTTACTTACTTACGTTACCCGATGCTACTGTTTTTACTATTTCCTTTTACTAGGTTGCCTGGAAGAAATCGCTTTCTAGCGATAAGGCCGCCTATTGTACAGTTTTGTATTATTTTTGTTGATTGTTCAATATCCGTTGTTTGTGTACAATAAAGTATATTTCATTCATTCATTCATTCAATATTTATAATTTAAAATTGGCTATTTGGAACTGTAATAGCCACTGTCGCCTAATTTTCTACTTTTTACGAGATATCACGCTAAGTTTCGCTATATGTAGTAAATTACTCTTCTTTATTTTCTTCACAGCTACTTATTCCAATCAATGTATAACGATCGGATCCGAATTCATGATCGCACCAACGCATTCACATATGCCGTTCAAGGCAACAGGGAGAACTTCCCAATCATCTTGAATTTCCTCTACAACAATTTCCAGCGTATCAGAGACACGTAAGTGATTTTTTATGACCCATATATGACATTCTTCAGAGACACGGCTTTAATATCCTTAAAAAAGGTGTAAGGAGCAATGTTCCTTAACTAATTGATCCATTTGAAGGGGCCTAAAATTGGTAACTTCAACTTTCTTCACAAATATGCAGTAATATTAGAAAATATTAAAATAATGATAAACAATATTAATATCTGTTGTATTACAGTTATGGCGGGCCGGCCAGACTAACGATTGCCATTAATGCTTTGGCCGCATTTATGAGAAACTTTACTCACATCTCAGAGGTTTGTTTGAAGAATTATTTACTTACTCCCACCATTACACCTCATTTTATATGTTGACAATATATACAAAAGTATTTTTAATATGTAGAGTGCACTTATTATTGAAGCTGTAAGTACATAAATAATGCAATCTCAGCAGTTTCAAACACTTTTTTATGTATTAAGATGCTATTAGCGAGGTGAACCACCTGTCAAGTGATATATAATTTTTTTTAAAGTGGTGTCTGGTTAGCTCAGTCACCAGACGAAACGCAGAAGTATAACACTTCCACTCCATGCCGATCTTCTGTGAGGTCGCGTTACTTCTCCTGACGGATCTGCTCGTTCGTGCAACAGCGCAGACTGTTGTTTGGCCCTACTGCATTTGCAGAAATATATTCATAATATTTCTTAAAGATGATCTATTCCTATGATCATTTCATGATACGACCACGAACAAAACATTACGAGTATATTATTATATGATTGAAATGTATCGTGACATAAATTCAGGTAGCCTGTAATCGTTTACTGATATTTATGACGGCGGTTATTTAATAAATTCTCCCCGTTTCGACAGTCTTGTACATTTTGTCCAACACTCATTGTCTTTGATATTTCAGTTTCAAGCGTGGGTGTACAGAAATCAGATTGCGCTTGGCGATTCTTTCTCGGCGGGAGTAGGCGTTGTGTCCACCGGCATCGCTAATTTGGAATGGTCCAACAACGTCGCCCTTGAATTGCTGACTGTCATTAGAGGCTTTACCAGTTCCGCCAGTGCCATAACCATGCCCACTGTTTTGTTAATAGTAGGCGTGGCCATTAATTACTTCAACAGATAGATGTTGTTGACTTTGTTTTAAGTAAGGCGTCAAATAATAATTTTTAAATAAAATGATGTACATATATCTCTAAATTTTGTTTACTTGAGAATTCCTTACTTCCAAATCTTGAATATTTCTTGTTATTCTATAAATAAATCATCAGAAACAGTACTTCAGGTATAGCATAAAAAATATACCATTAGACAGGAGACCAAGGATGCCTGTGGTACTCCTTAATTAAGTTTTCATATACAACGAGAAAAGAAAAATCCCTCTTAAACGTTGTATGCATATAGTTTAATCAGACAATTACTAAAACATCACCTGTAAGGGCTACATTAATTTTATATGGTAAATTTTTCAGCTTTGAAAAATTTGCTGGTCAATGCAGAAATACTTTTGCAAAGCCTACTTTTATAACAATGCATCCGCGTTATTAAAAAGTAGTCTTTATTTCATGATCCTGGAATCTTCTAGGTGATTTGTATGTCCATGGTGAACCGCTGGCTTGCCAACTTATCACATATAAAACAGATACTTCACATTTCATTTAACTGTTTTGTGCCTTATTGAGTAAACAATTACCTTCTTTTATGTTTACATTGCAATATTTTTGCTTTGGAACCTTCACACATTCGAATGTAATATCGTTGATTATGTTAATCGTATGTTATCAGCGCACTGCAAAATTTATGAATTGTGGATTAGAGCCAATAAGACATATAAGATTAAATTGTAGACATTAAATTGGTCATCGTACATCGGGTATTAACGTTAAATACATTTATTATTCTGATAATAGTAAATAATTTGCGACAAAGAATTATGATTTTGTTGTTCGTCTTATACCGGTTGATACCTGCTCATAACTACGGACAGTCATCCAGACAATTTCCATCCTTCAGGCGGATGGTTGTTGTATTGCTTGCTACTCGGAACACTGCAAACTTATTGTGTGAGGATTCCTCTCAAGCCAGGCATTGAGCCCATTACCAAAATAAGGCGGCATTTCTTAATATGTTCTTTTTCTCATCATGTTACTTTGTTCACTAGATATTGTGAAATAAAGTTATCCTAATGCTAATTTTAATAAAAGGTATAATAAAAGCGATTTTTTTTCTGTGATATCAAAAGTTTACGTTTTCTTTCTTGCATAATATTGCGGTACATTTTCAGAATTCGACAGAAATTGTAAATTCTTATGTCAAATTCAATTTCCGTTGACGTCACATGGAGTACTGTTCTCATCTCTGGGCTGGGATGCCTCAATATTAGCTCTTTCTATTTGACCGCATCCAACGTAAGGCTGCTCGAATCGTCGGTGCCCATGTCCTTTCCATTTGTCTCGACGCTTTGGCTTTGCGATGAGATGTTTCATCTCTTTGCGTTTTTATCGAATCTACCACGGGGAGTGCTCTGAGAAGTTGTTCGGATTACTACCTTCTGCTTAATTTTGCCATCGTACGACGGTGGTTGACAGTCCACGATGTGGGTTTTTAGCGTAACTTTCTGCCACGTACAATCAAGTTGTGCCGACCGGACCGATACGATTAAGGGAATTCCAAGAAGAGAACCTATCCTTAAAGGCCGGTAACGCATTTGTGACTCCTCTGATGTTGCAAGTGTCCATGGGCAGCGGTGATCACTTACCACCAGGTGACCTACCTGCTCGTTTGCCTCCTTTTCCATAAAAGAAAGACCACAAGTAGAATATTTGTTTATTTTGTAACTACACGTGCAGAAGTTAGATCTTATCACAAGCAGTTTATACAATTATAGTTAAAAGTTTTTTCATCTAAAATGTCAGTTTAAAGTAATAAAAAATGTATCGATAACGGGTAATGGGCAATAATTTGATAGGAAATATCAGATTAACAGAGATCCCGCTATCGAATATCAAAGACTTGTATCGGTCTTAGGTTGCTTATTCATTTAATTACTATATGTGTTGATTACAGGACATTTGGATATTGGGTAAGTCTGTTACAAAAAAAATAATTGCATAATTTCTTCATTATTATTTGCTGTCAAGTAATGTATTTATTTGAGAAATTTTCTTTAAACATGCATTATTTAAGTATAAAGATTAAGGTAATTTGGAAACTGTTACTGAAATAAAATAAAGTATGAGATATGTTTTGAGCAACAACACAGATTCACTAATTACCGGGATATCTTAAGTTTTTAAATTTGAACTTTCTGATTTTAATGCTAGTTGATTAACTTTACGTTTGTTCCTTTTAAAATATCATTAAAATCCAGGAAAGTATTCAGCTGTTGCTTTCTTAAAGTCATGTCCATAATTGTGATGCTATGATTGCAGAAATGTCCCACTTAATAATTGCTTTGAGCTTATTGCTCTTAGCATCGGTAAACGGTGACAATCCAATATCATGGAACCGAGAAATTGAAGAAATACTTCCAACAGTTGACCAAGTAACTAGCAGAAATGAACAACAAGTGTACAGGTTGCCAGAGAATGTAGTACCACTAGACTACGATATTTACATTGATCTGTATTTCGCTGAAAGGTCAGATAGACCATTCAGTTTTGATGGAAGGGAGAACATTGTTATCCAGGTGCGTTTATTACATTAAGATTTGTACGTAGTAGGGCCACGCAACAGTGTTCGCTGTTGCACGAATGGGCAGGTCCGTCCGGGTTAGTACCACGACCTCACAGAAGACCGGCGTAAAGTAGAAGTGTTGCACGTCTGCGTTTCGTCTGGTGAGTGAAGTAGCCGGGGCCCACATTATTAAGAGATAGCAACGCATCTGTGACCCTACGGGTGTTGCAAATGTCCATGGGTAGGCGGTTATCACTTAACGTCAGGTGAACCACCAGCTTGTTTGCCACTTCCTCACATAAAAAAAAGATAATTTTATTTATTCATGAAAAATTAGGTTACTTGGTAGAAGCAATACTTTTGTTCGTAAGAATACATTGAGAGCAGTAACTACAGACTTCTAGTTGCCACCGTCCTTGCTCGTCTGATCATTATAATTCCAGACAACTATCAAGCACATCGTTATTTAGAACTCCTTATTGACTTTTTCACTCTAATTCGCATTGTAAATTATGTTCCTGAAATAAAAGTTTATGCATAGAACTGTCGTAGGTTATGAATATGCAACAAAATATTTTGAAATGTTAAGCAAACTGTTATTTTTTTTAATATGACTACCGACTTATTAAAACAATGTCCCACTAAAATTTATTTGGTGAAAGATAAGATTGGACTTCAAATCAATTAAGTTACGATAAAATCTTTTATCGTGGTCCCTGTAGTTTTTTACTTAAAATTTACAGAAGGCCAAATTTTTACCGAATAGTAGGAATTGTCCATTGTAGAATTTTTTTCTATAAATATTGACCTGTCATAAATGGACACAACACAGAATAGTCCAATATTAGCAATGTCGCGTGCTAAACTTAAAGAAGCTTAAACTGATTACTTATAATCATGTTCTCATGTTTTAAGCGAATCTTAAAAAATTACCATAATGACGAAATTTAAAGTGGAAATTATACGAATAAGTAATACGCATAAAAAATAAACCAAATTATTTCATACATATAGGCAACGGAAGAAAATGTGACACAAATTGTTCTACACTCCAACGTCGACTCTGTTAACGCTATCACTGTACTTACATCGTCTGGTTTGCCAGTAGCTTTGAAACCTTTAGAACCCTTTACTGTGGAGCCTCAGTATCATTTTTTGAAAATAAATTTGGACGAAACGTTATTGCCACGCACCAATTATTCGCTGATCATAGAATATTCCAACACAATGAACGAAGGCCCAATGAAACGTGGTATTTGGAGGGGATGGTACACAGATGAGAATGGAAACGAGAGGTGAGTTGATACTCATGACAGTTAATGACACGTGCTTCTTATAATAAGTAATAGCAGGAGTACAAATTGCTTTTGGTTTTTAAGCAATTGAAAAATAGTAATTTGTAAAAATGTACATCTTTTTATTACATTATACTCTTGACCATTTAGAACCATTTAATATAAGCCATAAAAATGTACAGAAGAAACAGAGGTGTTTTCTTTAACCATTTCTTTTTATTAGTACCTATTGTAAGCCTATATAGAACTTTTTGCTGCTGTAAGAATGGCACATCTCGTCAGGAAAGTATCATGTCCTCACTGAAGGCCGGCGTTAAGTGAAATTATTATACTTTCACGTTTAGTCCAGTGAGTTTGGCGCCGCATCTGCAGCGCTGCAGTTGTTTTTGATGTCCTTGGGGACAAATATAATAGTTCAAAGCTACATTTTATGTCCTTCTTATTGTTTTAATATTATCTATCTTTATAATTTTTTTAAAATATAACTTTACTTCTCATTCCGCAGAATTTACGCCACAACGCATTTCCAACCATACAACGCGAGACAAGCGTTCCCATGCTGGGACGAACCTCTATATAAATCAGTATTCAAACTGCATTTATCAAGACCAGAGAGTTATTCAGGAACTTTTTCCAATACGGGCATCGAATCAAGTATTAGGTATTTAACATAACTAACTTATATAATCTTAGTGCTAATGGACAAAAATTTACGGAAAATAAAATATTTATCTTTCCAGATTAGCCAATAATCGTGTGCGCGACAATTTCTACCCTACACCAAGAATGTCCTCATACCTCGTTACGTTTCTGATCAGTGAGTCCTTTGGAGTGATCGCAGAAGACACTTCTATAGAACCCCCAATTCGCATCATTGGTCGGTCCAACACTAAGGGATTAGGGGATCGAGCTTTGGAGCTCACCGTTAAAATGGCGAAATACTTTGACGAGTTCTTCGGTATATCGTATTCAGATCTGCATCCATATTTGTATAACGACCACGTTTCATCACCTGATTGGGCGTCTGCTGGAACAGAAAATTGGGGCATGGTCAGCTATAGGTAAAAAATTAATGTTATCTAAAGTATAAATGTAGTTTGTGCATTATGATTGGTTATCCATAGATTGTGTCTGTTTGAACTGGATTAGTTCGGGTGAAACAGCATTAGGTACGGTAAATCAGGTACATTTTGTGCTGGAAAATAATCTCACGTCAGAGCACTCTGGACCACAATACGGAGTCACATCTCGATCCTCAAAAACTCGGTATTAAACAGCGTATGTCGTCTATGATTCCGGCTCAAATCCTTGCGTAACTTACTCACGTGTCTAGACGCTTTGATTGCTATAGAGCGCTTGGTGGTGCAGGAAAAGAAGAGGGTACTCGATCGCCCATGAGGTGAATGGACCAATCACAGGTGGCAGGGGATACCCACCTGCATGAATGTGCGAGAAATGCAACGACTGAATCAAGTGGTGGCGTATGACACCCAATTAAATGGGATACATACATAGGCTGATAAACACATTACCCTCCTTTTTCCCGCGCAGTCGGATAAAACATGGATCAACGGGGTGTTTTATTTTTTGCCTATAGTTATTTAATTTTTGGTTACGTTTTATTATAAATATGTGTATTTTTTTAAGGCAATTCACCCTACATTTTTCATAAGTACTTTATAATATTTTCATTGTAAATCAACGGATATAAATTCCTCAAAAGTGTTTCATCAGGAGAAAAAAGTCGGAAAGTGGTATTACTCAGACAAATAATTTCAGAGAACTTTACATGATATTGGATCCTCGTGAAACAATCATGTCAGTGGAACATTATGCAGCCACATTGATTTCACACGAACTAGCCCATAAATGGTTTGGTAATTTAGTAACATGCTATTGGTGGAGTAACACTTGGATTAACGAGGGATTCGCCAGTTATTTCGGCTATATTGCTACATATGAGGTAACCAATAGGATTAAATCACTTAAAATATTTAGTTTCAACAACATGCCATCACATCAATTTTATTTATTGATAGTTCCACAATTAAAATCACTTGTGAATAAATCATATCGTTAGAATTTGCACTCTTTAAATTAAGAGATTACAGTCACACCACTGTCTTTTCGATTTACTTTAATTATTGTCTCAAAACAAATAATTAATTGGTATTTTCTTTTTATATTCTAAAAAAATCTGGACGGACGATGGAGATAGTTGTCTCTTTTTCGTAATTGAAATAATATAATGGGATTTCAAAATGAAATATAATAGCATAAAATTAATGCTTAAGAGCAGGTTAAACGATATACAATAAAACACACACACAAATACCCGTGTATTTTTGTGTGTGTTTTATTGTATATCGTTTTAATTCTTAGGTAAATAAAAAAATATCTTTTGAAGATGTGAAATCTTATCAGAATAATTTATCTCCACACATCTTAATGTTTTTAGATGTTTCCGGAGTACGAGCATCACGAACATTTTAATTCGCGTTACCTTCAAACAACATTGTCTTTTGATTCCGGAGTCTCAACAGTACCAATGAACCATGACGTAAACACACCAGCCCAAGTTACTGGTCACTTTGGCACGATCAGCTACTCCAAAGGTGCAGCATTTTTAAGAATGACAGTAAACATGATTACCCCAGAGACGTTCAGAAAGGCCTGCCGGTACTTCTTAATCAATAAGTAAGTAATTTTGATATCATGCTTTTTGTAAAATATAAAAAATGTAGTATCGTTCAAAAAATTACTTGGTGGCGCAGTTGCTAAGTTATTGGCTTTGGTGTCGGGGTCTTGGCTTCGATTTACACGGGGAACAAGTATTGGTGTGACCAACAGATATAAAATCAAATCAAATGAGTATTACTGCAGACGAAGATTTGCGAACCTGAAAATCTTTGATGAACGTTCTGTCAGTGCGCAAAAGTTTTGGATGATGGTATTATTTTAACTAAAAAAGGCATGTTATCGAGTCAGTTGTAAATAAAAAATATAATTGAAAAATATTATTACATCATTATGCATTTCACCGTTTTAAGCATTCGTTATGTTTTGTGACCAAGGTACTTTCCTTTAATCGACTTTTTAAGAAGCTAAAACTCTGGAAAACAATAAAACTGCCACGGCAAAGTATTTGTACATACGTCTATTTTAAATAAATTATGTAATTTTTTTTATATCAAAAAGTATTACCCTTATATTTACCTGAATGATACCACCTATAGTATTATAATAAAACCGTTAATCATAATATCTTGCTCCCACTTGAAGCGCTTATGAAGCAACTGACCAATACGACTTGTACGACGCTTTCGCCGAAGCCGCTCAAGAAGACGGTACTCTAAGTGAATACCGTAACTTCGATTTCGCCGAGTATTACCGTGTTTGGGTTAACGAACCCGGCTACCCTTTGCTAACGGTTAATGTTAATCATGAAACCGGAGAAATGTCACTGAGTCAAGTAAGTTACTAAGTTATCCATATATGAACGTATTAATTAATACATACAACTTTTATTATTATATTACGCATTTAAATCTAAATTTAATTGAAAATTTGCGATCGTAAGGTCACGCCCCGCGAGTTCAGGAGCGAAATAATAATTATTGTAACTTGCTTTTTAAATCAAACCATGCCAGAAAAGAATCAACGAGAAGACAAGAGAAGAAATCAAGAACAAGAAAAGAAATCAACATACAACTCAAAGTAAAAAAAAATGTAAGAAACTGTACAGACGGCTTTTGGCCATAGTCAGCAATGCGATTCCACGATTTTTTGTATAAACAATATTTCAAAAATGTTGATTTTCCTTCACTACTGAGCACGCGATAAATCAGCACTTAAAATAAAAAAAAAATCATTGCTGTTTTTTTCAATTTTTGGATTTGAACTGAGGTTGCTCGAGCGTCTTGAGTGTCTTGAATTAAAATTTATAAATTTGAGTGTCTTGAATTAAATGACCTAATTGAGCATAGCTTAACGAGCTCGAGCGTCTTTTAATTCTAATTAAATTGAATTTTATTCAGGAAAGATTCTTCTTAAGCGCCTCCGCGACACCTACAGACCAAATCTATCCTATACCGATTTCTTATTCAACAAACCGTAGTCGAACGTTCACTAATCTCAAGCCTATCTACATGATGTCTTCGCAAAGAGCCGTATTACAAAAAACACCGGGCGAGGAATGGGTGATTTTTAACAATCTACAGCATGGTAAGTAATAATAATTTATCTGTAAAAACGGCAAAAAAATCTGTTGTCTGTTGTATGAATTAGTATTTGTTGCTATAGCGGCAACAGAAATACATCATCTGTGAAAATTACAACTGTCTAACTATCACGATTCATGAGATACAATCTGGTGACAGACAGATAAACAGACAGGCACAAAGACAAATAGCGGAGTCTTAGTAATAGGGTCCTGTTTTACCATTTGGGTACGGAACCCTAAAAGAACATTGGGGCTTCCCCAATTAATTTTAATACGTCTTTCAGGACATTACAGAGTCAGTTACGATGAAAAATCATGGAACTTAATTGGCGATGCCTTGCTAAATGACCCTGAATCAATACATCACCTGAACAGAGCACAGGTGAGTTCTAAATATAATGATTTTTGTGACTATAAAAAATTAGGAGAAAAACCAGAGGATTGCCGATGCCTTTCTTTTGGCAATTCTTATCGATTTCCCGACAAATAATTCAACAAAACCTATAAAATTATATACCCAACTTAGATTTTTATTTCAGGTCGTCGACGACGTTTTCGCTTTGATGAGATCGGAACGTATGACGTACGATTTCGGATTTAAAATTTTAAGATTCCTTCGTAACGAAGTGAACTACCATGTTTGGAATCCAGCAATTACTGGATATAATTGGTTGCGTAATAGATTAAGACATATTCCCGAGAGCCAAGCCGTGTTTGACGTGAGTAAAAATCTTATAGATAAATGACGTATATACTTCATCATCATCATCATTTCAGCCTGTTTGAGTCCACTGCTGAACATAGGCCTCCCCCATAGGCTGCCACGAAGTACGATCCTGAGCCACCTGCATCCATCGACTTCCCGCACATTTGCACAGGTCGTCACTCCATCTAGTGGGGGGTCGTCCTACACTGCGATGGCCAGTACGAGGCTGCCACTCGAGAACCTTTCTCCCCCAACGGTTATCGGTTCTACGAGCTATATGGCCGGCCCATCGCCACTTCAGCTTGCTAATATACTTACGTATATACTTACTACTACTTAAAATTCTATGTCCCCTAGCTGGGGCAGAGGGCGTCCACAGTAGATCGCCATCGTGAAACGTATACATCATATGATAAATAAGATTTCTACTATTATTCCCGATTTGATATGTATTTAGGTACTTCACCCCTATTTTTTCAGTACACGCGTTATATTTAACTAAAAATATGAGTATTATTTTAGTTATCGTCGAGAAAGTTTTTTCACCCGAAACCTTGTTTTCCAGTTCCTGATTCTGAGTAATATGGAAAGAGTAATTGAAAAAGTGGGTTATGACGCCCAAGAAAACGAGAACCCCACTACAAGCCTTACTCGTCAGGAGGTTCTACATTTTGCTTGCACGCTTGGACACGAGAAGTGTGTCCAAGAATCGCGAAACAGATTTATCGCTCTCAAAAATGGCGAATGGTAATTTACTCGTAAACTTTCTATTTTCTATTTTTATCAACAAAACCTAAATAAAAATTTTGGGTTGTAATAAAATTAGTTTAAAAGAAATTCTCGCGACAATTAATTTTGTTTTAAAAGAAAGATGGTGAAGTTAAATCTTCAACAGCATACTAACAATTTCTAATATCGGTTTACAATAATTCGAACGAGAGATTGCTAAGATGATTAGACATTTACAATTTTTATATTCAGTTACTTTACTTAAGATGAAACATTAAAATGTGTAGAAAAAACTACGAAAAGTTTTTCGCCGCTCTGAGAATCGAACCCACGTTTTTCTATAAGATCGTGGAACTTCTTGGAACAAGCCTGTCTATTATTACAGCAGCAAAAGCTGTTGTGTGGGCCAACCATCGTTAAAAGTGTAATCGAATAAAAAGTACATAGAATTTGTGAATGTTTATTGTTGGTGTCTGGCAGGGTAAACCCGAGGATTCGTCGTAATGTCTACGTAAATGGTATAAGACATGGCGATCGAAGCGATTTCCAGTTCCTTCTGAATCGAATGTCAAACTCTAACTTTGCTAACGACCAGTTGGAAATGTTGAGGGGGCTTGGTGCCGCCAGACAACCAGAGCTGCTAACACAGTACGTATCATTCTGGAGTGTTTCTAATATTTAGTTGGTATGTGCTACTAGGTTAGAACTTTGGTCAAGTATGTTTTGATAGTATTAGAGTTACTATAAAAACATTTTGGACACAAAATTTTTTATCATTAGGACTGATAACGTTTTGTACCGTAAATGTACTGTTTTTCTTAATTACTGTTTAATTTCGTTAATCTGATCTTTTGACCCATATTTTACGATAAGACTAACTTATGATAGATATAAAGTAAAGCGTTAAATTCAGTAAACAATTTTTTTTTTAGATATTTAGAAATAACATTAACGAAGGCTGTCAGGTCGCACGACAAAGCTAACTCATTTAACTATGCTTTATTGGGCAACCAGGAAAATGCTCACACACTCCTACAGTTTGTCAAGAACAACATCGACAGGATGAGAGAAGCGTAAGTTGCGATAACTATTTGAGAAACAAGTAGAATAAGTACGAAAATATTAATTTCAGAGTTGGTGGAATCTAAAAAACAATTTTGACAGACAGTCTGTCCCGTTACCATGAACGCTGTAAAGGGTTCGAAACGTCGGGAGTTCAAATAAAAAAAAAAAACGCGATAAAATCCGTAAACTAGTTTCATTTAATATACTAGTACAATACCAAAATTTGATTTTTATAAAAAAATTAATTTTATTTTTCATTTATGTAATCATTTATATTGTAATACATTTTTGAAATGAGCCAGGTATATAATTCGTTTCTGAAACTTTTCCCCGTTAGATCTTTAATGTAAATTAAATAAATTATAAATTTTTTTTAGGACACATTTGTACACAACATTTTCTAGCCCCAAACTGAGCAAAGCTTGTACTATGGGTACTAGAAAACTGATAAACATACTTAAACATACTTGTCTTTTGTAAATAAATACATATTATACATATAGAAACACCCAGACACTAGAAAAACACCATGTTCATCACACAATATTTTTCCAGTAGTGGGGATCGAACCCACACCCTCTGGCGCAGGAGGCAGGTACACTACCAACTACGCCATTCGGGTGCCATGTGCTTTGGAAGTCTATTAAATATTGATTGATTGTCTATTAAATTAAGTTTATAAAATGTTGATCGATTAACGATTTCTAAAAAATCTGTTTTTCTTTTATGCTTAGGTACATAGAGGATGCACCGCCTACGCCAGTTCATACTTGCTTATCTAATCTCGCGGCATATCTTGATGAAGCAGGCTTGGTAGAGGTTTGTATGAATCTCTTTTAAATAATTCAAATAAAGTGAAAATATTAGAGTGGACCAGCTCCGTGGTGGTTCTCCTGATGATAAGTGACAATTACTGCTCACGGATATTTGCATTATCCGTAGGGTTGCAGATACGTTGCCACCTTTGAATAAAGTGGATCCCGATGACCTCACTCATCAAACGAAACACGGACATGTAACACTTCCACTTTACACCGGTCTTCTGTGAGGTCGTACTTACCTGCATTGACCTTCCCCCTCATACAACAGCTAATACTGTTGCGTTAGAGCCACAGTTGATATAAAACTATTCATAATTGCTTAATTGCACTGTCTGCTCTTTATTTTATAGGTGCGAAGTCACACGTGTAGGCAAGCTTGGTCCAACAGACTCACGATAACCTTAATCGGGCTACGCCTTTTTCACTTCTTAATTAAGTTTACGTTACTTAAGTTAGTTCTAATTTAAATTTTGTTCAACGTTGTATTTAAATATCTGCAGTATGAAGACTGGCTACGAACAACGCAGAGCAACTCGCTACAATTCAATTCGGCCATTTCGGCGATAAACTCTGCACGGAACAACATGGCTTGGGGTACCGCGAACGCTGACACTATAATTGCAGCTGCAAAGGGTGGTGTTATCAACGTGATGGTGTCAACTGCTTTGTTGGTTACCATGGCGATAGTCGCCATTTTAGTTTAACAAACAACCTGAACTGAATTTTTGTTTAAAGATTGTAATTATCGTTAAATAAAACGACTGAACAATGATTTGCCATTTTATTTACAGGAAGTAGCGGCAGTGAAAGTAATAAATTACATAAAAAAAATTGTAACTTATTGACTACTTGTTATTGTACTGCTAACGAGGTTATTTTCAGAAAACCTACGTTTCAATCTCGTTATAAAAAGCAAAAGATCTGCCTCGACAATGCTAGTTAAAAATGGTTTAAAAACCTACTAGGCCCGATTACGGTATAGCGGGGAGCATTTTTAATGTGTTTCTTTCCAGCTGATCAATATATGACCACTGTAGATACCATAGTCAGCGGCATTCGCAAGCCTTACAAATCCAGGTCACTAACTATAGCTCGATCAGCCTTCGCTTTTACTTGGCGAAGTTGTACGAGCGCATCATCTTCAACAGGCTCTCAAATTATTCAGATTTCGATCGAATCACTCCTAAAATTCAACCGAATCCAAACAAGCATCAAACATATCTTTTGGGGGTTGGAAGTATATAAACTATGGAATGGAGTTGGAAGTATATAGCGTGTATAAACTATGTTTAAAGAAGTTCATCTGCCTCGCAACTCGCCATCGATTAAGACTCAGTTAACAGCCATGCGGTTCATGGCACATGCACGGCCATACGTTCCCTAAGTTCTGCTTTCGATGAAGCTTTAATACTCGTAGCCTCCGGACAAAATCATCAGTAAAGGGAAGTTGACTGGGAATTCTGATATGAAATCGAAAGCGTAGATGTAGAAATAAACTCGCACACAAAATAATTTAAAATAAACGATAAGCATACTAACATAAGCCTAATATAACCTAATAAATTATAAGCACAGTTATAGATCATCAAGAAAATGATAAGATAAAAGAATTTTATAAATCCTTCAAATGATAAAGAAAATCTATCATATTAACTTTGACATGAAGTTTTTTATATGTCATCAAATTCAATTTGAAATACTTCCATTGTATAAATTTCAATTTACTTTGTTTTATTTATACTGGTCAAATGATATGACAAATATTTGTGGCATCTAAAGTTAGTTGTGTTTAATAATATTCGTATTCGTATATACGATTAATATCATTGTCATAAGTCCACAAAAGAATTAGAAAAGACGTCAGAACATAAGATTTGAAACTTTTTTGTCATACTATTTTTTTTATTAATTGCTAGTGTTCCGGCCTGGCTTTGTGGGACAATTAATGTTTGGAACACTCTTCAAAAAAAAATCTGTTCATCTCTATTACAACCAAACTTCACATCCACTTGGTTAATCTGAAGCTCGCAGTTTTGCATTCGAGCAATGGTGGATCCATCGGTTCCGCTGAAAATCAGCAATCGCAAAAATTTTTTCTCTTTTTTTGCGATGTAATGCTGAGTGGTGACCTTTTTGGTACATTGATTTCAAGTTGTGATTTCTAAATTTTAATTGTTATTTTTATTTTGTTTTTATTTTATTTTTTATTTGTTATGTACCAAATAAATATTTATTTCTTTCTTTCTTACTTTCTTCCATGAAGCGTCTTCAACGTACTCAGCTCTACATCGGAGTTTGTTATTAGTAAACCAAAAAGTTTTCAAACACAATTTATTTGTCACAATAACTCATTATTCAAAGTACCTGGTGTAAAAAAAATAAGTGTGTGTTCGTGATACGAACCACGGCCTTCTGTTTCGTGGCTGTTTGTTAGCGGCCGCCCGATTACCGACCGAGCTATTATAACATTTTTTATTTCGGTGAAATTTACCGTCGTATTCGAATGATATTTTTCATTCCCTGAAAACAGGGATAAAAGGACATTTTCTAAAAATGAAATCTAGCTAGATCGATTTTTTGCCCCCGAATCTACGCACATACTAAATTTCATGAAAATCGCTGGAGCCATTTCCGAGATTCCAATTATATATATATACAAGAATTGCTCGTTTAATGGGTAAGATATAGTAACCATATTTTTGTCGGTAAGTCTTTCAAAGCAAAAGACTCATTCTGATCAGGTTTCGTCATAAATTGCCATGTTATGAATTAAACATATTTTATTACTTTACGACACCAGTCGTGGTGCAGTTGATTTTGGTTTCCGTAAAACCATGTGGTATGCATCTATTGCAAAGCTTCCGAACCTTCAGATACACATGCAAAGTATTTTTCTGATGGCTCATTTCAATGTTAGTTCAGTCAATCAGTCGTCGTAAGGTAACCATATTGGATTCTGTAACCTTGAAATAGATCGTCATGGACATAATCGCGTTCACCTCTAAGTTTTCCGAACCACTAATACATAGATCGGCAACCCTGTGTTACTTAATCACCAAAATATTGAAATCTCTGATAACGCTCTAATGAGTTAAAATTTACACGAAATAAATTCGTTTAGTCGCATATTATTTTCAAAATAATGACACAATAAAGTGACAAATCACCATCTCGCAAATTAATTAGTAATATGTTCTCACGGAGATTCATTTGTGAATTATTTTTTTTAAAATAAATTATTTTTATATAAATTATTTTTTTTTTTTTTTTATTTATTTTTTTATTAATAAATAATAATTTTTTGAATAATTATTTTATTATAAATAAATATTAAAAATTTATTTATAAAATATTATAAATTATTTTTTTTATATTTATTTATTAAGTTCAGTTGCAGAAACTTTCAGTATTTCCCACGGATAATAAAATGGACCTTTGTAGAATAAAAACCCAGCGATAATGAAAAAAATAGGTTTCATATAAAATATTTTATAATTATTAAAACAATGTACTTACTATCAAGTATTTATTATAGATCATTATAAAATTTTCTTATCTCATAGTATATTTATCAAAAAAAGGCATATCTAATTATTTCATTTCATTACATATCAGATAATGTATACAATTTAGTCTCAATCTCTATTTTCAATAGATAACAAGTCGATAACTATTGCTTTTTAATAATTTTATCACTTTAGAGGTCGACACAGAAAGTAAGGTACATAATTATGTTTATCTAAATCAAACAGAAGTAATTTAATTTACACCATTCCATTCAATGTATTAGGAATATATTTTAGAATCATGGGAATTCTGATTAAACTGGCTATATTGCCAGTTCTACTGGGTTTCGTAATAGCCGATCTCCCGCTAGATTTCGACGAGCCATTTTCACGATTAGAAACCAAAGATGATTCTGAGACCATTTACCGTCTACCAGAGGACCTCGATCCCATCCATTACGATATCGAAATAACACCGTATTTTGAAGCCACTGCAAATAGGGAAGCGTTCACTTTTGACGGTGAGGTTACGTTATATGTAAGGGTAAGTTCAAAATGTTTACCACGACTTGTTCAGGGAATTTATTTCATTTAATCATAATATAACTTTACTTAAACATTACATAAGTAATTATATAGAAGTAAAACATCAAATTAAATACGACGTCGATTTTGTTAACAGTGAAGGAACAGTTAAGGCGGAGAATGTTACCGAAATTGACACGAGTATGAACTCTAATAACATTTAATGTGTTTGCAAAAGGACGTCTTTCATTTAACAACTTTACCACCATTAGATACTGTATATAATGCAGTGTTCCATATTCGGTCTCTCTTGTTTAAATGCCTGAAACAGATCGCTTTTTGCAAAGCATTTGAAGAAATGTTTGTTCAAAAAATTTCAATTAAAACTTTCACTGTCCTTAATAATTAAAGATATTATTTTAACTAACTAGAACTTATTTATCAACAGACCACAAAGAGCGGTATCAACTCATTGATAGTCCAGGAGAATGTTCGCGAAATTTTATCTGTCACTCTTACCAACGCATGGGGAATGCCAATGGCAATTAATGCAACCAATCCCTTTGAACGTCTTCGTCAGTATCATTTCTTAAAAGTCAACTTACAAGACGGTGTGACTTTGGAGTACAATCGTGTTTACAAATTGATAATTACGTACTTGGGGAATATCAATGAAACACCGCTGTCCAGAGGAGTGTTTAGAGGAAGTTACAAAGGGAGCGATGGAAGGCTGCAGTAAGTGAAAGTTATAAAATAACCCTTTACATAAAATAAATTTTTTGAAAACCAAAAAAATTAAAACAGTCGAGGAACTGATTTTATTTTTAATGTTTTCAATACATGTTAATTACTGATTTTACAGGTTATTATTGAACAAAATATAAACCTTGATAAGGGCGAATTTTCACTTAAAGTTCTTATGATTTTAAAAATGATAGAATATTTTTATAATTACCGAGTTTTGTACCAAATAACTTCGTTTTGCTTAGTAAGAAAAACGTCTTTTTATAATCATATTTATTTGCTTAAAGATATACCTGATTTCAGTAGATGATCATGATGATTTAATTAATCGTATTTGTATTTAAATCATCATCATTTCAGCCTGTACTCTACACTGATGAACAGTAATTTTTAGTTAATTTTCCCATCAATTTTGCAGTTGGTATGCTGCAACTCATCTACAGCCAACCAATTCTAGACAAGCATTTCCCAGTTTTGACGAGCCTGGATTCAAGTCTAGTTTCAAAATTATCATTAATCGGCCGGCGAATTTTACGGAAACTTTCTCAAACATGAGGATTGAAACATCGACGCAGTAAGAAATAAAGATTTTTATACGCTTTTGTTATAGTATATACATATAGTTTCCATATACTTTCTTGTACATTCCCCGTTTTGATTATAATGAAATTGTAACTCAAAATTTCATAAATTTTAAAGTTCTTTATAGTGCTAATCTACATGTTTTAATGTTCAAAATTTCATTTTCTGTTATTGATGTTGAGATGCACGAATGGGCAGGCTTAGGGAAGTACCACAAAGAACCTTACAGATGTGAGGCCGTGACCAGCGTTAGATGGAGCTATCATAAGTACTTATACCTTTCGTTTGTTGAGTGGGGTAACCGGAGCCCGTCGTTTCTATAGTTTGGTAACTATAGCATCTGCAATCTCTCAGTAGTTGTAGATGCTCATGGGTAGCGGTGAGCACTTAGTGTGGTGATCCACCTGCTCGCATGCCAACTTTTCCAATAAAAAAAATCAAAATGCGATTAAGTTTAGTTTCGGATGATAGGTGAATATTTAAAAAACTTTTTCACTGATATAATTTACCCACAGGATAGGTGATCGGGTGAAGGAAACCTTTCAGACAACTCCGAGAATGTCGGCGTATCTGGTGACATTCCATATAAGCGAAGAGTTTAGAGTTATAGCAGATAATAATGATGTAGAAAGGTCTTATCGCATTCTCGCGCGTCCTAACGCTCAGGACCAAGGAGCGTATGCTTTAGAAGTTGGCCCTCCACTAACTCGATGGCTTGAAGATTATTTGGGCATAGACTACTACACGATGGCACCATACATGAAGAATGATCAAATCGCTTCTCCAGATTGGGCATCAGGCGCTACTGAGAATTGGGGTCTAGTAACCTATAGGTAGATATTTTTAAATAAAATTGCATCAAAATACATATTTTAATTCTGTAAAGTGCGTTGGCTTTGCTTGCGGCAGGTTCACTTATCTACTATACAGTTAAAATTTAAAAACATCTTTTTCAATTTGCTTTTTAGGGAGGTCCGCCTTTTGTATGAAGAAGGCGAGACCAATGCCTTAGACAAAAAATATATTGGTACAATCACAGCCCACGAATTGGCACATAAGTGGTTCGGGAACCTCGTGACTTGTAGATGGTGGGATAACGTTTGGATAAACGAAGGATTTGCTAGCTATTTCGAGTATTTCGCTATGGATGCGGTAAGAAACGAATGACATACGAAATCTGTTTTTAGCTTATAGTTTGGATGATATCAAAAATGTTGTGGTTTACAACTTGCGTTACTGCTTGCTAGTTTATCACTTTCTTAAATACACTTCATCAAAATATTGATTTTGAAACGACTTTTATAGAATAACTTAAATTTGATTATCCTCGTCACACTTCAGTTGTATAATATATAGAAGTGAAGTACTTTCAATTTCATATATTTTGCGTATTTCTTCATTATATAGGTGGATCCTTCAATGGAGTTAGAAGATCAGTTCAACGTATTTTATTTGCAAAGTGCACTTTCGGTGGACGCTTCTGCGTCGACGCGAGCTCTCCAGCACACGGTGAATTCACCGGCTCAAGTTACGGGACACTTCACTGGTATTAGCTACTCGAAAGGGGCATCTCTGCTTTTGATGCTTAAACACTTCCTTACAGAAAACACTTTCAGGAAGGCTTTGAACTACTTTTTGGTTGACAGGTAACTTAATATAAACAAAAAGCTTTTCTAGCAAGATAAGAATTTTAAGTGGTAATAACATTTAATTTCTTAGCTTTTAATAAGTTAAAAAATTACATGTCTTTTATTAACATGATTATCATTGTTTACTTTCTGTTCACACTATAAATTTCAAACAATTCTGTCGTCGTCTCTGAGATGACGTCTTTGATGATTGTTATTAATTTCATTTCTACAATGAATTATAAGAAATCGCTTAATTTTTAGGGCCTACGAACACGCCTTCCCTTCAGATCTCTATAGAAGTTTCGCAAGAGCCGTCGCCGAAGATTCCGTCTTAGACAGTAGCGTAAATATTACTGAATTTATGCGCTATTGGGTTGAGGAACGTGGATACCCAGTACTCAACGTGGAACTTAACAGGGAAACCGGGCTGATTAACCTATCTCAGGTTGGCATTAATTTTTTTATGTTGTTGAGATACTGGAGAGTTGCAACTAGATCATTTTATGCAGTTATATGTTATGTGTATGCAGGCATTATTGAAGTTACGTAGAAGTTTCTCCTGTTACATGAAGGAGTTGCCTCGAGATTTATAGGAAATACTTATAATTTTTCGTTTCGTTCGGCGAGAGAGATAACGGGGGCCTATCTTACGAAAAGGCCGACAACGCATTAGCAACTTCGTGTTTTGCGTCCGTATTCATTGGCGTATCGCCACCAATTATGTAAAAAGTTGTCAAGCGAGCAGGCGGTTCACCCGATGTAAAGCGAATACCACCGCCCATGAACATCTACAATACCTGAGGGCTTTAAAGATGCTTTGAAATCGTTTTAAGAAGCCGGCCCCGGTTTCTTCACTCACCAGACGAAACAAGAAAGTATGATACTTCCACTTTACGCCGTTACGTCTCCTGTGAGGCTGTGGTACTTTCCTGGACGAGCCTGCCTATTTGTGCAACAGCGGAAGCTGTTGTGTGTACCCTACCACAGTAAATTAACGAATTGTGTAAAGAATAATTGTCTTCTTAATGAATGTTTTCTCCGTTGATTACAATCGCATACAACATGTAAGTGAATTAAATGACGCAGTTTCATGACGACCTGGGTTGTAATCGGCTGAATATGCAATTACATTCAACTGAACGTTCCTGTTTATTGTAGTCTTTTCTAAAGCTTTATAGATCGTTTGTATTAAAAAAACGTCAGAATTTTCTATTGTAGAGGCTTGTAGAGGTTTTATGGATCTCAATCGTAAGATTATTCTTCTTCTTTCTTTAAAACATTGGCTTTACTTTAGGATAACACATATCCTGTGTTGTAAGGGCGTTTTACAAATATAAATTTCACGCGGAAAAACACCTAGATGCGAGACAACTATCTGTGGGTCGCACAAATGCTGTCCCGTGTGGGGATTAAACCCACGACTCCGACGCTGAAGCGAATACCTTGATAACTGCGACACGGAGTCATCAAAAATACATCCGAAACAACTGTAGGTTATATATGTAATATGAGCAACGACATTCTAGCAACCTTGTTCGCTGATGCATATCAAATTTACTTTATTTTTTTATTAAATAATCAACAATTTTGTTGCACTGATTAAGTGATGTATCTCCCCTGAAGCAATTGAAATGTTATGATGGAAGTGTCAACTTATGCAAATAATTTCAGGAACGTTTCTTCATCAGTGCTACTACTGAGCCCACCGACCAAGCTTGGCCATTGCCTCTCACCTACGTAACATCCAATAACCCTAACTGGAACAACCTTCGATCTTCACATGTCATGACCGGAAAGTCCTATCAGATTCAGGAAAGGTCTGGTCTCGAATGGGTTATTTTCAACGTTAAACAGAAAGGTAAACACAATATTAAATCTAACATTTATGTAAAATGCAAATAAAAAACTGTTTAAAAAAGTAGAGTATCAGCCTATACATGTCCCGCTGCAGGGCAAACGCCTCCTCTGTATCAGGGCATAGTCCACCACGAGGCCCCACTGCCGGTTGACGGACTTCACATATTTTCGGAATTTTTTTTTGTTATTATTTCGAAAATATGCAAGTTTCCTCACGATGTTTCCCTTCACCGCTGAGCACGTGATAATTCGGCAATTATTTACAATAACCGTTATCTTTGCTCCCTTAACCGTCACCTTTTTTAAGCTTTGCTTATCTCTCTCTCTCTCTCTCTCTCTCTCTCTCTCTGTTCCAAGCTATATATACCACATGGTGGTGGGGTCTGCTTTCCTTACTTTTGCTAAGCTTTATTAGCTTGGCCAATATTTTGAATTGAAAAAAATAGCATAGAAAAAATTTATTACACTTTTGAGAGTACATCAGCTGTGTGCAATTCAATGCATCATCAATTAGTGTGTCTATCCCGTAGGGATAGGAAAGTTGGTAGAAATGCTCATCACTATATACGTAAAAAGTTCTTGACGGACATCATATAATTTATTAAAAATAGTAACAGCCTATCTACGAGTACATGTCCCCATGATTAGTGAACTTCACATCTGTTCTAAATATATTTTTTATTATTTCCAAAATATGCAGGTTTTTTTTAACGATGTTTTACTTCACTGCTGAGTACGCGACAAATGGACACTTAAAATTAACAATTTCATTGGTGCCGGTACCGGGGACCGAACTCAGGTTGCTCGACTATATTGACACCGAGCGCCCAGACACTGAGCTATAACGGCTGTTTGAAATATTTTTCAAAATGTATATATTTCCATTATTTATTATGTCAGTCATAATTTTTGTGCTTTTAGGTGATTTTTGTTTTATTTACGTACAAATTTAAAACTTAGTCCAATAATTAAGTGGTATATATTTATTTTCGTAAGCAGCGTAAGTTTTACTTACCCTGTAAATGATATGTTTCTATTATTAGGTATTTATCGTGTCAACTACGATGTGAACACTTGGAATAGGCTTGCTAGTGTCCTGAAGGAAAATTATGCAAGCATACATCACTTAAATAGAGCTCAGGTACGCCTATATTGAACGTTATAGTATAATTTCAAAGCGATATACGCTCTAAAATTGCTAATTAACTAGGAATATATAAGTAATATAATTATTACCTATGTAATTTTTTTTATGGCTGTGGCTTTATCTTTGGACTATTAAAAGGTTATATAATTATATATTTATCCATTTATTTGCCAGCAATGCAACTTTATAATTGTGAGTGTGTGGCGTTGAATATATTATGTATATAATTTATATTCGACGTCACAGGGCACTCACACTGACCCTTACCGATCCTTTAATTTTGTTGGATTTTTCTTGATGGTTCGAGGAAAATATGTGTTTGTTTTTTCCAGATTGTTGATGACGTTTTCGCACTCATGCGGTCGGAGAGAATCACTTTTAACCTTGGTTTTCAAGTCCTCGAGTTCTTAAAAGAAGACACAAACTTCTTTGTGTGGTATCCGGCTATAAGTGGATTTACCTGGTTAAGAAATCGATTCTTGCATTTACCTGACACATTGGCAGAGTTCGACGTAAATATTGTTTTTTATAATTTAATATGTGTGAATTCGATGTTACCATTTAAGAGACTTCATTTATTTTTGAGTCACTAGTTAATGGCTAGCATTCAAATTATATTTTGTGTAATGACTGTTACAAAAAAGTGAGTCATATGATAATTGTCATGTAGAGGCATTGTTTGCTTACTTTTTGCCATCCCTCACAGATGATCTACTTAAGCGAATGTATACTTGCAGGCAATCCTTTTGGACTACTTAGACGCAGTGATCAATAACCTCGGCTATAACGTGAGAGCCAACGAGCCCCTTACAACAACTTTAAATAGATTCTTCATATTAACTTTCGCTTGCAATATTGGCCATGAGGGGTGCGTCCACGATGCTGTTGAAAAGTTCGCCGCATTGAGAGTAAATGGATTCAGGTATTAAGTGAATTGATTAGATTAACTGTGGTAGGGCCACGCAACAGTGTTCACTGTCCCTCGACTGGCAGGTCCGCCCGGGTAAGTACCACGACCTCACAGAAGACCGGTGTAAAGTAGAACTGTTACACTTCTGCGTTTCGTCTGGTGAGTGAGGTAGCCGGGTCCTACTTTATTTAAAGCTGGCAACGCATTTGCAACCCTATTGGTGTTACAAATGTCCTATTATATTAGTTATCACTTAAAATCAGGTAAAATGCCAGTTCGTTTGCCACTTTCTCGCATGAAAAAAAAAAAACAACTTAAGATTATTCGATATTTTTCGAGTAAGAAATATCGTTGGACTTCTTTGAAATGAAAGCCAATTAAAAATGAATCCTACAAAACTTTAGCCTAATAATAGAGAAGAAAAATATAAAACCCATCTGCAGAAGGCTCTTAACGGCTCATCTACGGTGTAACAATCTCCTATATAGTTTAGACAATTTCCTCGTCCATTTTCCTTGATTTGCCCATAGTTCAAGCATATTGATTGAACTCCGTCACGCGATCTCTTCTTGTTTGGGAAAAAATTAAATGCGTAATAAATTAATGTTTTTTTTACGTACGAAATTACGTTACTTTTAATAATTTAATTAAGATTGCATTCTTTAACAAAACAATTATAATTATTTAGGAACGATAACTTAACTAAAACTTTTATAAACTAAAATAGACATGAAAAGTTATTAAATTTAAACATTAGTGAAATTTTCAAAACTACTTCGTTTGAAATTGCCGATATTGATTATTATTAATAAAAAATACTGTATTGAAATGGTAACAATAGGATCGACTTTCATTTAGAAAAACTTATCCATAACTTTTTTTATATGTATAAGTGCAGGAAAAGCTGTGCCACTGACCGAACATTCTCTTTCCAGCGTCAATCCTAATCTACGTAGACACGTGTTCTGTGAGGGTCTTAGAAACGGTGGCTACGAAGAATGGCGGTTCCTTTATCAGCGACGAATAAACTCCAACAATCAGGGTGATCAAGTTGCCATGCTAAGATCTTTGGGTTGCACAACCAACGATAGGGCCATCCAAGAGTAAGTAATAGTCAATAAAATGTGAGAAAAAGCAACAAAACAAAGTAAGGTGTATAACAAAACAAAGTAAAAGTCATAAAAGTGAAACAAAGTATAAGTGATACAAGCAAAAACCAATATTTTTGTTACTAGTGTTGTTACTTTGTTTTGTTGCTTTTGTTCACTGTACAGTGCGTCTTGGTACGGTTCGAAGATGCAGTTGTTGATTTTGAGATGTTAAATTCCCCAGAACTTCTTCTCAGTAGGCTTCTTCATTCGGAACTAATTAACTATTAATATATTTTTTTAATTAACTATTTCCTATATATTCCTACAACTGAGCGTATGGTAAAACAGTTCCTAATATTGTACCGTTGAGCCAACTATCGCATTTCTTTTAAGCGTCGAATCCTTGTTATCTACTTTTTTGTGGCATCTTTCAGGAGCAGGTTCGAATCCTGGTAGCGGTGAAATTTGTAACGACCGTGTTATGTTTCATCTTGAGTGCAGAGACTAGGATAATTTTTTTCTGTTAGAAGGTGCTCGTGGTTCACCTAATGTTCAGTAATAACCGCTGCCGATGCGTTGTGTGCAGATGCGTTGACACCTTATAACAAAGCGGGCCCCGGCTACCTCAGTCACCAGACGAAATGCGGAAGTATGACACTTCCAATTTACGTCGGTCTGTGAGGTCGTGGTACTTATCGAACAGACCTGCCCATTTGTGCAACAGAAGCTGCTGCGTGGCCCTACCACAACTAGGACTAAAATAAAAGTTATATATTTTGAGAATTAAATTGAACAGAAATTCTGTTCGCGGTGACAGAGATAAAAAAGAGCTTTAATACATCATTTATTTATTTATAGTTTATTGCTAACCTTAAGAAAAAAGTTAACAAAGGGCGGACTTAATGCCCAAAGGTCATTCTCTACCAGTCAACCCAGGATTAAGCTTGATTAAGTAAGTTCAATTTTATTTGCGTATTCGCAGATTCTTGGAGATGGTCCTTAGTGACGACGTAAAAGCTCAAGACAGAGTTAATGCTTTGACTTTCCTCTACATGGGTCATCGGGACAGCGCGAAAGTTGCTTTACAGTTTATAAAGGAGCGAGTGCATGAAATAAGAAATGCGTAAGTGTATTTACCTCAATGTGGAAAACCAAAAGAAACTAGTTGCCTTAGACGACGTAGAAACAACATATTTGATATTACCATATTTGAGTTTTATATTGTTTCAAAACCTATTCCCACCATGCCTTATCGGGGACATAGCATGTAAAACAATTATTGACACGGGACCTTCTATCGACATTGCAATTTCTTAGCTTCATAATCCTTACTGGTACTCTTTTATTCCTTGTAAGAATTAATGGGTCTCGACGAAAATTTGAAGACTTCAGTCTGGGACTATTTTTAATTATTTTAAGTAGGTATTTATGGGAATTTTAGCTTAGTCTTTTTTATGTGAGAAGTTAAAATGCCAGCTGGAGTCCACGCATGGACATTTGCACCACCTGTAGGGTAGCAGATGTGTTGCCAACTTTTAATAAAGTGGGCCCCGGCTACCTCACTCACTTACTACACACTACTATAATATTTCCACTTCATGCCGGTCTTCAGTGAGCTCGAGGTACTTTCCGTGATGTTTCTTCGTACAACAACGAATATTGTTGCGTGGTAGCCACAGTTAAGGCCCATTTACATGGTGCCAGTTTCTTGCCTGTTGTATACAATTAAATTGAAGCAATAAATGAGTTGCATGGTCTAAACAAGAAATGGTCTAAACAATTATTGCGCGCAATTTATTGCATTCAATTATTGCTCTTGTATGTTCAAGAAAATGGCATCGTGTAAATGGGCCTTTATTCTTCTCGATTATGAATCTAATTTATTTAATACTGATTGAACTTAAGTACTGGAGCCTTATCTTTTTGAACGACTTCTTTATGATTTATAGCTAGGGGTTAAATTAACTCACGTAGAGAAGAACTGGCATGCCTTTGTAAACCTACAAAAATTTTCTAGTGCTACTACGTTTCGATTTCTTCAACTATTTGGCAACTTGTAGTGAACAATTGCATTCCATTTCAGAGTCGTTTTAACAACATGGTTCCAGAACGTCCTGAGCAATTTGGCCAGTTACTTAGATGAGGAAGGACTTCGAGATGTAAGTACATATAGAACAAGCAAAGATAAACAAAACGATGCAAGAAATCCACCGTAAAAATAAATATTCCAGCTTAATGATCGATTATCAAAATGATCTCATTTTTATTAGTACACAAAATTCTGTAATAAAGATTACAATTGTATAATTTTATTGAAAAACGAAAGAATACAAATATTTATATATTTGTAATCTTCTGGCCTCTAGACCTTCTGGCGAAAGAGGCATGTTCACTACCCGCTACGCCAATCTGGTCATCAAAAGTCATGATTTTATGTACAAAAAAGAATCACCTATTGTTAATAATATGTATATATTAATAAAAAAATGCGTGTATGTAAGTACATACGGGCTTAGCAAAAGAAAAATAACAAAAAAATTATCTCGTGTTCCAGAGCTCTTTGTTTGTGAAAAAAAAAAAGACATAAATTCAATTGATTACGGTAAAATTAATTAACTTGTATTTTCATAAATGCCAAATCTTGTTATTGTTTGCCATAATAACACCACGATGTACTAAACCCACTGAAATGTCGCTTTTAAGTGAAACGCATCGCAAAAAACACTCAGATTTTTTCTCAAACGCCCCAAAAGAAGTATAAATTCAAAAATGTGTTATACCCCCCCTAAAAAACATTTGGTTTTATAACTTCCAGATGGAAGCGTGGCTGCGGGCGAACCAGTCGGCCATACCTGAGTTCCAGAGTGGGTTGACTGCCATCGCTTCCGCCCGCGCAAGCATGCAATGGGGCACAGAAAGGGCGAACATGATATTGAGGGCTGCTCGTGGCTCCGCGTTTGTTGCGCTGCCAACTCTGATGATGTTGCTTTTGTCCACATCAATTGCATTGACGATTAGATAAGACAATCCAGCGCGAGATTGGCTATCTCTAGGTTTAGAGTAGGTTGTTATTTATTTATCAGTATCACTGAAAGTTTTATTACAAGGTATTACACGTGTACGGCTACAAGAAGAAATATTGTTGAAATATTAAAAAATAATTAGCTACTGCCGCAATAAACTTTTTCGAACCTAATTCTCTGACGCTTTTATTTAATATGCAAATATTATTAAGTTTTACACAAATTTGTCATCCTTAATGAAAATGAATGTTGAAAAGGCTTTTCTATATTTTTATTTGTTAATATTAAAATAAATTTAATAAAAAAAAATCATAAAATATCTTTATTTATAAAATATACATTATAATAAACATTAGCATATGATTCCTATTTTATACAAAACATACTACATATGTGCTATGTAGTCTTGATTTATGCTAAAAAATGAAATGTTTGATTTAAAAAACATTGACGATTTTTCGAAAGATAATTTTAAGGATCGTTCCAAAATTCAAATTAGCAGTAAAAATCTTCTTAAGTGACAACCGCCACTACATTGCTCCCAACATTCGAAGTAAAACGATAATAATCAATTTATATTGCGTTACATTTACCTCGAAATCGGATGATTCCCCGGACAAGATTCACTTGACACAATACAGTACGTTTATCAACGGATCGTTGATAAGGTAATACTTGAGATGTACCTTATCAAGCTCTTAGTCTTTAACGTTATGTGGATGACACAAAAATAGTGTACATAGTAATTTGTTGAAGCAAACACGTAAGGTAAGTACTATAATTTTGCGAAACATATTGATTTAAAATTGATTAACATTGTTTAATATCCCATATGAAAGTTTTTCCCCACAACAATGCATGAGAAAAGTGAGAAAAAATAAAGTGCTTTATCGAGTGTCATTGTCCAAATTCGTATTCATCTATATAGGTATATATAATTATTTTGTACGTGAGTATGTCACTAAATTCCTTCTAGGCGGCTGGACCGATTTTAAAGAAAGATTCGAGAATGGTTTAGATTCACAATTCGGTCAACATGGTTTTTTAATTTTTTATATTTATAAGTTGTTTTCGGATTTCGTGTCGTGTTTCAGACCATTGAACATCATATATTTACTCCAACAGCCATGTTACTCACCTCTTTCTTCTTCCTCTCCCAAAAAAGGCAATCCTTAGGCCTCATTTAATAAGCCTTGGAGAGGAATAAAGGAGTAGAAAAGATAAGGGCTTTCATTTTTAAAAAAATGAACATCCCCTTTATTTGAGCTGACGCTGATGATGACGACAGATTGTGCTGTGAACAAAATCACCAATATCGTGATAACACTCAAATACGGAACTGAATCTGATTCTCCGGAACATAAATCATTTTGTAATTAGTTAATTATTTTGTAACTAACCACATTAGTTTACTTAGTCCACAAAGCATCATTTTGGTCGGTCAAATTTTTTAATAATGTTATATCAACTGTAATAATATGATTTACTTCGTTTCAAGTATAAATTTCAATCAGCGTTACAAAATGGTGTCTACTCAGCGCAAATGTTATAGATTTTGATACCTCGAAATTGTTCAAAAAATCATGTCATCCCCAAGCATGAATCCATCCAGCCCAACGGGTCAGGCACGAACCTATATAACCTTGAGTTTTATAGAGGTTAACGTCTATTTTCTGCAACATTCTATTAGAAATCACTAACTCTTGTTTTTAGGATAACATCCATTTGTATCATTGTTCCAGCGATGATTCGTTACGTGTTATTAGCCGTCTTCGGCTTGCTGTGTAACGTCAACTGCGACACCAACTACAGACTGAACACCACTATCACTCCATTGACGTACTCAATCTTAATAAGTCCCTACTTCGACACAGGCGACGATAGGGCTTTCACATTCGACGGCGAAGTGAATATAAAATTCAGTACCTCTGCTAATATATCCCAGATCAAAATACATTCGGAGGGCCTGAAATTCACCTCAAGTAACATAACTTTGACCACGGATAACGTGATAATCAACCTCGACCCAGCGGATGCTCTCAGTTTCGACGAAAAGTACACATTCGCTATTATAAACCTACTAGACGAATTGAAGACTGGTACTGAATATAATTTGAATATTGTGTACGAGGGCCCTATAAGGACCGACTTGAATGGATTCTACAGGAATTATTATTACGAAAACGGAGTTAAAAAGTTAGTATCCAAATCACTTCTAACGAAGTTTCAATTAAGCAAGAGATTTTGCAATCAAAATTAGATGGCAAATGATAATGTAAATACATATTTTCTAAATTAAGCAAGAGATTTTGCAATCTTTTGTTATCTGTCCGCGGCAATTAGATGGCAAATGATAATGTCTCTTTCTATATAAACAAATACATATTTCGTTGATATAAATCCTTCATAACGTCAGAAATGCCAAATTTTGAAAACAGCAAAATGCAACAATATTGTAACTGATTTACACAACATTTAGAAAGTCTTTTTATACATGGCGTGTGTCAATTATGTGATAAATATCTAATGATCTTTGCTAGTATGTATTTTCAATACAGTTTATAGTGGTACGCGACTAACGTCTATTTTTAAAACCGTACAACATGAGTTTAAAACTAATGATTTGCTAACATTATTGGTTGACTTTGACGTGTCGAGGGAGAGGACAACCTCAACCGCTTCGCGATATTTGGTGTGCAATTTGCGGCGAGCTCGGAGGAGCAGTAGCTGATTACATCAGTCCTGTATATTAGATTTCACGGGATTAGCATTTATGTGACCGACAGATAAATTCTCGGGGTCTAGGTGTTTTTTCATGTGAAAAGATATGTACAAAATCCACAAAATTTGGGAATTGCCACAAATTTTTGTGGATTGCTTGCTAAACATTGCTTTAAGATAAAACAAATTCCCCTATACAGAATTTACACATCACTAAGCGTGGACTCGCGTCACTAATAAATTGCGTTTCCAAATTTTCAACCATGGGAGGAAACATTAACAATTCTCGTGGCGATAAAATATCTGTAATGAAACATACTCGGAAATCTATAATAAAAAATTATTAGGATTTAGGGCCGCCAATATTTGGGAGCAGTCTACCGAAAGTCAGACCGCAGCAACATGCCTGTACTAACTTTCAGATATCTAATAATCTATCATATCCGATGGATATTAAAACACAGCCATGTAAATTTTTTCTTTACCAGTAAAAATCAGTCAAACTGGTTTTTGACTGATATCCAAGGAGTAGGTAGGGAGTCTGAGCGATATTGTAGTATATTTTGAGCTTTGACTTTGAATAACAACACAGATGGTTGGGAGCGACCCAGATGGAGCCAACGCACGCGAGGAAAGTATTTCCGTGTTTCGACGAACCTGCTTTGAAAGCCATTTTCACGTTGACCATTGACAGGCCAGCTAATTATCAGCCCACTTTGACGAATACTGAGTTAAAAGAGATGTTTGAAAGGTGAGCAACTCGAATACTGTTGTCTAGGTCATAAACTTATGTTATTTAAATTTTTATAGAAATTAATATTTACGTAATGAGCATGGGAAGTGCATTTCTCAGTATAGACTACAATCTAGGTGGTGATTTCATATAGCTTTTAGTAAAGTTTCATATAAATCTTCCATTTTAGGCCCAATGGCATAATACGAGAAGTATTTTACCCGACTCCAAGGATGTCAACATACCTCGTGGCCTTTTTGGTTTCGGAGTTCGAGGCTGGGAACATCACTAAAGGGCCGCAAGAGTTTGGGGTCTTCACTAGACCGGAGGCGAAGAACCAAAGCGCATACGCGTTCGACTTTGGCCGTAGAGTCGTGACCGCCTTAGGAGCCTACTTTGGAATAGACTACTACTCCACTAACAACAACCTTAGGCTAGACCATATCGCATTACCTGATTTTAGAGCCGGTGCCATGGAGAACTGGGGCTTAATTAAATACAGGTATAATACTAAACTCAATCGTTACATTAAAAATCCTTTTGTCTTTAAATTGATTTTCAATTTGTTAAAAGAAAAATTAAACCATTTGGTGAAATAAAACAGCTAAATTCAAGTGTTAAGTTATGGTGAGACGTCGACATAACTTTTGATGTATTCATAGCAGCTTTACTGTCGGAGATACAATATCAAAGAGAAGAGATTTAATGGGATAAATGCAACTGAATTATTATGAAGTTTTTAACGATTTCAAAAGTATTTCAAATAGGTTTTACAATAAGAAATTGCTGACTATTGAAGTTTATAAAAACATAAACAAAAAAGATTATGTTAGTAAGTAAGGGTTTATTTGACAGGGAGGCGCTACTGCTCTACGTACCCGAAGATTCCACGCCGTATTATAAGTACAGGGTAGCCCAAATAGTTGCACATGAAACAACACATATGTGGTTTGGAAACTTGGTGACATGCCACTGGTGGAGCAATACTTGGCTGAATGAAGGATTTGCAAATTACTTCCAAGATTATATTACGGCCCTGGTGAGTCGATTCTTTAAGTAAGTAGAGAAACATCCTATATAAGTCCCACTACCGGGAAAACGCCTCCACTGTACAGAGGATATAAGTGCACATTTCACCACGCAACCCCAACGCGGATTGGAGGAATTCATATATCTTCGAAATTTTTAAATATGCAGGTTTCCTCACGATGTTTTCCTTCACAGCTCAGTACGTGATATCATTAAGTGCTGTCATATGACAGCAATGTACTGGACAAACAATAAGGCACTGGAGCTTTGTTCCTTAAATTATAATAATCTATACTTGCAGATCGAGCCTGATGTAGGATCAGCTGATATGCTAGTGATAGGATCAGTGTACTCGGCTTACGAAGCGGATCAAACGCCGGACTCTGCTCCCATCACCAACAATAACGTGAACTCTCCAGCTGAGATCAGCGGTCACTTCGGTACTGTTACGTATCAAAAAGCGGGCTCGGTCATAAGAATGGTACACCATTTGTTGGGCGACAACGCTTTCAAGTATGGCCTGAGCTCTTATTTGCGAGCCAAGTAAGTGTAGCTTATCGTTTTGGGAAACCGCTCTTTTTATCTAATTCAAGTAGTTGTTAAAAAAATCTCTCATTCTAAAATTAAATCTTTATGGTACTAATCGCTGCACTTGAGATGAAACATTTTTTAAAATGATGACATCGCTCGTTCGATTTGTCGTTATAAAACGATGTATGACGTGTGCTGTAAAGGCCATAACAATAGATATATGTGCCAAGCATTCCATAATATGCGAAAAAACAATGTAGATAAATACATTGAGATTTTCGTCGGTGTGGCAATCATCCGTTTAGCTTAGTGGTTAAAGCGTCTTAGCGCGAGTCTGAAAGACGAGGGTTTTGTTTCCCGTAGAAAAACATTTCGTCCATTTTTTTTTACTAATATAAATATTCTATCCTTAATACCTCATTTTGGTTTATTTAGTTTTGTGTACTAAAATTATATTTAAAATTTTCAAAGATTTTACCAACATTCCTGCAAGACGCTTATTAAAAAGCCATTAATATAATTATATAGGAATGTAACAAATACTGAGTATTATTATTTGTTCCCAAATGATAGACATTAATTTGTGAATTTAGACCGGTCTATGGTACAGTTCACACATACCCTATCAATAATTACAGCGAATTCAGCGTGGGCTACCCTGAAAAAATGTACACTAGTCTTCACGAAGGAGTTCTCACCTTCAACGCATTATCTGCTTATCCGGAAACCGACATTACTACTGTTATGAGCTCTTGGATTACCCAAGCAGGTCATCCGATATTGTCAGTACACATAAATTATGATGAAAATAAAATCACCCTTACTCAAGTAAGTAATTTTTCGGATCTTTACCGCTTGTTTATTTACTTATAGTACATGTCGTTCATGTAATTTAACTTTATCTATTAAGTAGGAGACAAGCAAGACTTGATCACAACTAACAGAAGAAACATTTTTTTAGATAAATTTGTTTGATGAAGTTACCAATATAATGAACTTATTTCACTTGATATTATTCGGTAATCTTACAATTTATATTGACTACTTTAATTCCCTAAGTCTCAAAGTCACATCGTTACTAGTTTTGAGCCGTTATAAAAACGCCAACACAGTTAAAGCAAACATTTATTCGAGCATTGTACATAATGAACATGATTAAAACTAATTTTGTTTTAGTATTTTAAGTTCAAAGTTTAGTGAAAATATAAAATACCTTAGGTTATACGGGCCATAAAGCGATACAATATTATTACAGAAAAGGTTTTACGTCAACTCTACGAGTGAGTCGGATGAGTTGTATAAGATACCGATAACCCTAACAACTGGGCTGTCACCAAATTTCGAAAATACCAAGCCATCGTTTATAATGCACAACAAAACCGAGACATTCGATGTGCAGATAAGGAGCACTGTACGTCACTGGGTCATTTTCAATGTACAGGAGACGGGTAAGATTTACAATTGTTAGCACTTTAACATGCTGCCATATAAAATTTATTAATTGAAATTTAGCAATATAATTATAAATATTATTACATTTTTTTACAATTATTATAAATTTTTTTATGAATGTAATTTAAACGTTGTATGTTAGCTGTAAGTTTTCCATCTATAAATAAAAGAAATAAATAAAACCGTTAAAACTACGCATCAACATTAAAATGCGTATAATAAATAAAGTGAAATATCAAACAACCAACCAATGATGCGACCAGTTATTAAAAAAACCTGTGAAGTTAAAAAAATATTGAAAGGAAGTGCAATAAACAATTATTGTTCAATAAATTGTGTGTACGTATTTCCCGTATTATCGTCCGAAAGTACGTTGAAAGCGTTCCACAAAAACCTGAAATAATTTAACTTTATTATATGGATTGTTTCGTTTGCTTGCATTGAAATAATTGTCCATATATTATCTAAGTATAATTTTATGGCTAATTATCAATATCGCTAGTTATTTTAATCACAATGTAAGTGTATACGTAACTAAAAAGTTTTTTCCACAGGTTTATACAGAGTGAACTATGATGTTGAATCATGGAAGTTAATCGCCGCTGCTCTTAAGGGTGCTGATCGTGAAAAAATCCATCATTATAATAGAGCAAAAGTTAGTTCATTCACTTTAGATTAACATCTTCTGTTATATTGAGCAAATTCTTTTCGACAAACATTGCTTAAGATATTAAAGTTCCTACTAATGAATTACAGATTGTGAACGATTTATTTGCGTTCCTATACGCGGACGAAGTAAATTTCGGACTTTTACACGATGTTTTGGAGTTTTTAAAAGAAGAAACTGATTACTCGGTTTGGTATGCCGCTATCCACGGCCTTAACAAACTCAGGACTTCATATTTTGGATCTGATGCTTTAGAATGGATCGAGGTAAGCTAAGACACAAATGACCGCGATAGCTCCGTGTGCAGGGGCTTGCTTTTAATTCAATATACTCGAACAGCCTCATATATGATGATTTATATACATAGACATAGATGATGATTTTTAATCATAGTTATGAGTGCTGATTCATCCGCACTCAATGGAAAAGGAAAATTTGGTGAGCAAACCTAAAAGCATTTTCGAAATAATAAAAAAAATGTTTTAAATCCGCCAATCAGCAGTGTGGTCAGGTCACCACGGTCACTATGCTCTAACACCCTCTGTACAGAACAGGTATTTGCTCAGGAGTAGGACATAACCATTTTTACGCGTCAATAGCACAGGCGGTTCACCTGATGTTAAGTGAATACTGCCGTCCATGAGCAATAACAATACCAAAAGCGTGCAGATTCGTTGAAAACCTTAAAAATGTGGACTCCGGTTAAATTTCTGCTTCACATATGCCCATTCGTTCAATAGCGGAGACTGTTGCGTGGAGTATAAATACAATACAGAACAATAGTCTTATTCAGTTTTTTTTTAACAATTTGCACCAAAGTAGAAAAGAGGTGGGGTAAGAAAGGCTGAGGATAATGATGAAAGATTTTAGTTTTTTATAATTAGGATGAAAAAAAATTATAGTGGCTCATTCACATATCCAAAGACTGAGCAAAATTACTGTATTGCAATTAATTGTCAAAGTTTAAGGCGCTATCATATAAAAATTACCGTAGCGTAGGTTACCATAAGTTTTGGCTAGTAAATACAAAAAATTCTGCACGTAAAAAAAGTTCCCAATTTTAAGTTGATACAATTAACTAATTTTATTCAACACTATAGAATGGTTCTAGTTGCAGGAACCACAACGGGCAATTTTTGGTTGATTTTTGGCGTTTTTTGGTGATCTATTCAATCTATAAATGTACCCAGTAATTTTCTCTTTAACGTTTGCAGGACTACGCACTTCAACTTGTGGATAGTATAATAAACAAACTTGGGTATGAAGTAAGAGCGTCCGACGATTTCGTTACGTTAAGAAATCGAATGCAAGTGCTTGAGTTCGCGTGTAAACTGAGGCATCAAGGTTGCGTAGACTATACCGTCAATCTGTTCAAGAAACTAGAAGATAACGGTACCGAGTAAGTTCTTTAAAATTTTTAAAGATTGTTAATGCAACGTAAAAAATGTTTTAATATTCACATGTACTACATAGGAATCAAATATTGCCGGTTTCCTCGATTACACACACATGTAATCGATACATACATACACATGTACATACTATTTCTAACTCTAAATACTAATTTAGAGTTGGAAAGACTATAAGGATTTATGAGCCTTTATTTTTTTACGTGAAAAGTAGTCAAGCGAACAGGCGGCTTGCCTGATGTTAAGTGGGCCATACCTCACGGATGAGTGGCGTGAAGTTAAAGTGTTATACTTCTGCGTTTCGTCTGGTGGGTGAGGTAGCCGGCGGCGGTTATCACTTACCATCAGGTGAACCACCAGAGCGCTTGCCACCTTCTCACTTAAAAAAGTGAATACCACTGCTCATTGACATCTAATCACCTGAGGGTTTGCAGATTTGTTGCCAACCTTTAAAAACAAGGCGCCAGAAACGCCAGACGCCTTACGACCCAGACAACGCTGCCCATTTGTGTATCACTGTGTGTGTTATAGTTAAATTCAATTGAACTAGTTGGTTTGGTTATTACTTTTCACACATCTAGATCCAGTACGATTGCCGTTTGGTGGTATTTCATTTGTGTATTTCTTCGGTACCTCATCTGCTAATTGATGTTCTGATTTAGGATATCGCCGAGCCTCAGACCTGTAGCTTACTGTAGCGGTCTGCGCTACGGTAATGGCGACGACTACGATTTCTTGTGGCTTCGAATGTCCACAACGAATGTGGCAAGTGAGGCCCGGATCATAGCAGACGCTCTGGGCTGCACAAGCGATAAGAGTAGGCTGAACAGGTAAACGTGAATAATTTCATTGACATTGAACTCCGGATATATCAGGGAACTCCTCAAAATCAAGTATAAAATGCACAGTGAATGAAATATTTGTTTTTAAGTCGGTTTATTTTTTGTTTATAAAAATGTACTTCTTTTTAAAGCTTCTAATGGTTCCGCAACGCCTTTGAAATCCCTACGGAATACGTGAGACGCTGATCATTCGCCACCGCGACAATTAAGTCATTGAAAAAGAAACAAGTTGATTTGATTACTTAATCATTTGATTTATCAGGATTATTATTATTATTATAGTTAACATAAATAAAAAAAACAATTATAATTACAACGAACTCGGTATTTCAGCTATATGTAATAAAATGTAGTTTCTTTAAAACTGCGTTTAGTTCAGTGTTCAGGCATTCAAATTATTTTCCGCAATGTATGTTCAAGTGACTTAACTTTGATAGCTCACAGTCATTCCCTTATGGATAGGCAGTAGACTGGAAATAATTTAAAATGTTTTTGTTAGATATTTTCTTGTATATACATTTATGGTTACATATATATTTTCTTGCAGTTATCTAGTTTCGATGCAGATCACAGACAGCCCAATACGAACGCAGGATCTGACGGTGCCCTTGTCGAGCGTACTATCTAACCACAGCAACGTGCACATTGCTCTTGAAGCGTTACAGCAAAATTTTACACTTTGGAATGAAATGTAAGTGATTATTTAAAGTAATAGCATTGAGGTCATACTTTTATCAGCTTGCATTTTATAGCAGAGAGATCTTATCTCTGACGTCACCGTAGATGGTGCAGTGCAGAAGTTATATTGTATTCTGGAACGAATAAATGTAATTATGATGAATAATAAATTTTGTATTTCTCATTTAGACGCCTCCAATCAACATAATTGATATATCACTGATGTACATATAATTATAAAATTTTAATGTTGTCACTGATAACTGCCAAAGTTGTGCTTAATATGCTTTCCCAACATATATAGTTAAAGCACCACGCTTTAACTAAATATGTTGAGAAAGCATACAAAGATTATAACCTGTGTAAAATTTTAACTACCAGATACACCACCATGGATACAGTGCTGGCAACTATAGCAACCACATTGCACTCTGGCGACGACTTCAAAAAGGTAAAATGATTTTTTGTTAGATTTTTTTAATCATTGTGGTATACTTATAAAGGACATTTGTGATTGTTTTTTAATCATAGTGGTATCCTCATAAACGACATTTGTGTTTTTTTCTATGAAAGCTTTTTGCATACGAACTTTTTTTTATGTGAGAAGGTGGCAAACGAGCTGGCGGTTCACTTGATGTTAAGTGATATTGGACATGGGCATTTGCATCACAGGCAAGGTTGCAGATGCGTTGCCACCTTAATATAAAGAGGGCTCCGGCTACTTCACTTACCAGACGAAACGCAGAAGTATGACATTCCACTTCACTGGTCTTCTGTGAGGTTGTGGTACTTACCCGGACGAACCTGCCCGTTCCTACAACAGCCAAAGCTGTTGCGTGGTCCTACCACAGTTAACTGTTAGCATTGAAGGAGATATGACGTTATGACTTAAGCTTTAGAGATGCAATAAGTTTACGTTTTCAAGTCATATCGGCACCACATTTTACTGCGGTAGGGCCAAACAATCGCTTTTGCTCTTGCACAAATGGGTATGCTCGTTCGGAAAGTACCAAATCCCCACAGAAGATCAGCGTGAAGTGGAAGTATTGTACTTTTGCATTTCATCTGGTGAGTGAGGTAACCGGGGCTCACTTTTGAGGGCCGTGTTGACGCATTATACTTGTCCATGGGTAGTGGTTATTATTTAACATCAGATGATCCACCAGCTCACTTGCCACATTCTCATATCAAAATTATAAATGATAATTTAGATGTTTAGATGTTTGACTTCTTGTGCATTGTAATCACTGTGTCTTACGTGTGGCTGGACTTATTCGTGAGGGAGATCTATCGCATTGGACATGATTTTTTTTAAATGTCTGCAGCTTTCTGTGACAGCCCCAAGTTAATAAGCTTCTCCACAATTTCTTTCATGTGTGTGGGGCTAGTTCTGGGCTAGTTCTGTTCCACTGCGCGACAATGACCTTCTTGTTTACCATTCCTATCATTTTATCTAGATAAAAATATTGGTGTTTCCGAATAAAAATTTGCAACAGTGAAACAAAAAATTACGTTTCTTCGAAGGAAACAGCCCTAATGACCGGAATGATGGATCGTCTGATGTGGAACGATTCCATATCATTTTATCCCTATTGAGAGTTTGTCAAACAATGGCGCAGTAACGCCCGTAATGAATGTATGCGTAACACTGAGTGATGTTTGAGGGTCGGTCATTCGGGTCACAACGATAGAGCAATTAGCCGGCGGAAGGTCAATAAAGGCACCTCAATTTACGTTTTAGAGTAACTTGTTAAGCGATTAGCGTTGAGAAATTTTGTAACACTCGCTCTCTCTTTTGCGGCATTTAATTGTTTTTTTTTCTTATTAATCTTAGTAGCATTAGCATATGACAATAGTAATACTATAGATGTTGCAGATGTTTCGCCAATCTTTTGGGCTACCGCACTCATGGGACAAAAACAAAACTTTACCCAAGTTTTTCTCAGTTGATTAGCAGTACTAAATGCAAACGTACTCAGATAAATCCCAAATGAAATGCATTGCGCATATTTCTCAGTATTATTTTTTATCTATTTTTTTCCTATTAATTGAACAAAATTTTACGGTGGTAGAGTCATGCAGCAGCCTCGGCTGTTGCACGAATGGGCAGGCTTATCCGGGTAAGTACCACGATCTCACAGAAGACCGGCGTAAAGTGGAAGTATAATACTTTCGTGTTTCTTCTGGTGAGTGAGATGGCCGGAGCCCAATTTTCAAGAGGTTGTCAACACATCTGTAACCCTCGGGTGTAGCAGATGTCCATGGGCGGCGGTATTCACATAACATCAGGTGAACCGTCAGCTCATTTGGCGACTTTTCACATTAAAAAAAATTATACTTACAGACTAGATTTATAATTATATTTTTGAAAAATATTTATCTCTGAACATTTTGATATGTCATACCTCCGTACAAGTGAACAGAAATCTTATAAGTAGTGTTGTACTTTACTGTAAAACATATTTAAAGCTTGTGTAAAATAAAAAGGAATAATCTTCGAGAAGATGAGACAATGTATATATATATGAATATAACAAAGAATGCTTCTGTGTTTGTGCCTTATCGTTGCTTAACGATTTCTCTAATTGCAATGAAACTGGCAAGTTGATGTGCGTCCAAAAGTATCTAAGTTGTTAAGTGCAAAATAATCTTAACAAAAAAAATTGTTTCCGATAAATACTTTGTCGTATTATAACTAAGACGGATGTAACATAGATAAAATAATCAAATATCATTGACCTTCTCCTGCATCTTTCCGAACGCGTTTGAAAAATATTAGTGCAGTCTGGCACAACGCCATCTGCGTATTGTAAATTTGTTCATGACCTTGCCGAGCCGCGAACGTTTTTAGCTTTGCGATCGTAACGAATCATTTGACCTATTTACGGTATTCTTGGAGATTTTGCCTTGAATTTTTCGAACAATTTATTTTGATGATTTTGTTAAAAAAATTCTTCCAGGTTTCTAACGATCCTTTCCATCTATATATTTTAGGCCGAAAAAAGTTCGGTGAAATTAGGATATCGCTGGTTATCTCTCTTTGATCATTTAGGTTTGCCCCTTATGTGTAGAAAGAGATAATATTTAGTAGAACACCAATTTTACACTTTAGTATAATTGATATAGATAAAATAAATTATCCTTATTTGAAGGCAAAATAAATTTACTGGTATTTGTGTACTTAGTGAATTTTATTTTGAGGAAAATAAAAAAATACTATTATACATTAAAAATACTGGTTTAGTAGCTGAAATTTAAAAAAAGGTAATCGAAGGATATTTGCGACCCTTGCGCCACTTATCTTCTCTTCCACAAAAATAAAACAACGAAAATATATTTACCCTCTATCTGTAAATTTGTAATTTAACATTCAAAAAAAATTCTTCGTAAAAAGGAAGAAGTGTTATTCTATAGTTAAACATAATTTTATATGAGTCACAAAATAACTCAATGAGGAAAATTATTACTGATCGAGTTGGTGTAGTGGATAGTAAACCGTGTCTCTTGCACCAGAGTTTGTAGGTTCGATTTTCTATTGTCTTGGTGTTTCTATATCTATAATATGTATTTATTTATAAAAGAAAAGTACATTAAAGTACATTTCTCTGTTATCTAGTGCCCATAGTACAAACTTTGCTAAAAAAATATGTCCCGTAATAATTTTTTTATTTATTTATCAAAAAATCTGTTTGCAAAGGTTTTTCTAAAACATCGGCTTCAATTACAGTTCGAAGATTGGCTAAGTTCGTGCCAGCAGTGCACAGAGCAGGCCTTAAACTCAGCGAAGGGTGCCCTGGCGAAAGCGCGCGCTTCAGCTCAATGGGCAGAAGACCATAAGGAAGATGTCCTGAAAGGGCTAAGAAGCTTCGGAACCTCTGCGTCAGCATCCTTCGTTGTTATCGCCATTGGATTGCTGATAACTCTTTGCATGAATTAGTTATACACTGCTCTACGTAGCATTATTTAGAATTGTACACGTTATAGCTATAATTCTTTTTTCTGTTTTTTATTAAATTATTACATTTTTTTCCGCAGTAATTACTAGATTCCTTTGTTGCAGTTCAAATTTTGTTTTAAGAAATTTATTTTTTGACTGTACATAATATTTGTGCGTTCAAAAATATACTTAGAAGTAAAAAAAATGTACAGTTTAAGTTAATGAGAAATTTAAAAAGTTGAAAGGTACGTTCGAGTACGTATGTACGAGTTATCACATGAATAATAACTTCACTTTATAATAATTTAAACCCACATGTAAAATTGCACATTTTAATTAAGTTATTTTTCCTTTTTCTTTAGAATATCGAAGTAATATTAAGTTAACATAAGCGATTTTATACCGTTGAAATATAGAAATGTAAGTTTGAGTAATTGAAAAATGTTGAAGTTTATGAAGAGATCCCTCTCCACTTAATTTGTAGAATAGTATGTGAATGTAAATAAAAATTTTCTTTTTCAAATGAATTTCCTATGTAACTTATATTTTAATATAGCATTTTCACATCTTGGACTTGTTCCTTACACTACCCCCTTCCCTGGTGCAATAAACATATTCCATTTGTCGGAAGATTCCGTTGATTTTTTGGTTAATGAATGCATTTCTACGACCGGCCACCTGCCTGGCGTCAACACTCCGTAGGAATTCTAGTGTTAGTTTTTCGGTAAGGATATGGGATTTTTTTTGAGCGGGAACTAGGCTAAGGATAGAACTGTGACGGATGGTTAACGTTAATTAACAGTAGTAGTGGCTCGAGGAAGCTGTGGTAGTCATACCAATCCTTTGGCTTCCTTGGAAAATCTTGAAAGTGGCACCAGTAACTGAGAAAATACGGAGTGGTAGGTTGACACGGTATGGTCACGGTCTTAATATCTAACATATAAAATGTGACTAGAAAAGTGATGAGAATATTGGGATTGAGAGATTGGAGGGTGCAAAGTTAGCGGAATACCTTCAAAGATTTGGATGGACTGTCTGAAGAATGATACGTCTGTGAAAGGGGCGAGTATTGAGGTGACGAATGACGGCTAATCCAGGGAAGTGGAAGGAAAGGTCATGTTGTACCGACCCAACCCAGCGTGGGATTTTTTTTTTTTATGTGAAAGTTGCCAAACGAGCAGACGGTTCACCTGATGGTAAGTGAATACCGCCGCTCATGGACATCTGCTACACCCGAGGGTTACAGATGCGTTGACAACTTTTTGAAAATTGGGCTCCGGCTACCTCACTTACCAGACGAAACGCGAAAGTATTTGTCATACTTCCACTTTACGCTGGTCTTCTGTGAGGTCGTGGTACTTAACCGGACGGGCCTGCCCATTCGTGCAACAGCCGAGGCCGCTGCGTGGCCCTACCACCTAAATATGGTGTACCACGGATATGAGTAGGAGAAAGAAAGATCTTTATATAGCGTTTTCATTGGACATTGCATTCGTTTTGGAGTATTACTTATGTCAACATGGATCAAGTTCCTGTCCAGGTTTTACTTTACGAAATAAATTAAAGTTTCACCGTTCTTCTGGTGAGTGAGGTAACCACCCACTTCTTTAAAGGTTATGCGAGCCATCGTGTGTTATAGGTGTCCATGGGCGACGGTATTCACTTAATATCAGGTTAACCGCCTGCTCGCTTGTCGAATTTTCACAAAAAGAAAGAAATTTCTTGGCCTTCTGTGACCAACAAAAGTTTTTCGAGTTTGATGAACGTTTGTGTACGTTTTGTTTATAACTGCAGTAAGCACAAAGTGTTCGAAACATACTATGGATCTCTGCTTTTAACATTCTATACTGGTCCCTTAACCATTTAGCCTCTGAGTCTATTTCAACACTTTCTATCGGGAAGTTTTTAAGCAATAATCGGGTTTTTAACGAAAAAAGTAACATCTCTATAAACGATGATCAATCAGCGATCCGTCCTTAAATGGAGAATGCCTTTAAGTATTTCCCGGCGCCATCCGCTTTCAAATGCTGCTTGACTAATTACACTGACAGCTATGGCTGGATTAGCCTGTTTTATATTGCGTTCTTTTCTACTGTTTTCAAATTATTTAAGTGAACTCTTCACGCATTACAATACTGAAATCTTATATTATATACATGTCTAGATAGATTGAAAATTCTTTAATGCAAAGTAGTTTCCATTATCGATAATTGTATTTATAAAGAAGCAACAATTAATACAGTTTCCTTTTGATTTTTTTTTGCTGTATTCTTCTAAACTAAATCAAACATAAAGGAATTAAAAAAAATATGGCCAGTATTAAAAAGCTATAAAGGGGCTCGCCCTTTTCCTTTATCGGCAAACCCCATTCGCCTTAATTTATGATAGGGAGAACGAAATCCAGGAAGGAAACGTCTATTATGATATTTGAACCTCCTTAAGCATAAGCGAAATTGAAGAATTTTTGGAAGCTTACAACGAACTTGGTATTTGCTACAAGAACTATAATAAATGTGGTTACAATTAACGATACTTCATTTTACAATCTGTTAAAAATATAGACGAATGTTGTTATGAACATAAATAGAAGTTTAACCATCATAAACAGATCTCCGTTTACGCACACCGCTATCGGTAATTCTCCTCAATAAGGCGGTGGGGCGGACCTAAAAACGTTGGACCGCCTTGGCGCCAATCCGTTGCATAGAGCGCAAAATTCAAAACGCTGTTATACTCGGCGCGGTCGGACGTGTTGTTTAGGCGCGAAATAGTTAACACGAAATTCGAAAACAAAAGCGACAACATGTTCGCGCGCTTCTTATATTTCTTAATATTTTTTACAACGATCGACGCAAGTTTCGTTGAAGAGGAGTGCCTCAACTACACTGTATACCCGGTGCAATATGAACTGACGATAATTCCGTACATATACAAGACGGGCGATTCGTATTACGACTGCAGCTTGGTGGTGACCATTATAGCGAACGCGCCTAACGTGAAGGTGATAGAGATGGACGCTAAGGGCTTGGATATAAGGCGGGATTCCGTGGGTGTGTTTGACGGCAGCCTGGACTTGGTGAACAAGCACAGACCTTACGAGTATGACGCGGGCAGAGGCAAACTGTACATATATCTGACTGATTCACTGAAGATGTACAACGTACACAAGACGCAATACCTGTTGAAAATCTCCTTCAACAAACATATCAGGAATGTGGACGAGGGCATATTCCTAGCGGACTACAAGGAGCACTCAAAAACGAAGTGAGTAAAAATTTAATTGTCATTTTTGTTCTCTGTTATTACTGATTTCATTTATTTGGAAAACGTTCAGTAAGTACGTATTACGCGCTCGATTATTTACATTTTCACAAGTTGTTTCGAAAACCGGTCGAGTTTCCCCCGATAGCGGCAGGTGGAATAGAAAATTCAATAAAAAGAAAACTGGCGACACAAATATTGTTTTTGAAGATTGTACGTAGGTTGACGACTATTTGTCTAGTAAAACTATTACCTCTTACATTATTACGTTGATTATTACATCGAATATTTATTTACAAAAGAAAAACCTGAGGGTTGATATGCCTTTTATATCTAAACTCCATACGTTTTGAGTTTGCCATTTTGAACGCGAAAAAGTACATAAAGCCATTTTATAAATCATGTACTACACATAAAATTATCTCTGAAAAAAAGAGATTCCGATGTAAATTATGTATTTACAAACAAAATATAAAAGCTGTAAATAGCGTACAACTTTTATAAGTTTCTAGCTTTCCACGCCTCCACCAGCATAATTGTTCTTTAAATAGTATTTTTTGATGGGGTGTTTATGAAATTATTTAATTATACGTATCGTGGTGGCTTATGCTTTGTTTTATTGGCAAGCGCAAAACGTTACAATAACTGATACAGCTATACTATTCATATAAGGATGTCGAAGATGCGACCTTAAGGTTTTTATCAATTTGCTCAAAGCGCCTAATAAAATTTTCACTTCAAAAAAGTTAGCGAAGATGTCATTCAGTTGTTCATTCAAATTGCAAAAGTACAACTTGCAATAACATCTACATTTATATATATATATATATATATATCATGACATCTACATATATATCATGACAATTGAACTTGGTGTTGCAAAATGTAATTATAAATTATGAATGAAACCACAACGAAGATCACAAGCGCATGAAATAAGTATGCATCATCGTATTATGGCATCGTTCTAAATTTAAAAACGCGCACTACACACCCAACAATAAATGTTGAGACTGAGTGCGTTGCAATGCTTTGATTTGATTCAAATACGGAGCATTTTAATGAAATAACAGAGACTTGTTGACAAACAAAAACATTCATTCAATAATATACTCAGGTGTTCTAATTTCGATACAGATTCATTTGCTTTGATTCCAATATTAAATCGTCGCGAGCTCTCCGAATAGTAACCATATACTTTATGAATAAAATCCATAAGTATTTTTCAGTCTGTCTGTGTGCAATAATGGGAGAATCATCAGTCAGATTTTTTGCATTAGGTAAGAAAATATATCATGAGACCAAGTTTAAGAATACATATGGCGGTCATAGGTTACTGATCACGCGTTACGTATATTTGGGCAGTAGCACGCCCGGTTTCTGAAACACTGATCATCGTAGAAGTTAACTAATCAGCTGTCAAATGGATTTTCAAATGTTATTTGAATTGCCAAAATGATAGTTAAACTCTCCGAATTGAACAGAATGATCTTCTTAATGATCAGAATGATTAATTCAAAGAGTTTAACCATCTTTTTGGAAACTTAAACGACATTTAAACTAGGCGTTCTGCGAGACTTCACCCTTATGCTGTCGACGTTCCCAGAATAAGAACCAAGCGATTTGCTTCGTCATTTATTATCCGTACAGCTAAGGAATGGAACAATCTGCCGGCGTCTTTCCGTCCGATTACAACGTAGGCGTCTTCAAGGCAAGAGTGAATAGGTTTTTACTGAGTTAGCGCGCTTACCATCAAAGGCTGCATCACCACTTACCATCTGGTGGGATAGCAGTCAAGTGCTGGCCAGAAATAAAAAAAAATGAAGTCATTTGACAGCTGATTAGTTAATTTGTATGATGATTGGTGTTTCAGAAAGCGGGCGTTAGTAATTCAAAATCTAAGTTGCCTGTTAACGGAGCTCAGTAAGTCCCTGGAACTGCTGACCAACCCATAAACTATAGCCCAAGAGAATGATTCCAAATGCGCTATGGAATTTTCCCTCAAATAGTTTTAAAGCCTTTTATCAGAAATGAAATGTTAATACAGTTTGTGCCTGTTACGAATCGAGATAAATTAGCGCCAATTATTGGTTACAGTTTAAATTTGTTCTTTTCCGCAAAATAGGAATTAGCAAAATGATTACAGAAATATATGATACATGCTGAAGTTTGAAGGTCCCTTGATGTAGGTCGGATATAATCATTTGAGTTAATAACAAGAAGATTTTTTAAATCTGAACAATTAAATGACCCCGTAGGTGTTTATTACAAGAAAAACTAAAACAAAATATTCATAAACATTTTAGCTTTAAAACCATGAGGAAGATACCTGTTTTTTTGAATAATATATCTTATATAATAAAGCCTATTTTATAAATTCATTCTTACATTACATTTTATATTTTATTTATTTATTTATTCAAGTGAAAAACTGTTTGGTTCACATTACATACAAGCAATCAGATTAAGATATTGTTTACATGTTTACTTGTGATATGGTTATTCAATTTGTTTTTGATGTAGAACAATTTAATTTAATTTAACTTTAGCAATACTTTTTACATTATACTCTTGGGTAATCATCAAACCTCAATAATAACACACCCTTATACAATTAAGAGTACATGTAATTCAAACAGCAAAATCAGCTTGCTGTACATTGGTTTTAGTTAAGGTTAGTAAAATTGATCAGTAGGTACGGTAAAAATAAAAATATGGTTTTTACAAGTGACTAAAAATTTTTATTACAACGTTAACGGTTTTGCTTGGTCGCGAGTATGATCAGTGGTAAACCTTTAACCAGCATAAGAGATAATAAATAATAATGTTTATATTTCTTAAAAAAAATTATTTATAACATAATACAGGATTAGCTATGCTGAATGTACCAAGAACTCATAGTGAACCGTGTGTTAATTTAAATAAATTAGGGCTTTCAATTTTAATGAAACCGACAAAAACGTTCCCCTATTTAGTAAAGTAAATAATCACCTCATAAATGTCTCACTGATGGAAAATAGCCTCTGCATAGAACTCACTGCGGATTGGCAGACCACATATTTTCGAAATATATTGTTTTTGTTATTTTTTCGAAAATATGCAGGTTTCCTCACGATGTTTTCTTTCACCGATGAGCACGTGATAAGGCAGCACATAAGATTAATAATTTCGTTGGCGCCGACACTGGGATTTGAACTCGGGTTGCTCGAGTATTGTGAATTAAAACCAAGCGACCACCGGCTCCCTATTTACTTATTACTACTTAATGTGTGGCCATAAAACCTGCCTTTGCCCAGCAGTGAGACATGTATAGGCTGTTACTTTACTTTACTTTATATGGTAAACAGCACGGTCTGTTATTTAAAATGGTGTTTTCCTCTGTCCAATTAGAAAAAAAAAATATTTTTTAAAATTTTATTTTTATTTATAATGGGGTCAATTATCGTTAGGAACATTTGAAATAATTGCGGTATTAGGTCATCAACGTAACCGTGACCGTACCATCATGAGAGATTCCAGCATCAAAATTCTGGATAATTGTTCAATTATTCATCAAAATACGAGTAACACATAACAAGGCCAATGTGTAACCTATATAAAAAAACAACATTATACTTTTAAGCATAAACGATTTAGTCACATTCATGACTGTAGTCTAATTACCTTGTATACAATAAACTTTGATTGACAAAGTAGTAAACTTCGGTTTAGTAAAATGACACGATCTGGGTGCTACTTATTTTTTAATCATTCCTATATTTTTCCATTAATTCATGTACGATTTATTGGCTAACGATTTAAAAAAAAAAACTAAAAAGGCAGCAAACGTGTAAATATAAAAACTAAACAATAATTAACGAGCTAACACAAGCTAAACACTTACTAAGTTAGTATAAATCATAATGCTTTTTTTTAATTTAAAATGTTGCCACAGTCGTGACTGCGGCGTGGCCCTACCACTGTAAAATAATTCTAATAAAATGCTACCGTCATCAAAGTTATTGTAAAACAACAAAGTCATGCAATCAACAAAACCATTGACTAATACCAAGTCTATTAATGACCTTTCGCAGTCGCTTATTGTCCAGAAGCCTCAATAATAGGGCTCAGTTTATAGCCCTAATGTCTCGGATCGTTAATTTCCTTCAAGTGGGACCTCTTCCGTCTCTACTTTTAAATGTCGAAAGCAAAGTAACGTCTACAATGATGTAGTATTCGATAAGAAGATTTAAATTACTGCACATATGTAACAACAATATTTGAATGTGAATTATGTAAAAGATTACATTCTTACACTCTTGCGGGGCAGATAATAGAATAGATAGAAGTGGAGGATGTATCTTGTTTCCATAAACCTATACGATATTACAGCGTATATTTCTTAACATTATATATTATAGTTGCAAACGTTATGATATTCCCTTAAGGTACAAAATTACGACTTTGCCGCCAAATTTATTTATTCTTTTCTTAAAATTCGAATACGATGATTTTGAAAGAAATTAATTCAATGAATGTTAAATTAGATGCACGTCATTTTGATTTGAAACTGCGACCTTGAGATTGCTAATTCTTAGCCTCCAAGCAATCGCTGCCTTTTTGTTACTTTTTTACTCTAAGCTCATTATTCTCAGAGAGTACGTCGCTTCAGTTAGTTAAACTACACGCGGTTTCCGGTAATGAAGTGTTAATGATAAATGAGCGAAGCACAGGGCGATAACGAGATGGGTGGAAAAATTTACATGTTCGTATGAAACAATTTAAATAATTATTTGTTGTAAAATACATTATTATACTTTAACTATATTTTGTAAACAAAATTTAACAAAGACATACTCGTAGCGACATGCCCGATAAAAAGTATGTCACGTCAAAACAAAATCGTCTTGTCACGCGAGGATTATTCATTTCAATACGACGAGCTTAAACGTTCGTTAATCGATACATGCGAGAGACGTTCTCCTTTAGTGTTGTCACCGCATCGCATTCATTGCGCGACACAATTGACGTAGATTAGTCGCGCATCACTAGTTTAGTCGTCTTAAGCGGCCTTGTCCCGCCCGCGTGGGTCGTGGACCAGTTTGCCCCGCACCATATCGGGAGAGGTTTTTACAAGCGTCTCTCGTTTGACCGATATTTACGATAGGAACGATAATAAAATCTTGATGGGCCACGCAACAGTGTTCACTTTTTTTATTTAATTTTTTTTTAAATACTATATACTAACTTTGGGATAACATTACCTGCGTTGTAAGGACGTTTTTACAAACATAAATTTCACGCGGACAAACACCCCGATGCGGAACAACTATCTGTGGGTCACACAAATAGTTGTCCCGTGTGGGAATCGAACCCACGACCCCCGACGCCGAAGCCGATACCTTGGTGACTGCGCCACGGAGACATCAACAACAGCATCACGTTCGTATGGGTATGAGAGAGATCCTTGTATATCTTATAAACAGAACTAATGCTTTAAGTTTATCGTGGTCATATTTTACAACATGATTTTACTTTAGTGACTCAATTCAACTTAAATAAGCGGATTAATGAATGTATAATAATTATAGTTGTATCAAGGAAAAATAATTTTAAATAACTCGTTCTAAGAAAAAGTATATAGAATTTTGCTTATTTATTGTCACTACATGGTATAAAAGAAAATCTCCCCGCTGTTTGTCTGTCTTTATGTATGCTTAGATCTTTAAAACTACGCAACGAATCTTGATGCGGTTTTTTTTCCTAGATATACTGATTCAAGAGGAAGGTTTATATGTATAATACATTGCAGCCGCACGAAGCCTGGGCGGGTCGCTAGTAATTACTAAAAGCTTACTTTGTGGCGCTGTCGCTAAGCTATTGGCTTCGGCGTCGGGGTTCGTGGGTTCGATTCCCACACGGGACAAATATTTGTGTGACCCACAGATAATTGTCCTGGATCTGGATATTTGTTCCCCAAGATGGGTTGGCATCAGGCACGCGGCCTCGGTGCGCGGTCGTAAAAAACATAGCAAAAACCGCATACAACATGAATTACATACTCGGCCGACTACACCAAGGTGCGAAAATGATGGCGTTGACTAAAACCTTTCTAACGAGAGATGAAGCGTTTGCAATTTTATTCCAGGTACTTATTCGCAACGAGACTATCGCCGAACAAGGCGAAACACTTCTTCCCGTGTTTCGACAATCCTCGCTTCGAGGCGGTTTTCAAATTCAAGGTTTTCGCTCCGCCATCGCGTGTTGACCTCCAGACGTCTAACACTAGCCTAGTCATTGCCAAGGAGCAGAGACGGTATACGTAAGTATACTGTTTTATAATTATATTATTTCTCAGTGTGGTATAGAAATAAGACCACTGAGGTATATGTAAGATTATGGTCTAATAGATGACCGTATTATTCTATTGCGTTTAGTGAGGTGGCTTGAAAGCCACCCTTATAATGGCTTACAACATCTGTAACACCTCTGCAGGTGGATTTTAACCTTGTTCGTTTAAATGAATGTTCGCTAAGCCAATATAAAAACTTCTACTCACTATTTTGCAAATTAGGATGCGGTTACTACCTCTTATCGCTGAAAGAGACTTTTAAATCCACGGAGACGAATCCTCCGATAAGAGCTTTTCGATAATTCTCTGTATTTTATAAATAATACGGATTTGCTGGTTTAATCTATACCTAATCCACGAATGGCTAGTTTAGAATTTAACTGAACGCTTTAAAGGCACGGAATGTCCCGATGAGTACATTCTATTACATAGGTGAGCACTAAGAAATTATGTCAGAATTTGCTTTCTAGTTAGTTTTCTCTTTGATTTTCTCCTTGTTGGTTGACTATTGCTCTTAAAATAATTCTAATAAATAAAAGCTTTCAATTAAGAACTAACGTCCAAACTATATCATTATTCAAGACTAAACTATACCATATTCATTCTATATCATTATTCCGATTATCATACATATCTTCAACAAATTTCGAGCATCATTTTGTCAAGACAAATATTTTTAATATATTTTTGTATCTGCTTGTTACTAAACCTTTTATTAATTGTGTACAGACAATATCAATTCTCTCTTTCACTTCTAGAGTTTTGTGGTAAGCGGTTGAAATATAATCCTTTGAGTTATCATTAAATGTCACAATGGTGTGTTCATTTAATATGTTTAAAATAAAATTTGACAACATTAAGTCGTTAGTGCAATCATATTGCTAAACATTCAAAAAATAAGCTCTTGTGTTGACAATTTTATCCAACCAATGATATATTTGCCTTGTGTTTTCTGTCCAAATTATCAGCAATCCTACTTCAATGACCAGTAACGTACATGCAACACAATAATTAAATTATCAATTATAAAATTTTATACTGTATTATATTTGAATATTTAACATACGTACACTGCATAATTATAAGTATAGTGTGGTAAGATTACGGTACAGCGACTTCTGGCAGAACATAAAAAAACTCGTTATACACATGTGAACAAAAGGGGGATAGTAATCTATAATAGCAGTTGAACGAGGCGAAAATATATTGAAAATACATTATCCCCGTATAATAAAGTCGAATATTAAAGACTACCACGCAACATGCGAAGTGCAACAATTAAGGCAATCAATTCCGTACTCCAGATTTAGCTCCCATATAAGCTTTCCTTCAGACGAGTTTACAAATTGGTTTCTATATTTTTTCTCGTGTACGCAGCTGTTCCGGAGATTGGCGATTCGCCTCCGACGGACTTGAAGAAACCACAATAATTGACACCATTCCCAGAGTCCGTACTCTATCACTCACCGTATACGGCCTAATGGAGTGTTTATAGGGCTTGCCATAGCACCAGCGGCGCTTAAGGTGCGTTTATGATAGTACGGATTTCAACCAAAAAAGAAATGTTTATTCGTATTTGCTGCATTCGTACTGTTGCTATGCTTTTTTGCAAGTCGAGCGCAGTGACAGAATTTCGACGAATTACATAATTATTTCCTCTTTCACTTTCAATTGACGAACAGAAATTCAATAATTTTAAGCCACATGAATGACTCATGCTTTATAATACATACAGCAAAGCAGTATCAAAATATGCTAGAAACCGTCTTTCTTCAAATCTTTTCTGAGCTATTTCGTTTACCAGCTCTAATCATATCATACACTATGATGACAATCATAAATGGCGGTATGTAACATAATTAACTATATATATTTGAGAAAAGAGCCTGCTCATTTTACATATAAATATGTAAAAATGTACTAGAGAACATTTGCATTTTTTTAATTCAATATACTCGAGAATCTCGAATTCGATCCCCGGTGCCGGCACCAATAAAATTGTTAATTGTAAGTATTGATTTATCGCGTACTCAGCAGTGAAGTAAAACATCGTGATAAAACCTGCATATTTTGGAAATAATAAAAAAAACTAGAAGACATGTGAAGTTCACCAATCATGGGGACATGTACTCGTAGATAGGCTGTTACTATTTTTTTTACAAAAAGTTATATGATCTCCGTCAAGAATTTATAACAAGAATTTTTACGTATATAGTGATGAGCATTTCGACCAACTTTCCTAGTAGGAATAGTTACACTAATTGATGGTGCATTGAATTGCACACAGCTGATGTACTCTCAGAAGTGTAATTCATTTTTTCAATGCTATTTTTTTCAATTCAAAATATTAGCCAAGGTTCAAAAGATTTTCAAAATCTTAGCCAAAAAAATGGTAGTTGATGAAAAAGATGTAGTGTTAAGGAATATGGTAGAGTGTTAAGCTTGTAATGAATGTGTCGACGATAGAGCAAAGTGAAGAGCAAATCTAAGAAAGCAGACCTCACCATCATGTGGGATATCAAGCTTGGAAGAGAGAGAGATAAGCCAAGCTTAAAAAAGGTGACGGTTAAGGGAGCAAAAATAACCGTTATTGTAAATAATTATTTTTTTTATATCGTCTACAAGCTAACAGCAAGACCGCACCTTTATATTGGCGTTTACAATTATAATAGGGGAAAGCCCACAACTTTTTCTGCTTCGTAGAACTTCGACGTGGAAAATGCAGGGAAAAAAAATAATAATTACAAAATATGCTTTACAGGAAACAACGTTGTTTGTCATAAATAGGTTAAAAAATACTAATTCGTTCATGATCTTTCAGGTATCTTTCTTTCATTGCTAATATACTCTATATTCTTACTCTAGTGATAGAGATACCATTGAAAGTAAACAAAGGCTTACTATAAATGTTATTAATGTACCTATTAACGAGTATGTAATGTTAGCTCATAGTTGTCCAATATTATAAACGAATTCGTTAATTATTCAAAAAGTAAAAATCTTTTTTCACATAGACGCTTGCGCGTTCTTTTTTTGATGATAAATAGAGTTGCTCTTTTTTGAGAAAAAAATCAACAGTTGCTCTTTTTTAAAATCAGTTTATAATAGTACAGGTACAATAGTCTTGTTTTAGCCTACGTGAGTATCAACAGTATTAACCCCACACATTAGCGTCGTCAAGATATTCGGCAATAGTATAATAGGCTTTAGCCATAAGTGTACTTTTACATTGTACACATATATTTGTACATAGGTGTATTTTTCGTTTAAATTCATCAAGTGGCAGACTTAACATCGACTGTGGGATTTTATTATACATGCGCACACTTTGCCCCATGAACGACCTGTTTACGTGATAAGTTAAAAATAGGTACTTTCTTTAGTTTTTTAACATTTTTTGCAAATTTTTACAAAGAGTGCTACTGCTATATAGAAATAAAAGGTAGAGCAAACTTTGAAAACAAATTATTAAAATTAATAACAGCCTATATATGTCCCACTGCTGGGCAAAGGCCTCCTCTGTACAGAGGGTAATAATAGTAAAATATTAATGACAATCATGATATCATTCTAATTCCATCTACCCTTTGATAAGTGCAAGAGTACAATAATAAAGCCGTTTGTTTCAGTGGGAGCAATGATTACGTGATAATCGAGTACGTACCGTCACCTCAAGTGACTCTGGACCAAGTCGGCTTCCACTACTCGAACTTTGTCAGTCGTCAGGTCATGGCTAAAAACACTAACGACACCTTGATAGTTTGGGCACCAAAAGACAGTATCCAAAACTATAACTTCATACTGCAGTTCGGAGAGGCGATTATAAATCTGATTCACGAATTTGCCACCACACGCCGGCCTCTATTAAATGGGCCCATAAATCTAGTAGCAGTACCATCATTACTTAATGGATACGAGATTAGCAGCTGGAACCTCTTGGCCAACGGGTGAGTACTTTAGCTAATTTAACTCGTTCCGTACGCGCTATGTTTGGAAAACATAAGTGCATACTTATGGATAGTCTTTGATGAATGTAGAATCAAGTAGGTGGTTTAATCCAACCATTTGATAATAGAGGGATGTAATAGATGTAAAGCAACTTTATTGAACAAATATTATTACAAAACACAAAAAAAGAGCGAGAGGGCTGAGGATAGTGTGGACGGCGATAAAAGAGTCGTGATGAGAAAATTATGTGTGAACTTATGTACACACGTAAGAAGTTATTCTTCTTTAGCGTATCAGAAGAAAAATAACTAAAATTTTATCCTATGTGCTAGTACTCTTTGTCTGCGAAAAAGATATTAAATTGAATTGTTAATGGTTTGATTAAATAAATGACTTGGAATCATAGTTAAATGTCAAAAGTTGTTATGGGTTGCCATGGTTATACCGTGAAGTTGGTTGGTAGTTTGCAACCAACTGTCGCTTTTTGTTTTGTTTGATATTAAAAATTTTAATGAATGAATGAATATACTTTATTGCACACCAAAAATAAAACAAACAAAAATTAAAACTTAATGTAATGGGTACAATGGGCGGCCTTATTACTAAGAGTAATAAGGCCGCCCATTGTACCCATTTTTACTCGCTTAATTTTTTTCGAACGCTCCAAAGGGTAGTATGACTATAAAAAATCTTAAAATGATTTAATTAAATCGCTGAATAAAATATTCTGTACAAACTTCTAAACTAGAAAAATTCCTTAAACAAATATTGTGTACACTAATTGTGTACACAATATTTGTTTAAGGAATATATTTTTGGACACAAAGTGCATACTATTTTTTAAACATAGAGTTAAATAAGTGTATGAAAATGGTGAAATACAGACGGAATTTATGTACAGTGCAACTGTGCGATTCCGTAAATTAGAAAATTTTCTTAAAGTAGATATTATGTGAACAAGTAAAATACATTTTCACAACATTCCATAAAAATGTTGTGAAAAATTAATTAAATCGCATCCGCTAATATTTTAAACGTTACAACAATTCGCTTTCCTATTACACTGAGCTAAGGCGAGGTCAACTAAAAGAAGACTAGCTGTAACATAAACTACGTGTTGTTTAAAAGTTGCTATTTCAAATGTTTATTATTAAATCGCAAATTATCAGAATAACATAAGAGGTAAATCGGAGATGAAAAACTTTCGCATCACTGTTTCTACGTGATGCGGATGCGCATTTAGTTTATGTTCATATTTCTGAGACTGCTATTTCTCCCTTATTGTATAATTTATCAACCGTAGTGCAGACATAAGCACTAACTAAAATTAATTATAAATATAAAGCTGTTTTTAAGAAATCAATTTCAGGACTCTGTGGCGCGATTGCCAAGTAATTATACATACAGGATGCTACTTCGGGGGTCGAAGATACGTTTCGTACACGGGACAACTAGTTTCGAGTTTGTCCACGTGAAATTTATGTATGTAAAACGTCCATATAGCACAGGATAATGTTATCATACATTAAGGGCAAAGTGCTTTTAAAGAATAAAAGAAAAGAAAGACTAGCATTGCCTTATATATTTTTTTAGTGCTGGCTGACACCATCGCCGCCTGCTGCGGCCCTTGTCATCTATTTTCCATAAATAATAATATGAACATAATCAATGTTTCCAGCGAAAGCAGACTCGGGTACATTCCTCAGATAACAAGCATAAAGCAGATGAATGACATGACGTTTGAATTGGCACAACAGCTGTGCAGGATATGGCTGGGCAATCCCGGTGAGCCGCAAAGGACGAGGTGGAAAGAGGAGTGGTTCAAGGAGGGAGTTGCAACATACTTGGCGTATTATTTATTGGCACAGGTAAGATTTAAATACTCCAAATTTCATCTTATGAGATACTAACGTAGTAGATTCTGTTGTGATACTTACGTATTATATGCAATTTTCGAAAAATTCATCTGTAATTTATTTGTTTTAACGATTTTTCATGTCGGTGTTAAATTTTTTTTTAATATAATTTTTATTAAATAAAGTAGAAAAATTTAAATTAATCTAAGTAAGAATTACCTTATTTCTTTTAATATAAATGATACGTCGTATATAACAACGCGAAAGCAAGATTTAGCGAGAAAAACTAAGATCGGTTAAGTCATCCACCACTCAGACCCGACACCATTAACATAAGAAAATTAATAGTATTCGCAAAAAAGTAAGTTAAAGTGAAAACCAAGCAGTTTACGGTTAGTAATAGATTTTACCAACCAACTGTATAAGAGAAGGTGCCAAGTGAGTTGGCGGTACACCTGATGTTAACTGATAACCGCCGCCCATGGACATATGCAACACCTGTGAGGTTGCAGATGCGTTGCCGCCTCTTAACATAGTGAGCTCCGGTTACTCACTCACCAGACGAAGGGCAGAAGTATAACATGTCAACTCCAGGTTGGTCTTCTTTAAGATCGTGGTACTTGTTCAGATGGATCTGCCCACCTTAATCTTTATTCCTTTTAATTTCAGTACAATAACGGTGAAATGGCCTCGGAAGACATTGTGCCCATTGGCAAATATGGTCTCGATATGAAGCACAAGTCAATGTCATTAGATTGGCATCACAGCACACCGGCGTTAGCGGCATTCAACAGAACGTTAGCCGTCGAAATACCGTCGAGGTACAAGCAATTGGTGACCATGAAGACGGCATCCATACTGTGGATGGTTGAAAATTGGCTAGGAGCGGAGAGGTTCCAGAAGGCTTTGGCCAAATATATCAACTCGAGGTGAGATCGAAGTTTGATAAAGACTAACTATCGCATGGATACATAATTAAAATATACAAAAATTTAAAAATAAAAGGAATCTGTTAAAATATTAATATTAATATTTAATTTCACTACTTTTTATCTGCTAGCTCAGTGTCAGGTCTCCCGATTTCCTCCAAATCCCAGTACAAGCACCAATAAATTGTTAATCTTATGTGCTGACATCAAGTGCTCAGCAGTAAAGGATAATATTGTGAGGAAACCGGCATATAATGACAAAAAAATATTTCGAAGATATGTGAAGTCTGTCGATTCGCAGTGGGGCTGCGTGGAAGACTATACCCTAATATCCTCTGTGCAGAGGAGGCCTTTGCCTATCAGTTGAAAGAGCCTGCCCATAGAGAGATATAGAATAGTATTGTCTTTCGAAGTTTCGAAGTAAAAAAATACAAAAAATAAATACCAATTTAGATTATTCACAAAAACCGTCATTTTTTTTGTATTTACTGCTTTCACTTTAATATTTCTATGTGTTTGTGAAACTATACGTAATGTTTAAACATTTTAATGAAAGGCTATTCAGAATTTCTTTTTCTGAAATTTATTTCAAAATTTAACACCACTAAACAATGTCGAGGTTAAGCAAGAAACTATGCTTCTCTGATGTTCGTTTACAGGTCAAGACCCTGCGATAAGTGTGATACTAAATTCGCACTATCGTTTAATAAGTATAAAGATTTTATGTGTCATGAATGTATGTGTTGTTTGTTTAAAAATGAATGATTGCCACATTTTGTTATACTTTCTTCAAATGCCTGTGTTTATTGTTATTTAAGTAGTTTTTATGGTTTATCTATGAACAAGAACCGCAATTATAAAGTATGGAGAAAATAATTGAGCTATAGATGAAGAAAAAAGACAGAATTCGCGCGATGTTGAATTTATTCTTTCCAAATCCAAACATTCCTATTGAAGAATTTATGATCGCCAATTTTATGTTGCGTTGAAAATTCTATGTGGTAACTTTTAAACATTTAATCGTTATTAAATTTCCTTTTTTTGCTTTCTTTTATTTCTTTTTTTGTAATTTATTTCGCGTATTTTGTTTTGAACTTGCGTCACATTTTCGCGACTCCCAGGTTCGAATTGTAAAGAATGCTTATAAGCTTGAAATTCGACTTTTATAAAGGCTTAAGTCGGGGTGTGGACAATAAATTTTTAAATAAATAAATGTATTACAAAACTTATTATTGATATAATTAAATGCTGTTGCAATGTACAGGAGGGGCAAATATATTTCCTTGGAGGACTTCATGATTAGTCTGGACCACGACACAGTTGAGTGTCTTCATCAGTTCTTCAATGGCTCCACTTCATCCAGGGTCCTTAACTCCTGGTTCCATCAGTCCGCGTATCCGTTGGTCAACGTCCAAGTACTGCGGGACCGTAATCCGAATGTAATTGTTCTGAAACAGGTAAGTTAATCTGCCTATCTTTATATAAAGAATTTTTCTATACGTGTTTATGTCACTGAACTCCTCCTAAATGGCGGGACCGATTTTAATGAAATGTGTTTTTCACAAAGTTAATAGGAAAAAAAAAACGAAAAAAAAAAAAAGACACAGTGTACACAGGATAACGTCTGGCCGGTCCACTAGTATTAAATAAAAAAAATGTTGTATATGTTTATTCATTTCAATTGTAGTTTACATTGTGTTGACATCCTCTATTAGGTACCAAAGCATCTGTGCAGATTGAGGTGTAGGTCCTTAGCTAATGATATCAAAACCAAAAAAATAAATATTTTAATTAAACGACATATCATCACTTTACGTCTAATTAAATTATAATTTTATTTTATTTTCATAATATTTGCATATTCTGTTAATAGTAAATTATTATTGTTAAGTCATATGAGAAGATAACCCAATATAATCCACTAAACGCTTATAGTATATCGAATTGATTTTGTGCTTATATAGAGTATATCGAATTGTTTTTGTGTTTCATTTCAGAGACAATTCAGCTTCACAAGCCACAATCGCGTCGACTCCAACTATCTTATACCTGTCTCTTATATCGTGCAAAACAACCAAAACTGCTACAACTGCTACCAGCCAAGGTTCACCATCGGTATGCAGACGTATTCATTCGGGGAAAATCTCAATGGCGGCTGGATATTACTCAACAGGAACGCTTCAGGTTATTTCGCCTTTATTATGAGCTATAAGGCTAAGGTTTAACTCATTAGGTAGGGCTGATTTTTATTTAATTAGTAGCTGCTGCCTGCGACTACGTCTGCGTTGAATAGGCTGAAGGCGTAACATTCAGACAGAAAGACACATATATATAGAATATGTATATAAATTATATAAAATATGTATATAAATTAAAGCCTATGTCTTATTCTGATGTATAAGCTATATTATTGTAAAGTTTCATTAAGATCTATTCAGTAGTTTTTGCGTGAAAGAGTAACAAACATCCATCCATACATACAAACTTTCGCCTTTATAACATTAGTAAGGATTTATTGGATTTTAAGGCAAGTTACATTTCCTATATTCTAAATTATAAGGCTTGAGATATATGTGTAACTGTTCTTACAATTATAGGTAGTTTGACCTTTAATTTACAACAGTTAATAATAATGAGATTTAACAATTACTGTTAAAACACCGAGAACGTTTAAAATAAAAAGACTAAATGAAATAATTGCAACAAGCAAAAATAAATGATAAATTACATTGATGACAAATAAAATAAAATGAACATCTTTAATTATAATAACACAATTAAAATAATGTCAAATGAAAGTTAAAATTAATATCACATCAACAAGGAGTTCATGTCATATTTTTAAAATTTTATATAATGAGACAAAATAACAATAAAATAAATAGTAATATAATAAAATAATAGATATTAAAATTAAATTACATATGTATCAATTTATTACGCTTAAGATATTGTGACAAGAGAAATTTCATATGGATGAGCCAGGCAAGAAAAAAAAGATTTGTTAAAGGCGCTTTGTTTGTTTTCGCAAAAATGTATTCGCAGAAAATTGACCGATTGATCTTGAAACTGACCTCAAAGCAACGCCGTGACGTATGTGTCATCATCCTTGGCCGCTGTTAAAATCGTAAGCGTCTATTTGCGGAGCGTATCCAGAACTTCTAGAGCCGCAATCGGATGTAATTTTTATTAACATATTCTCATAAGGCCTTTGGATATGTGCTATTGACAGTTTCAGTGGTACCAAAGGTGTAACAATTGAATTAATTCATATAAAAAAAACATATTACGGATGCTATTTGCGTTTCATTGTTTTCATTGTGTTTATAAGTGTTAAATATGGCGAGTGCACATCACAACGCCATCCACAGAGTGAAAACAAGGATTTATTCAACATCATCATTATCATGTTGGCCTGTTAGAGCCCACTGCTGAACATAGGCCTCTCCCAAAGACTGACGCGAAGCACGATCCTGAGCCACTTGCATCCAACGGTGGTAGGGCCATGCAGCAGCCTCGGCTGTTGCACGAATGGGCAGGCCCGTCCGGATAAGTACTACGACCTCACAGAAGCCCAGCGTAAAGTGGAAGTAAGACAAATACTTTCGCGTTTCGTCTGGTGAGTGAGGTAGCCGGAGCCCAATTTTCAAAAGGTTGTCAACGCATCTGTAACCCTCGGGTGTAGCAGATGTCCATGGGCGGCGGTATTCACTTAACATCAGGTGACCCGTCTGCTCGTTTGGCAACTTTTCGCATAAAAAAAAATCGACTTCCCACACATTTGAAAAGGTCATCACTCCATCTAGTGGGGAATCAAAGTCGTTAATAAATATATTTTATTTATTTATTCAATATTTATTGCACTTCAAAGCGAGCTTAATGCTATACTGCATTCTCTACCAGCTAAGCCTAGTTAAAACAGAATGACTAGAGCAGTAAAGTAGAAGTGCGTGTATAATAGAAGTAGAACATATTGCGTTTCGGTGCACGCTATTGGGGTTCGAACCCATTACCTTAAGGCAGCACAATTAGGTTCATTAGGTAGCTCCCAAGAAAAGGTTATTGAAGTGATCGCAACAATTCAATTTTTCGATACATTGTACATGAATACATTTTTTTTTCTTTTTTGTATGTGGCAAGGGAGCTGGCACCGGATGTTATGTGATAAACGACGGCCATGGTCATTTACAACACAACGTTACAAAATTTACGTAGGGCTGTAGATGTGATGCCACCTTTAGATAAAGTGGGCCCCTGCTACCACACAACAGAAGAAACGCGAAAGTATAACGATTCGACTTCACGCTGGTCTTTTGTGAGGTCTTGGTACTTACCTGCCTGGACCTGCCCATTTGTGCAACCGCGCAGACTGTTACGTGGCCCTATCTCTAAACTAAGTAATATATTGAGACGGCTCTAGGATGGCATAGACATATGATACGAAAAATCGGTAACAAAATGATCCAACTAATATTAAAAGTTAAAACTAGTCATAACTGATAACAGTTTTATTTAATGTAGGTAACATGATTATACTTATTAATGTACGTCCATGTGAAGTTTTGATTTTAGAGCTGTAAGTTTCATTTGATAATTTCGTCATTTTCAGGTTATTACCGAGTCAATTACGACTTATCCACTTGGAGACTCATAGCAAAAACTTTAAAGGAAGATCATTTGGCAATCGACGAACTAGATAGAGCGCAAGTATGTTAACTAGAGTTTTACGTTAAATTCTAACTGTTGCCAACGTAGTTTATGAAGGAAAATATTTTATTGCGCCAGTTAATAGCGATAAGTTCTATAATTAACAGAATTACGTTACTTTTACGCGATAACATTTTACGCTGATACATACATAATTAAGTAAAGCAGCTAACGGCTTTGCAATTATCAAATCATCTTTTCTCAATCTCTCATAATATACGGCGTGTCGCTACCATCGCGACAATAAATTTTAAAGTTGTATTAAACATTTAAATTCTTTAAACATCAATATTTACAGAGTTATTAAATTTTCCAAAACAAAGAATTTTAGAACACCCTTACCTATAAAAGCGTAACGTAAAATTCATTTGTAAAGGTCACAAAGCATATGAATGGGTTGAATGAATTTAAAAGAGACAAAACATACTGTTAGAAGGAGAGGCTTGTAATGCGACGCTATGGCGCGAGTTGTAAAGGATGTTACAAATTTTGTTTCTTTTTTACTTAATTAGTTTGTTTGAAAAATATTTTTTTTAATTATGGATTTTGTTTAACGTTAATATTTTTTTATGATTATTGGCAAGTAGCGTTAGACGTGTGTTCATTTATTGTCGCGATGGTAACGACACGCTGTATATCATAAAGATGAACAAGAACAATAAAAAAAGATTTTTAAGACAAATTTTATTATTTTGTCATAAAATTATGATACGAATGTTGTAAGTTATTAAATTATTCATGAATTATCAAGTTCTTAGGTTAAAGTATAACATAACAATTAACTTATTTTGCTGAGTTGGGTAAATCTTAAAAAAACTAACACTCATTAGCTATTTCATCGTGTAAAACCTATTCCGGTCCATAAAATTGTGAAAAAAGTTGCCCATTTCGTATTTGTGAATCTATATTTGAAGTTTTACTGAGCTTAAAAATAATTAAATACTGGGACGATCTTTAAATAGTTTCTTTTAGCGATGCGATCGTATTTGTTATTACAGATAGTTAATGACATTCTTGCTCTGTTCGCGGCCGGGGATTTAGACAGAGACACAGCGCTGACAGTTCTAGATTATCTTAACGAGGAACTAAGTGAGGTCGTGTGGGCCGCCGTCATTGACGGCTTCGAGCTGTTGAAAACAGATGGCGCTAGCTGTCACATGACCAAGAACTTGTATCAAGAATGGCAGGTAAGTTATTTAACGAAAATAATAAATTTAAGCATACATGTTACGTCAAGAATTAATTAAAAAAAATCTCAATAAATCATTAATTTTTGCATGATAATAATAACAGTTTTTTATTGCTTTTTGTTATAAAATAGATTCGATGCATTTAATAAATAAGTTGGATGCTATCAAAATTAATGACTTGATACTACTATCAAAATATAAAAAGATAGTCTGAGACGGTTTATACAATTTTAAACACAGGTCTGACTTCACAACATCCAAGTAAGCAGGACAAATAAATTATGATATAGAAATGTCCTTCACGGGAATTTAGGGATGTAAGTAGGGTGTGTAAGTGTTTGAGTATAGGGTTTCTGATAGATATTCGGCCTATTTTGAACTTTTACTCAGAGAACTTAATCAGCATTTAATAGTCTCTTATTTGTCAAATATTAACGCTTAGTTATTAAAAGAAATAAAGAAGTAATAATAAATAAATGAAAATTAAATCATTGTGAATATCGCATAAACAACATTTACAACGAAAAAAAGCTTTGCTACTTTGCATATCCGAGTTTATTTGTTTTTATTGCAAGCAACTTTAATTGAGTGCAAAGTCAATCTTCAGGAATTCATGCGAACCAAGGTAGCTGCCCTTTATAAGCGGCTGATAGACAGCCGGGAGCAAACGGCAAATATACGACTGTTCAGAAGCAATATCGTCAATTTCGCGTGTTTCGTCAGATATCGGCCGTGTGTTAGTTTAATGAGGACTTTCAATTCAAAATCAATCGCTAGAGACAGGTAAGGTTCATTTTAAGTGCTTTGTTAAGTAAAATTTTTAGGTCTTTCAATTAAAAAATGAGGTTATATATTATTAGATATATTTTAAGGTATATATTTTAAGATGTCTATTTAAACTACACTTTGCCATTATATGTTTTATAGGTGAAAGTTTTATATGTGAAAATGGTTATGGCTTATATCAAAATTATTAATCTGACTATTTTCAGAATGAATCCGGATTTTAGGGAAACATTCTACTACGTGCTTCTACACGAGTCTAATGTAAATCTTGCCGGTGATGGATTAAATCTGTGGGAAGTGGAAGATAAAATCAAATCTGAACATAAATTGTACGTGTTATTATAATTTATTAATACTTTATTTTTAATTTTGTACTATAACGCCTTCATCGTGAAGTATATGTAGGCCTTGTTGAACCTTATGAAGAAGATATTAATTCTTTGATTGTGATAATTTCAATTCATCATTTAATCATTTTGAAAATTGACTTTAAGAACACTTATAAAATAAACTTTAGTCTTCTTTTAACTTAATTAAAATTAATTAATGATTGAAAAATTTACTTGTAGAAACTTAAAATGGGTAGATAAAAATCGAAAAATTTATTTTTCGGCGCTGCCTGGATTTTAACCAACGCTTTCCGGGTAAAGTTAATTGCTAAACTCTTTGAATTGATCAGAATGATCTTCCTAATGATCAGAATGATTAATTCAAAGAGTTTAACATTCCATGTGGCAACTCAAATAACATTTGTAAAGCCACTTGACAGCCGATTAGTTAACTTCTACGATAATCAGTGTTTCAGAAACCGGGCGTAAGCTTATGATCGATGGCATCACGGCGCGAAGGTCTCTTCAAAAAATCTATTAAATAAACTGAATAGACCTCGCTTTATTGAATTTTTAGGAAAGGCTCAAAAATTAACATAAACAACTTTAGTCCAAATATTATTTGTCATAGATGGTAGGTTTTTCATATTGGAAACCAAAAATATACATACATAATGCAAAAATAAAGAAGATAGATGGCGAGATTTTAACGTCGTGAGGTCAACAAAAAGTTTATATTTTAAGTTTTATCTTGATCGCAGAGACTATGACTGAAAATTGACATAATCATAAATTTTAGTTCTTCAATTTTGTTAACCATAAATTGTAATTTTTAGACGCGAAGAGAACAGATTTTTGTACAGAATACCGATTGGAACTGCTCGTCCATTAGAGTTAATGCGTTCCACCACGACGGAGGTAAGTAGTACGTGATTAGAACAACTCGATATGGTTGTTCTAATAATCTCAAAATGTAGAGTATATTCAATGTAGCCAGTGCGGCGAAGCGAATTTTGCTTTTGCATAAATGGGCCGAATTAACTGGTATATATCACCATAGGCTAAATGAAGACTATTTTAGTCAGCGGTCTGCATAAGTACTGTCGCATCCTTATTCAACAAATATTTGCCTAAAATAATTGAACTTATTTTATAAAATGCGCTTTTGCTCCACCTTAAAATAAGAAATAAATAAATTGATTTCATTCTAATTTTCTATTCAATACATCCATAAAGTTTAGTTTAAGTTTAATCGTACATCTTCTGAAACACCTAGATTTTCACTCTGGTAGGGTCACGCGACAGTCTTCGTTGTTGTGCGAATGGGTAGGTCCGTACAGGTAAGTACCACGACCTCGCAAAGTACCGGTTGGATGTGGAAGTGTTATATTTCTGCGTTTCGTTTGGTAAATGTGGTAGCCAGGGCCTCTTTAGTGCATTAAATAAAAGTTAAATAAGTAATTTAACTATTATTTGAAGCACTTAATTCTTCTTTGTCCTAACCCCATTCCATCTATTTAGGGTTGGCAGAACATGCTGATTACGCTGTTTAAAGGATTGGCTTGATTACCTGCCTGAAGTCAACCCTCTTTGGGAACAAACACCCAAATCCGTAACAATTGTCTGTATGACACAGATACTTGTCCCATGCGGGAATCGTACCCACGACCCGCGCCGCCGAAGACAATAGCTTACGCCACGTGGTCACTAAATTTAAAATGTTCTTTGATATGATATTTTCATTACAGTTTTTGATCTCAACTGAGTCTACCGTAGGCAGTACAACGGCAGAGACTTTAACAGCTGGGCCAAGTGGATCTATGTCAAGAGAGGCTTCTTTGCTTATAACAATATTCTTAATAATCTTTGTTGCTATGACGAGATAATGATATACTAGTATTGCGCTTTAATTTATTGGTTGTTTTACCACTATTTGTATCACTAATTTATAATGAAATATTAGAAGTTATTATTTTGCCCATATTCTTGACGACTGAATCAAATTACTTTTTGGATGTGTGTCAAATGTGTAGATGTTGTATGTAATTTAAATTGGAATGTTTGTAATTTATGTTATCTACGTTGTAAAAGAAAGGTTTAAAAATTCGAAGTGAAAGGATACAAAATTTTTGTTCAATTTTGATTGCTAATTTAAATCTAAAATAATGTAGTTTGATTTTTATTTCGCTTATACTATTCATCTTATTTCTAATTTATCTAATCACATTCCGTTTAATAAATCCCAATTTAGCCTCGCTTAAGAGTTTTTTATGTTGTATTCTCGCTACTATTCGTTCTTATGCAGACAACATTGTTTATTTAAGAGTCAAAATCTAGTCATTTTATGTTGAACTGTTACATAATTTATTATAGTGTTGCCAACTCGGAGTTTTCCAATTGATTGAAATGGACGGACAGATCAGAAAGATTAGCAAAGTTATTGAAATAATATAAAGTTATTATAGCATTGGGCAAATAAAAATGGCTCCGATAGATAATAAACGTTTTCTAAAGTTAGTAATTAACTTTAACATAATTATTTTTTCTCATTTACATTTAATTAAATGGAATATAAGCAGTTATCGTTTTTTAATGGGATTCTACGTATTAGCTATTCCAAGATTGAATAGCATTCCTTCATCACCTTATAAACGTAAGTCACATTCGTCTTGTAGATTCTTTCGAAAATGTTGAAAAACTGCAATAAATTTGCTTAAGTGTAATACTTTTAAGCACCTTAAATCTTCAGGAATCAATAAAGTTCTAAATCTACAGAAATCCTCAATTTACAAGTCAATATTTTGAAGTTATACTACTTTTGGTGCTTTTGGAATAAATTATGACAGTAAAATTTTCACGATGAGCGCTCACACAGTGAGTAATAACAACTTTTTGACATTTACTTATAATAATTCTAAGTTATTTAACTAAACCGTTGTCTTTAATGTATTTTTGTAAACAATAACGTTTTTAGTAATTTTTCTTGTGTTACGGTAAAGAAGTATAACTTCTTGTATGCGTTCATAAGTACACACACGTTTTTTTACTCTACTTTTAGTAATAAATTTATACCTAAATGATGCGGTGAAAGATATGGGCTTATTTACAATAAACTTTAATTTTTATGAGATCTAAAAAAATTTAATGTTTGCTAAATAGTAAAATAAATAAGGGAAGCGAAGTTAACATGTGTTTTCGTTCTATACGTTAAAAATATTTCGAAGATATGGTGAAGTCCGCCAACTCGCAATTAAGCCGCGTGGTGGAGTATGCCCTGATACCCTCTGCATTTGTCCAGCAGTGGGACATGACGTAAAGGCTGATACTTTACTACTTTACTTATAGCAAAATTGTGCTATATTCCATTCAAAATATCCAAAATACAGAGAACACTTTGTTTCTGTTGGAATGGAATCTTTAGTTCGCCAAACTTACTTTGATATTTTTGTATGTTTAAATGTTAATAATTACTGTAAAAGTTAACGTGGATCTCCATGTATATATATATATATATATATATATATATATATTAACATGTACTCAATTATAATAAATGCTATTTTCTATATATTTCTTATTGTTCTCTTTATTAAGAATTGTTAATGCTTTATTAGGAAAACTGGTAGATAATGCCTTTGTGCATTAAGTCCGCTCTTTGTTACCTTGTTTTACTGAAGTTTGGAAATAAAGATTAAATAAATAAATTAAAAAAACTCTATGGCCATGTATTTAGTCCCTAACACACTATTTTTTACTAAGGTAACCAAGTGAGAGACGGACTCGCGCACAAAGGGTTCCGTACCATTGTCTATAAAAACGGCAATAAAATCATGTCTGTTGTATGAGAGTTCCACTTAATTTATTTTTGTTTCCCGTAAGGTCCCATATTAATTTTATTGGTATTGGATCTTGGAACTCCACAAAACTACATAGACAATGTGTAGCGAATGAGATATTTCATGTCTATTTTGATTTTTCTTACTTAAAGAAATTTTATTTGTTAATTGAAGTATTAACCATTAGTTTCGGTGTAATTTTGCTAAATTGGAAAATAATAATGATTGAGAAAAAAGAACTTGGAGAAGGGCGATCGATAATTTTTTTTAAAATCTCTCAGTCAACGGTCTTTAATTTTTACCCGTGTAAAATTTATCATGATTCCGAAGAATTAAATAGGAAAATCTTGAAGCAAGGTTTTGTTAGACTTTCAATATTTCAGTTGTCAATCAAATCTATGTTAATTGAAGCTTTCCATAGTTATTTGTACGTTGGAATTTGTTTATCAGTAGTTAATTAATCGGTTTTTGTTTAACGCCATGAAATGAATACTACAAAAGGATGAAAAATAATCTCAACTCTGATGTTATGTCTGTTTGATTTATTGTTTTCACTTAAAATAAGAAATAATTTAAAATATGTGTTTACATATTTTGCTATTCCCAAGTTCAATACACTGGAAGGTTCTTAATTAAGAAAATAAAAACATAATTATTAATGTCCTATTCTAATGGTTTATTAATATTAATGTAAAATGTACAAATTATATTGTAAGAATAAAAAAGAAAAGACTAATTAAAATTTACTTCATAACTTATGAAACTATTCAATTTAAATTATTGTAATATGTGATAACTAAGTATTAAAATTTTCTAAACTTGAAGCAAGAGGACGCGTTTGCTTCAAATTTAGTATTTTAAGCGAACAAAATAAACTTAAAACTAGAAATATAAACTTAGATAACCGTGAGTGATAACACAATAAAAAATATTTAAAACTATCCTATACACTTATTACTTTATTATGAATAACTCTTATCGCTTAACATTATTTAAAAATATATAATAGTAATAACGTATATTGCAGATTATTAATAATTAAGTTAATAAAAATAATAATAACAACAACATAACTAACAATTTAACACTTTGTGCAATTCTGAATATAATTTTACGAATAACTTACAATACCTTAAAAAAAATTAATCTTATAAAATTTAAAAACCCTAACTATATTCAACATACGTAAAAAAGTAAAATTCCCATCAAGCAATCCCATTACAATTACACGTAACAAGAAGTGACTACCTACTCACAAAACCTCTCGTTTTCAAGTGATTTGCAACTACAACATCGTAGTTTTAAGTCAATATTTTCAAAAACTCAGGAAAAAGGGAAATCCAAGTTATTTTTTATTACACGGTAATTAGTAGTTTGTTGATGTATCTATAAATTTGCTCGATGTTTTATCCAGTGAATAAATTTAAGAAGCAAATTTAACCATTAAAAACGAGATCCAAACGAAACTGCAAATAGTATCAAACTTGATACTATTGAGTTTCATAACGAAAAAGCCGCTTCAGTGCCACTTAACTAATAATAAATACGTTACATAATTCCTTATTCATATTCCTCTTTCATATTTCTAATAAATAAGCTATACACCAAAAAGTAACCAACCTTAATACACTTAGTAAAAATGAACAACCTTTCGCAACTACGATACAAGTAATTGATATACTATTAATATTCTATTTTACATTTAAAAAAATTATATCTAGTGATTAAATAAAGCAACGAATAACGAAAGAGTTATTAAAAATGCAGACACAAATATAGTTGTTCCGTCATTCTCATCTATCCATTCGTACACGTAATCCATATGAGTAGAATCCCAATTTAGATTCTCTTTAACTAGCTCAGCCGCTCTTTCTGCAGCTTCTTCAGAATCACCTAGATTGTTATTTCTCGATTCAACCCAGTTGATGAACTAAAACAATGAAACATGGATGATATGTAATATTATAATACAACAGGATTTAACTTGCCACGAAACAGCTTCCGCAGTTGCAAGTTTGGGCAGGCTAATAATTCCCACAGAATTCTCAAAGTTAAAGAGAAATATTCCAAAACTGTTATGTCTTTGTTTTTAATATTTAAGTAATTCTATATTTTAATACTTAAGAAAAAACTGTACCAACTGTAAAGGTGCACGTCTTTTACTATTTTATTTGCAATTAAAATATTTTAGAAATGTCAATGGTATTGATTACTAGTGTACTTACATCTGTAGCTAGGTTTGCATTTGCCATGTTATCAGCTAGTGTAAATATTATCTCTTCCAGTTTCTCAGGGCCACCGTACCTAAGAGAATTTTTCATAGTTATTAGTGTTTGAGCTTTAAAAACAAAAAAAGGGATAGTCGAAATGTAATTTTAGAGCTTTAATTTCTGGTAATATAGATAGTTACTAATAAAATAATGTATTCTGTAATTATAGTGTAGCCTCAAGTTTCATTAATTAGACTTAAAAACTAATTTTAAAGTATGCTTTTAAATGCAGGAAGGCATGTTCTTTAAAATGTTTATTGTTTATAAGCAAATTACTGTAGGTACATACAGTGTTATTAATTTCAAAATGTATTTACTATCAGTTAAACATAGAACATTGCGTGTCTCTTAAACATATTATTAAAAAAAATACTACTCTGAATTGTGCTTCACTTACATGTTTCTTATTTCATTTGTTCGCAAAGATATGAAGTTCAGTGCTAATCTTGCATTAGCGCTACTGCTTTCTGCAATCGCTTTAAAAATTCTAACGTTTTCTTCTACGCCATATGGGCTATTCGCTGCAATTGTTTCTTCCAAAAACCTATGCGAATAGAAATGTAGGTATATTATTCTTTTTACTTTTTACTCCAAATTATAAATGAGTGTTGATAGTTTTCATTGAACTTCAAAAATTAAAAACAAATACGAAATCAAATTAACAAAATGTTATGCTTACGTTCTTATAAAGCCGTCATCTTGTGAGCAAGCCAGTGATTCCAAGATTACAACACGTTCGTAATGAGATGCTTCTATTTCCAATCGATCATATAAGGCTGATATGACGTCGTCATCTCCTTCTCTAACCATTGTGCAATAAACTGCAGGCCGTATGTCTCGGGGTATGTTTGGATTTCTGCAGATAAAATAAGATATAAGATAAAATAATGCTAATTTTTCTAATAATAAATAATTGATATCATTTTTGTAATCAGCGATAATCGAACTACAGATTTTTTGCAACAGGGTGGGAAAGTTCCACGGCCTCACAGTGGACCAGTACTAATTGGAAGTATTATACTTCTGCGTTTCGACTGGTGAGTGACGTAACCGGAGCCTGCTGTTTTAAAAGATGGCAACGCGTCTGATAACCCACAAGTTTTTCAGATGTTAATGCGGTCCTTATAACATAATATCAGATTAACCGCTAGCTTACTTGCCATCTTTTCACCTAAAACAATCTTAACTAATAACTATTACAATTTACTCTTATAAACCCCAGGACTTTCTACGTAATGATCAGCTTTTTATTTAAACATAGTTTCAACTTACACTACGTCATTGTCGTTAGGATCGTAGAACCAGTCGACAGCTGCAGCAATGCACGGATCGTAATTAGCTCTGCAAGCGTGATCCATTACTAAGCCTCTACATAGAGACACCATCACGGGTTCGATGGCGTTCAGTTCCGGATAAAATCCGATCTCATCTTCAAAAGTTTCTATTGATCTTCTGACCATTCGCTAATAAAACAGAGAAAGTTTGGTATTTTAAGGAAACTATCAGAAGTTAATTAAGATGATGATGAAGATGGAATACAGAATAGTGTATTCATCGTAAATTATAATAATTAAAATTCTATTTATAAAATTGATTGTGAAATATTATTTAATTTAATATACTCGAGTGACGTGAGTTCGTTGCCGGCACCAATGAAACTGTTAATTTTAATTGCTTTATTATCACATGCTCAGCATTGAAGGAAATCATCTCGAGGAAGCCTGGATGTTTTCGAAACCCAAAAAAATGTTTCGAATATATGTGAAGTCTGCCAATTCGCTGTGGAGCCGTGCTATGCCTAGCCATAGGGATATATCTGGACCTTTACATTACTTTTTACTTTACAAATTAAACTTACGTTAATGTTATGTTATCCATCTCTTCTCCAACAAATCCAGATTTAGGTCAGAATGTATTTTATTATTATTATGTTATGTATTTCATTCACGACAATATATGTATATTTGTCTAGACTAAGCCATGGCTTAGCAGTCGCTTCCACGTCAAAAATATAATATATTATAAAAATTTATTATTAAAACAAATTTGTTGACTTGCATAGTACAGATTTACAAGCTTTATAAAAAAATAATTGTTAAGAGCTTATTTTCGTGTGGCTACAATTGAACGCGCTAAAACTATAATCTTACTAAAAACACCACATACCAGATAAATATCTGGATCTAAGTCTTCATTTTCCTCAACGAGGGCCACAAGACGTTTCCTCAAAAAGTTCATATTTCTTACAAAAGCCTTCCAAACTGCATACTCCGTTTCATGTTCCATAGTAAGCACAACTTGAAACGCTATGCCATAATCAAGTTTGCTGGCTCGGGCTAAATTTAAAGCATCATCCACTAACTGTGAGACAAAGATAATAATTAAAAAGTATATTTCAACATCCTATTACACTTTATATATTAAAAGCATTGTATGATATTAACAAACCTAATTTAATGTGAAAAACATTATAGCTACAATAATTTCTACTTTCACGATGTTAAACGAAATTAGTTTTACGAATTTTATGACGTTTTAACGCAAAGTTGATAAAAAAACAGTGATAACTTACGGTAGCACGGTTTAATGGATGTATTTCTTCCCTGCGTTCAGGATCGATGAGCGCTTCAACTATCCTTTCCCATAAATCGGCGTCGTAGTTCACGCGATAATAGCCTTTGTAGTTCAAAAACTGACTTATTAATAATAATAAAGTAGGGGATGAGTTGATATTAGTAAGAAATAAATGGATTAAAAAAAGACAACATTGAGTTCACCTACGAACATTTACATCTCTCTAGGGGACGCTGATTTATAAAAGTACTACTTTATTAACACGGTGGCCCTTGAAATAAGTATCATAAGCGTAATTGGTGAAATTGTGTTGAAATCTTATAAGAGATATAAGATTTCTTTATTTATTTTACTATCTGAAAATTTGTACCGAGATATTCTTTTTCTTTATGTCATAAGTTGCCAAGCGAGTAGGCGATTCACCCGATGTTAAGTGAATACTGCCGCCCATGGACATCCGCTACGCCCGAGGGTTTCAGACGCATTGACAACTTTGAAAATTGGGCTCCGGCTACCTCACTCACCAGACGAAACGCAAAAGTATTATACTTCAACTTTACGCTGGTCTTCTGTGAGGTCGAACCCGAACGATCCTGCCCATTTGTGCAACAGCCGAGGCTGCTGCGCAGGCCCTACCTAGGCCCTACCACAGTTAAATATTCGTCTTAACCTGTTTCATATTTCATGACACTAATTGAGCAAAATATACGGATTTTAAAAACACGGTCAGGGTTTTGTTTACCGTATGATATTGACGGTAATGATATTTAAGAAACTAGTATGTTATTACTGACTTATTAAGTAATAAATGGAATAAAATGGTAATTTTATTTAGTTGCAAGGCATGTGAATACAAAAAAAAAATACACTACTACATCCATATATTTAAAAATAAATGTGTGTATGTAGTTCCGCATGGGCTGCAAAACGACCGAGCAGATTTTGATGTAACTTTAAGGCAATCATATTACACCAACGGGTACTCCTTGAGGTTTCGTAGCGATAGGATCAACAGAATTTCTTCTTTTTTGATGAAATATGCTACCCGTGCGAAGCTGAGGGAGTGGCTAGTATTATTAAAAGCATTTATTACCTTGGCCTTGGATGTTAAATAAGACCCAATCCTCTTCATTTAACGCTATATTTACAGTCATCGTTGCATCCATAACCATTGTGGGATGGATGTTTTCGAAGTTTGGATTTACACTGGTAGTGAATGTCAGTGGCACCATAAAATTTAGTTGTTCAGTAGGTGAAAATGAAAAACGCTCCTGAAAACAAGAAACAATATTATATGATTACTGATTATTAAAAGTAAACAATTACAGGAAAAATTTTAAATACACAAGTAAGGGACCCGGGCTAATTTCAATAATATTCAAGGCCTGGACAAGGTAAGGTGGAAATTTATATTTGTATTTGGCCATATAACTGAATTATAACTTTTAATGTTAGTAAAATTTTATAGTGCAATTAAGCATTTTGTTTTTGATCCTCCATCTCCTATGTTATGCCATAACATCAAAAAGTTCTTCAGCAAATGTTTAATTAAAACATAAGTTGATGCAATTAACTTCTGCACTTTTGTTCGTCATAATCAGCATAATTTACTATTTCTTGTAATAACTGTGGAGTCTCTAAGAAACTTAGACCAACTAAAGTCCCATTCATAAATGAAACTATTCATAAAGATTTGTCACTTTATTTTTAAATTTAATCCTCGACGTTTCACCTTGAACCCTTGCAGAGTTCATGGGGACGTCACAAGCTGTGGCGTTGCAAGTCTGAATGTCATTGTTAGTCCTGGCTACCACCAGTTCTTTACTCATCAATTTGGGTCCGATGTAAGCAGAAAGTATTTATTGTATAATTTCTCTTGCAGTAGTGGTGATGGGCCTAGATTCAACTTCATTAATGATAGGATTTTAGGCTGATTCCATCAGCATTAAAATCTCTTCTCTATTGAAATTAGGATATTTTTTATTTCAATAGCCTCACGAATCATCCTTGAGAGGCATACATGCTCTTTTGCAAGGACATGTAGTCTATCAAACTTGATGTACTCGGTGTATCCATAGTATCCACTGAAAACCTATTGCTATATTAAATGAGACATATATATTGTGGACCTTGCGTATGGAAAAGATTGTATCATAAAGAAAATGCAGAAACCTAGTAATAACTAATAAAATATCTGACGTTTAGCAAAAACTTTGTTTCATTTTTTCTCTTAAAACTTTAATACCTGCGTTATAAGAACTCCTCCTTGTCTCATGCCGATGTGAATAATGGGATAACCAGTAGTCCCCACCCATGGCTCTAAAAAGCCCGCTATGTCGTCAATTAATTGATTTTCACTGAATAGCCACTCACTGTTGACAGCGTCATGGAAGTTTAGAGTGCTAACGGTTTGCAACGATCTGTTAAAATAAATCAGTATTTAAATGATTATCGGCATTTTAGCCTGTTTTAGTCCACTGCTGAACATAGGACTATCTATGAACTGCGGTATGGTGCAAAAATACTAGCTGTATTTCCTCGTTGTGTAGTTATGCTCTTGTTACCAGTCATGGCGATAAGTCTAAGCCGTAAACTTTTCAATTGCGCATAGTTATTTCGGAAATACAAAAGAAATATATGATTTATATACCTAATGTAGAGGAATATATCAATACTTAAATTTTTTAATATTTTTTTTCGCATGCTGCATCCAGCAAACATGTGAGCTATTATAATAATTTCAGACACCACTATATGTAGCATGTTTATGCGAATAATTATTACGTTTACTATTATTATGGAGTTATTTATTTATTTTCTCATAATGATTGGGTCTATGAATAAAAATATACATATAGATATATACTGTATATAATAAATAAATAAACAGGACCCAACCAGACGAAGTCCTTTGGCACGGGAGACCAAACGGCCGAGGGTTAGGGCGAAAGGGAGAGAATCCGGCGGACGACGCGAGCGGGATCGAGGATTATTATTATTATTATGGGGATATATTTAGCCCTTGGCAGGGAGGGGGGGGGGTATTAATTATTATCCTTAATAAAATATAGGGCCAAAAGTTTTTACGGTTGCACGAATGGAAAGGTTCGTTCGGGTAAGTACTGTGCCGCACAGAAGGCCGACGCGTAGTGGAAGTGTTATACTTCTGCGTTTGCTGAGTAAGGTAGTCGGGGCCCACTTTATTAAAAGGTGTCTACGCATCTGCAACGGTTTTACAAATGTCAACGAGCGGCAGTTATTACTCAATATCGGGTGAGCGCACAGCTCGCTAGCTACCATTTCACATAAAAAAATATTTACCTGCTGTTAAGAAGTGCTCTGGCTGCTAGTTTTATAAAGTCGTCATCGGCACCACCAAGTACTAGTCTTAACATTCTTAACACTGCGGGGGATTTGTACTTTAATAACCCTTGAATATGATCTCTTACAACTGCATCATCGAAAATGTCTTCAGGAGGCTCCAAGGGTTGTGTATTAATGTATGCGTCACGAAGAAGACTCTCTTGAATTACCTCTGTTACAAACAATGTATGTACATCTAACAATGCACCGTCCGGATCGTTTGCACCGGTTTGGAACTGCAAAAAAAATGTATCAATAAAATTTTTAATTATATCTATTATTTATAAGGACCAAACTTTTTTTACGACAAAAATAAAAACGTTGAATTTTTAATTGACTGTAAACATTTGAGGATGGATAAAAAATATCAGCGTTTTTTTTTGTTTTTAATACATACTGGCACAAAAATATTTTCACTCCATAAAAATAATCGTCATGATCTCAGGTGGTAAATGCACTAGATTAATAATTACTGTCCTATAGGAAAATGTTAAAATGTACAATAGAATATTTAAATTACATATAAACACGGATATTCTGAAAGTTATCGCTAGTTGAATTTGTGGCGCAAACGTAGGATTAATGTTTGAAAAACAACATACATCTTGTAAGATATCGTAGGCAGCATAAGTTGCGATGCCACTGATGACCCACTGATGCCGCCAGTTCTCAGGATATATAACGTAACCAAACCATTGCCTCGCCATGGCCTCTGCTATCTTAGTCAGCCCAAGTTGTCTCTGTTTTATGGAGTGAGATAGTTCCATAAAAACATACGGCTCCCTGAAATTTAGTTTAAAATTTTTTTTTACATATATAACAAAAGTCGTTTATTACGGTGACATCAAGCTAAATGACAAGTTAAAATAGTGATTTTGAATTAAAGTTAAATCACCAATTTCCTTTAGCAGCGAACCGAAAATTAATGTTCCGCGGGTTAAAAAGAATTATACGGAAATATTGGAGGACCATTGTGATAAGTACATACTATATTTGATATTAATTTACAGATGAAATTTCTAAAAATTCAATAATTTAAATAAGATTTTGCTTCAAGTATGCGCATGCTTGCCGAGCATGTTGCGATGTATTTGTCATTTATATTTGATGATCTTATCACACGATAACTTCGATTTCCTCGATCCATTTTAAATATATCGCACGATCTATGTTCATTTGATTTCAACGCGTAAAAGTATCTGAATTTGCAGGATTTTTGAAAATAAGCAAAAGAAACTTATCTTTTTCAATTTAACTTCTCTTTATGCAATCGTAATTAACACGTTGGGGGATACCTTAACAAACTACTTAATTATCATTAGTGTCTAGCTCATAGACAATAATAAATATTAAAAATTGTAGAAATAATTATCATTATATTTAATCTTAAGTGCAGAGATTAGCACTATAAAAAAATATTTTATATACAATAACCTTATTTAAAGTTAAATTATTCGAAAATTTAGGTATATTGATGCTTTATTTTGATATTACTACTTAAGAAACATATCTGGGCTACTTACCAAATACAAACCGATGATAAAGCATACCAATCTCTGTCAGAATCAGGTAATGCAATAACATTCATTCTTCCATTTTGATTTAGTATGATTTCTAGATATTGTTTGTTGGTCCATTCATTAAGCGCGTGGAAATAATGGTTTATTGCTATGGTTGCTTGAGCTTCCTGATTGAAGACACCCTGGCGGCCGTTCAGCACAACATTTTGCGTAGGAAAATAAATGTTGTTCAGATTATGTGCTACCATGCCCCATAAATGCGGAGGGCCTTGTAACGGCCTGAACTGCGTCCTGTATTGATTTAATTAAACATGTGATAAAACCGCCACGAGGAATCTTGTGAAATAAAATAAAAGGAAATGCACCGTTAATGTAACATACTACTAAAATAACTTTCTTGTACAAACTCCAATGAAGCAATTTTTCCCTTTATTTAAAAAAATGGAAAATGAGCAAGCATTTCATGGTGAGTAATAAATACTGCCCATGGACACTCAACATTGGCGAATGATAACACAAAAGGTGTTAAAGCGGTTTTGTTAACTTTAAAAAGAATTGGCATCAGGTTAATTTGTGGGATAAAATGAGGAATAAAATTTAACAAGTCCGTGAAAAAGAAAATAAACTTATACGTTTCTCAATGCAGACTGCATCTACATATTACCCGTAATCGTCGTTGCTTGGTCGGTATTCCAACTAGTTTTCATTTTAGAAGGATATCGAGTAAGTCAATTATTATGCATTTAAAGTTAAGTTTACTCACTGGCTGTTTTCTTCCAACATTGAATTCATAACTATGTGATCATATAGCACGTTGTTAAAAGTGAAACTTATTGTTGATGCTGCCGTTGGCTCATCTACGCATGGAAATACACGTTTTGCATACGTTGGGTGTAGGTTCATCGCCAAATAAGTGCTGAAAGGAAAAAATATATTCGGCAAAACTTATTACGTAAGTCACTTTTTGTTTAAATTATGGCGCGGTAAGGCTACACAAGTGTTATATCTGTGTAACGACTGGTTAGTGAAGTAACTGGAGCTTACTTTATTAAAAGGGGGCAGTGCTTGTAGATGCGTCAACCCATGTTTCAATATGTCGCCATACACATTTTAAGTAACCTACGGGTATTGATACCACCACCGTTAACCGCCACCCATGGACATTTGAAATACCCTATGGGTGTGTCAAATGTCCATGGGCGGCGGTTATCGTTTAACATCAGGTGACTGCCAGCCCGCTTGTAATATTATAACTTATTACAAAGAAACAGTTTAAATTCATTTATATTATGAAATAAGCGGTACTCGCACGAAATGGTCTTTAAAACAAAGGCTATAAAATGTTCTGAAATACTATATGTTTTCTGATAATGCACACTTTAATGCAACGTCATTTATTTGGTAAAAAATAGTCGATGGCCAAAAAGTAGTCGAAAGGATAGCTTTTAAAACGAAAAAGCTATAAATACTATAAATTGCTGTTTTAGTACCGTTAGTGTTAAATATTACATTGAATTTCTTCTGACGAATTCGTAAAATTATATGTGAACTGATACATTACTTTTCGTTATATACTGCTTTGTAAAGTCCAAGCCAATTATTGGTTAGTCTTCCAGTATACTCTACAACCACAACATATGAAGAAGCAGTTTGTGGTGGAACAATTTCTAATATAGTACCATCAACGTTGAAATTAGTTTCTATCAAATTGGCATCAGTGAAAATGCCTGTCATAACTCTTTGTATTTCCAAATCTTGGAAGTGAAGTAGAATGGGGTCATCCCTGGAGTCTGCGTCAACACGAATATCCATTACTACTCTGCCATTAAAACTTTGGCCATTTAGTGTTATTTCTATAGCGTATTGTCTTACTTCTTGTCCAGGACTAATATTTCGTAATTTATGCCCCATGAAGTTGTTCTTTATTTCTATTTCATTACTTTCCGTCTTGAATTCGGTGACATTATCTTCATCTTGCGTACCTTCCATTACTATTTCTGTAGAATTGTCTTCGTCAAACACTGCAATTCCTAATTTTGAATCTTCAGTGGATAATTCTTCCAACGTCATTTCCGTAACAAAGGTGAGTGGTAAATTTCGTGTAATGGGTAATGATCGCACAAACACTTTTGTTAGAACCAAATATACAATTATAATCAACGTGCATGACTTTTTGGTCATCTGGGTCATCGTGTCCTGATTCAAAATTGCAGGTCACTTTATAGGAGTCTCATAAAACCCCAACACAATGTAGCACGTAAGTAGATAGGTCGCAAATGATCACTGTAGATTCTTGTATGAGATAGGTGTTATACCAAGACACTGATAATGTCTAAACATGGGTCGCAATGATAACATATAAATCTTTAGAGTGAAATATATTTGTGTATGCGACACAAAAAAATAATGAAATTAAATAGCTTTACTACAAAATAACAAAATACACTTTACTGGTGTGAAAATTTACTTGAATTCAAGTCAACTTTTCAAGTTACTAAATATTTCAATATCACTAGTTAAAAATTATTAAAGGGTAATAGGTTAATATGTTACTTGATCCTTATGATGAATATTCTCATGGTATGTTTATTTGACTAACTTCCGGCAGGGCCAAGGTGCAGCTTCTGCTACTCCTTATCTAGGGAAGTACTATAACCCACAAATGACGGGAATGCAAAAGTTGCAAAATATCTTATTAGGAGAATAGACAAAATAATTATATGTTATGTTATACACAATTCTTGTGTTATGTCTATTTTTTTCAACACAAGCCACTTTAATAGTAGAAAGTTCTTAAAATACTTGCCAAAAGATGTTATTTATGTTTTAAAAGATTTTTTCATCTTATTCACGTAAAAAGCAGCAGTTTCTTTTTTTCTTTTAGTGAATTTTTATCAATTCCACATTCCTTCATCTGTATTTGCTGACATTATCTTGAAGTGTGTTAAAGTACTATTGATAAAAATTGAGAGTGCAGTTCGTCATATGGGCTCTTACCTATTTTCCAACGTTTGAGTTTTATCGAACAAATACAGGTATATGATACAATTTAGTGAGATGAGGCAACTATAGGTACTTATCCTAATATCTTTAGTGTGTTGAAACATGCCGAAAATTTCATGATTCAGCTATAGTTTAATGTCATAATGATCGCTAAATTTAAGATGAAATTATGATTTTGCAAATGAAATGTTTTATTTAATTACATCATTTTAGAGATCATTTAAGAACCTATTTTTGTTTTTTGCACAAGACTGGGTCATCATCATCATCATTTCAGTCTGTTTGTGCCCAGTACTGTTAGATAACCCAAATTTGTAGTGGTACTAAATGGATAGTTTTTTTTAACCATTATAAAATTTTATGAACTCGTTTTGTTTTCTTTTCAAGTCTACTGAGTAATGTATAACCTACTTCTCTAGTGGTCAAGTTTAAATACATGCAGAAACATAAATATAATTATTTAATTGTCGAACAGGTGGTCGATTTTGTTTAATAACAAAAATCTACATCAGAGAAAATACAGAAACAGCTCAGTGTCCTGCTGCTCGCCTTTAATTTAATATACTCGAGCAACCTGAGTTCGGTCTCCGGTGTCGTCACCCATGAAAATGTTTATTTTAAGTGGTGACTTATCATGTGAAAAAACATCGTGAGGAAACCTGCATTTTTTTGAAATAATGTTAACTCCGTTAATCGGCAGTGGGGACGTGTGGGTATGCCCTAATAATCAACTCTTTATTATACCCTCTGTGCAGAGGAGGCCCATATATAAAAATAATACAATAAATAACTTTTAGTGCTTTAAAATAAACATTTATACTATTCAATATATACCTTTGTGTATGCAGTTTTTATATACTCATATATTCGAGTATACAAATATAAAAAAGTTATTAAAACAGAAAATGGTTCTTTTTTTACTGATTCCGCGGCTGCATAATTTTAATTTATGTAAAATATTAAAATAAAATTTACACAATAGTTTTACGATTTTTTTGAGGGTTGGCATAAAATATTAACGCATACATCATTTTATAAACTTATATCGTGTTTTCATCACTGCTTTACGCCAACCCTGTGGACGAATTTTTGAAATATCGTTACAAAACCTCAATTATTGGAAAATGTAGAAAAGTATCTGATGCAATGGAGTGTCTTCAATTAATTTATTTTTTATATGAGAAGTTGGCAAGCGAGCTAGCGGTTCACCTGATGTTAAATGATAACCACAGCCCATGGACATTTGCAACACCCGCAGGGTTGGAGATGCGTTACCAGATTTAAATAGTGTAGGCCCCGACTATCTCACTCACCAGTAGAAATGCAGAAGATTCACTTGAGCTTGGCTTGAATATTGGTAAAATGACATCTCCAACTCTGCTCTATAAAAATTTACTTCCCTTCTTTGAATTTTTTGTGATTGGTGGAAAGTCAACAATTTTAAAACTGTAGTATCAATATTTACAGGTTTTCGATAATGGAGCATGTCTGTCATGATATTTTTTTTGTTGTTATTTTTAAAACATTGCCCTTACTTTATAATAACATTATCCTGTGGTGTAAGGACGTTTATATACATAAATTTCACATGGACAAACACCCAGATTCGAAACAATTATTTGTGGGTCACACAAATAGTTGTCAGGGGTGGGAATCGAACCCACAACCCCCGGTGCCGAAAGCAATACCTTGGAAACTGCCCCACGAAGTCATCCATCGCAGTAATCCATCTGTAGCCGTTTTTTTTTTCAAACAAAACAAAAAACAACGCTTCGTTGGAGCACTAAGAAAACATTTTGTTTACACTTCATCAAATATAGCATACAATTTTAAAGGGAAATGATAATGCATTGACAGTATTACAGTTACAAAATGGTTTAATGCCATTTCATGCTAGTAGCGTTATTTTTGTAAATATCTCAAAAATTATTAATTTGTAACACCTTATGTCATTATTAACACGTAATTTACAAAATTTACATAAATGTTCATTAATTTTTCCATACATTATAAACTTTTGTTACATCATGTCAATTTTCTTTTTTTTATAATTCTAAAAAGTGTTGGTTAGAAAGAAGTAACGTTAATGCTTAAACAGATTACTTACTCGCCGTTACCATATCTTCCGACATACAGTCCATCTCCGATTCTGCTTAGAGAACCTTGATATTGAATAATAAAACTGTAGAGGGTCGCTTCGAAACCGGTATTAATCTCTAGTATTCCATCATCGTCATTTACATTAAAATTTGCTGTCTGGAACGTACTTCCACCGGCAAATGAAAATTCCACGGATTGAACTGTTAAATCATTGACTTGGAAAATGATAGCGTCTTCTCTTGTACTATGATCTTCAATGACTACTTGCGCTGCGAGTCTTCCAGTGAAAGTACCAGCATTTATATTGGGTACGATTTCCACAACATAACTTGTCACGATCATACCCGGTCTCACTTGGTTCCTTTTCTCTATCTTTGTCTCATTTATTACACGCAAATCGGGGTGACTTTCAACTTGATCTGTGTAGTTAGCTACATTTATAGCTTCTATTACCTTATTTAAATCTGGCGCATCAATAATAACATTTTTAATTGGTAAACCACATACCGAATATATTAACGTAACAAAACATAATGTCCAAAAACCACTCATTTTCACAACTTCCAAATGTCTAGTTTCGTTTAAAAATCATCAGTGTGTCTATATATTTCGTGGTAGCTAAGTAAATTGTCGATTTGACGTCCACTACATGATGGTCGATAAAGCACTAAGAGTGAAAAAGTTTTGAATTAACTATTTATTCTAAAAATGAGAGTTCACCTTTAGATAATACGAGATCAGGTACAGCGACAATCACAAAAAATCGTTCAACAAATTTGTACTATGCGCCGGTTGTCCAGCGTGTTGGCCAGTTTTCAAAAGTTTCAAATGTTCTGTGTCTTAAAACAGACCTGACTTATGTACGAACTTAGTAAAATGAATGTTTTAAATCATATCGAAATATATTTATAATATAGAAATGTTTTTATAATATAGAAAGATAATAATTATTTGTTCTTTCATAACTTAACCTTGATAGGATATATGCTTGTCTATTTATGTTTTTTATTCTAATTCTTTATTACTTTAAAAAAATATTGGAAAAGGTTAATAAAAGTCTATTTTAACGTCGTGCAATTTTTCATGGCTTTAAGTGTAAGTCTTGATCACTGACCCGTGTAAGTGTTACTATATGCTCGATAACGAATAATCTCTTATCAAGTCGGTCAGCTTTGGTAGGTGCAAGTGAAAATTCGCTAGTATTTGATGTGTTCTTATTTCTTCATGTCTGTTCTGTTGTTTTATAAAGTTTTACTTGTACACCAATATAATTATATACTTATATCAATTAGAATTAGATTGTATTGGTACTGGAATGTAAATTTTAAATAAAGACTGCGAATTGTCCATTTGCATTTATTGCAATAAGAGTTACTCTCTTTACATTTCTTTCTTCTTTATTCACGTGTTAATAGCAATTACTATCGAAGGCAAATTTTTATATTTACGCTACCACTAGGGAAACCAGGAAATGCATATTAAGTAAATATAATAATGTTAGGATTTTTATTAAAAAAGCTTATGCGCAATCTGAATAAGTATATTTATGAAAATATTAATAAACTATTCTTATACATAATAATTATGTTTAATGGCTAAGTTTTTACAAGTCAACTATTTATAATTTAGAAAATTAAAATAAATTACTTTGAAGACGTAGATTATACGTATATGGAAACAAATATGGAGATAAAAACAAGTAGGCTGCAAGTCAAAGCGTTCGCGCCACTTCGGAAGTTTTCGATCAGCCATGAGTTGACTGTGTTGTAGTTCTGTTCACTCCAAGCAATAGACGCCGCTATGTTCTCCCTGATAGCGGCTATAGCGGCAAGTTCGCCGGCGGTGAAGATCGATTGATGACGGTTGAAGAATGTGTCAATCTACAAAGGGAATTGACAATTTTATCAACATGGTAAAAACCCTATTCTATAAGCTGCAAAATCATTTATTACTGTTACAGTTTTAGATTAAGCATACAAAATGCCGACCAGATATGTATATTACATGCCAAATGACATTTCAGGCTTTTAAACTATTAGGCTTTTAAAATTTTTTTTTAAGTGCTAAAACTTTATGATTGTCTACATAGGATGGTCAATTTAAACATTTCGTTGTATATGTAGTTTTCAAAGTTGAGCCTAAGTGATTTTACTTTCAACCGTTTAACATGCTGCCAACGCCTTTATTGTATGAAGGCATGATTCTGTATACATATGTTTTATAGAGTTAGTGCTACAATTACGATATATATGTTAAACAAAGGAAAGGAGGTAAACTATAGGTTATATAAAATACGTTACCTTTGTAGAATGTTGACGAGTAGTTAATCGTCTGGCGAAAGCATTCAGGATATTGGTTGTACCGGTTAAACCTTGTACTCTGTAAAATACATCGTAAGAGAGAATAGTTATTACGATTACTCTTTAAATTAAAAAAAAATTAAATTATGCTGTTAAATTGTTCCTAATTGTTTCGAGTTTTACATGTTAAAATTGTAGGAACTTGACATAAAATAATATATATAAATGGACGTATAGACTGTTGCTGGCTTTTTTTATGTTTGCATACATACTATGTATGCAAACATATAAGGTTAACAAGTCAGGACAAGTGAAAGATGATAAAAGAATATTATCTATTTAAGACTATAAATAACAAAGAAAAGTAATTACTCGTAATAATAGTAAAACGTTTTTACATTACTTGTTCATAGTTTAGCCGAAGCTAAATCTTTTCTTTAATCTAAAGCATAAATTCTCAAGGTTGTCACTATTAATCGTATTGTTTTGATTTGGTTTGATAAATATAGGATGTAATTTTAAAAACTATGAATTTTACCTTGGCTGGATTTCAGCGAAGTTTTCTATGACAAAGTCTAATGCCACCTCCATGTTCTCTGGACTTGAATTTATTACGGCGACAATGATCGTGTGTCGATCTTGTTCACGTACAGATGAACGATCACTGATGACCTCATTGAGGTAGCTGAAAATATAAAATGTTAACCCATCAGCCTTCCAACAATGCATTGAGGTAGCTGAAAAATTTAAAAATATAATTAAAAAAAAGAACATATGATAACAATAGCATAACTACACGTTGACATAACACACATCAATATTTATTTTAATTGATATAAAGTGAGACGCTTAATTAAAAAAAAAAACTTTGCTAATTAAATAAATAGAATGTTAATCGAATGATAGAATGATAATCGATTAATAGAATGTTAATCGTGAGTTCTGTTCAGAGTTAATACAGTAGATAGATATAGTAGATGTTTGCACTGTTTTACATTGTTTTAACATTTATTACGAGAATTGAGTACGAGGTATTTGGTTGATAGTGAATCGATTTTTTTTTGTCGATCGAATCGATTGGGCTGCATGAGCCACTGTTTGCTTTAGGGGCCTTCACAGTTCCGACGGGCTTGAGGTGGCCTGGCGCACGGGGCGCCTGGCCTGAACCTCGGAAGTGGATCATCTCAAATTAAACTTATCTATAATTTCATTCCGACTCACAAGTTGCGCCGTTCCTCGTTCGAAGTGCACCCCAGGGCGTTCAGCAGGATTGACTGCTCGCTGGAGTCAGTGCTAGCTAAGTATTGTTCCCAGAGGAAGTTGAAGTTGTTTACATCGCCACCACGCAGTCCAGAGCAGAACACAGTAGTCTGAATGTCGGGGTTGAGTCGTTGGGCTGAAAAAATCACCACTCGTATAAACTCATTTTTGATCCTTCCAAGCCTATGTTGGCTTAGCTCATTCTATTAACGGAAATTACCAGCACACGATAGACAGTAAGTATTTTAAATATAACCCTTATCTATATATACAAAATGTCGCCGTTTACTGTATAACAATAAGACAGACACTAAAAAACGGAATGAAAAGTGAACAAGAAATAAAATTGGAGCTTATCCCATTTTACGGATTTTATCGCGTTTTTATTTTGATTTGAACTTCCCGACGTTTCGAACCCCTTCCAGTGTTTATGGTCTGTCCTGTCACCATGAACGCTGGAAAGGGTTAATATAAATATGCGATAAAATCCGTGAACTAGTTTCAGTTAATATGTATAATATTCGCGTAAAATAGTCAATATGTTATCCTATTCTATTTAAAGTGGTAACGATAGTTATATCTTAAAAACTAAAACAATTACAACAACACTAATACAATCCCTCTAGATTTTAATTATTTTCAGAATAAATACATTTCTGACACATTTCTGGAATAAAGACAACAGCAGTTAGTAACTAGTAACAGTAGATTCGATTTTATCATAAGCTTCATCCGATTTCGATCTTCAAGGTTCTTACCAAAGCTCATGGAAGTAGGCTTACTTAAATCTTTACCAGATTTACAAGTAGTTATTACTTTAGCTATAGTTTTAGAAATTACTGCTGCAAAATGTAAAATGTGAACCCATCAGCCTTCCAACTATGCAGATATAATATCTATAATAAGGGTTGATGAATGATTATTGTGGTAGGATATGAAAGTCGTTTCCAGATTCGTGTAAGTCGGCGTTGAGTAAATCGAGGTATAATTACTGTTTTTTTTATTTCTGTTTGATAAATTATTAAGTTACATGGAATAAATACTTACATGGGTTGTTCCTGAACCGTTCAAGCAGTTCCTGAGCTCTATTGACACAGTGCGCATTGCCATGTCGGCAATTGATGTCCAAAATGATATTCCTGTGGTAGGCGGTCACATGTTCGTCGGAAGTTTGAGCTTCAAAGCCCAATCGTTCGTACAAGGGTGCAGAAAGGTGCAGCATATACAACTACGGAAAGTAAGGTAATTTAATGAGCTGGTTTAGTTAGAGCTTTTGAGAGCAAGTGATTTCTAGTGTGCGTACGGACAATACGTCATACGGATTACATTTTCAATGTGATAGAAAACACAGAAAACCTGTTTTTTTTTTTTGTTGAGTGGAGTAATGACGTAAAATTATTTATTATAAATTCGCTTTTAACTTAAATTTTTATTCTCTTTTCTTGTAAAATTGTGTAATAACATGTTTTTTGTAACTTTTTTGATATTTTACAATAGTCTTTTTTTAATGTATCATTTCTTAAGAAAATTTGATTTATGAGTGCCAATGCCGTTAGTTTTTATTTTATCAAAGTGTCTATGAAAACGATAGACATTGAGGCGTGATAATTGATTATTGCAAAATTTACTGACCTGGAACAACTCGTAAGCCTCTGAGCCGCTGAGGACAACGTCGAGATAGTTAAAGGCGGTGTTCGCTGAAGCCCATGGGATGTAATCGGACTCGAGGACCAAATAACGCGAAATCTCGAAGGCGTAATTGTAGTTCTGCAAAAGCCAAATACTGGAGTTCAATATAAAACGGATAATATGGGTCCGAAGTGTGTAGGGAGCAGAAAAAAATCACTGAGCTGGTAATATTAGAAATTTAATAAAAAGCTTTCATTCACTATTCTCTTTATTGTGTATGTAGAGTTTTTTCTGCTAATTATGATTTAAATTTCAACGTACTTCGTAACTTCAGTTTTAAGCATTTCACAAAGTTCCTATTAACTTTTTACTTGACACATTGGTATGCCGCTATGTCAAAGTGGGTAACGGCTTTATCTAATTTGGAGAAACTTATCAAAATAGCGACTGATCATAGTCCTTGGTGAGCTGTAGTATTCAATGTATAGCGGTCAAATTCGTTTTGCTATAGCTACCATTAGTCACTGTTAATTTAGTGATGCTTTAACAAAATGTTATGATAATGCACTATCTAAACCATATTCTCCGAGGACTTAAAATCAGCAAACCTTTTAACTTGACTTCAATGCTGAGTCACGTCCCGGGCGTTTCACGTCTAGTTTGTTTAGAGAGGAGATATTAAATTTGATTGAAAACACTATCTTTATATAAAGATTAATCTTTATATAAAAATTATATTTATATATAACTCTTCTGTACGTGTGATGTCACTGACTTCCTCTTAAAAGGCTGGACCGATTTTAATGAAATTTTTTGTGTGTCTTCAGGTCGATTCAAGAATGGTTTAGATTCACAATTCAGTCCACTACAATTTTATTATTATTTCTAAGTTGTCGAATTTAAGTCATATGTACAGGACGACGTCTGTCCGGTCCGCTAGTAGTTAGAAATTAGAATGAATAAAATCCAAAATCACTCACCCACGAGCGAATAGTTTAAAGAACAAGGTTCAACTATAACGTTTACATCTAAAAAACCAAGGAAGCCGTAGGATATTGACGGATATAAATAAGAAGGAAAGGAATTTGGGAATAGTACATTTTTGTTGTGTTTGGTTTCTTTCACTGCGTAAATGTTGCGCAATCGGACATAGTGTTTGCGTAAATATAAGAACAAGAGAATGACTCATTTTAGAACTGACGGAAACCCGAATTAACAATGACATCGGCGCGTCTGGCATATCAGTCAATCGATTTTAGATAGATTCAACGCACGCACACTTGGTCATGTTTGCATTTAAAACTCTTCAAAGCTATTTTGCTGCATGATAAGGCTATTTTGCTGAACGATAAGAAAATTAAAAAAAAAAAACTGTTTACTATGTAAGCTAACTTCGACGCTATTAATAACACAGGATAAGCGATATTCCCGTGGGTAAAGTACGTATGACGATTCGCTGATCGATCACGCGAGACTTGTTCAAACGAGATAAAAGGCATGAAGCCATTGGCATTTAGTAAAACTTTGGAATATTATTTTATAAGATAATTCAGCTATCTCAACTATATTAAGACCAATAACGGAACTGATTAAATATAATGTAAACCTATTTTAAATGTGTTTTGATAAAATATTCGCTTTTTTTTTTTAAAAAGGTCAAGCTATAAAAAGATATTATTTAAGTCCTTGATATTGAGTACGTGAAAATATTTTTGAGTGATTAGGGTAAGCAAACTATTACATTTAATGGATTAGTGTCATTTTCATTAATTATTTTGGTCCATCCGTCTTGTATGAAAATCGAGAGGGTGGCGGGAAATATCTAGGTCATAATACGATATGCTTTTGGTGTTATACTTTTAAAGTGTGCATTTAAAGTATAAAATAAAAAACAATTTTGTGTAATATTACATACAATTTTATGTAGTATTAAGGTTTAAATGCTACATTGAAAAATGAGCTACGTGCTCTTTGAACCACCTCTCAAAATGGCCGTGTTGATAAATTTGATATTCTGTCGCTGCCGATATCATTGACGTGGCGTTCCCGCCTAACCTAAACCGCCACAGGTGAGTGTGTTTTCAGAGGTTATTTTTTAAAAAAAAGTTTATGTTTTTTTTTTTAATATTCTTTATAGTTTACGGACTGAAAGCGCTAGTATCAGTTTAAAACATAAACGTAAATTATTTTCAGTATCTTCTCGTTTGCTGCTACTTCGTAATTCACGTGTTGAAATTTTTTGACGTGTAATGATAAATCATTTTATTGCATCACTACAATAATAAGTATATAATTAAATGCTAACGTTATTTGGACGATAATATTAGTCACGCTATGTTTTAACGACGGTCGAATTTGACCATGGTCCGTAAGTTTATTGAATGAATGTCCACATACCTACTTTATATACATTAACGGAGGATATTCACAATGCACTAATGGTTCAATAAGTTTCTAATCAACCATTTAATTTAATCACTGCGTGTCCTCTATATTGATATTAGGTTTAATTAATTTTTTGCAAGATTGACAAGGAGTATACATTTGTTTTCTCAAGTTAACTGTTAATTTTAACAAATTGTACGTTAAAAGAACATATGTGTATCAACACCTTTTTAACTTATTGTGACTTTTACTTTCAAATTCTTAAAAATAATGGACGACGATTATGCCTCTGAATGAATTTGATTAGGTTTTTTTCTACAAATTTTAAACTTCATCTTAAGTGCAGAGAATATTACCATAAACATTAATATAATTTCTATTTTGACTGTTAATACATTTTTTTAAAAGTTTACATGATGATACTTTAATTAAGTTTTTAAAATTAACTTTAATTAATTAACTTTTATTTTTATGATATTTTTGTTACGTCTGTAGTTAAAGCATTCTGCGAATCTAGTTCGACACTTTGAAAGGTATACGTGCTGCTAGAAGATAAGGATATACAATTTTTAGATTTATTACGACTAGCCTGAACAAACTGTTTGTAAAATAATACTTTTATAGTATCAGATGAGTAATTTTAACCAGCTTTACACATTTATGATCAGATTTTTATTATGACTTACTTCTTAACCAAGGATGAAAGAAATTAAAATAAAATTTTATGTATTTTCGGAGATAACTCTTTACCAATATTTGTCACACGGTATCTCCTCAAGAGTGGTTCCTCTGATGAAAGTAACTAGGGTGTATATCTTCAAAGGTCAGCAATGCATATAATTTTTACACGGGTTTGTAAATATATTATATATATCTAGACGTAATTAATTAACATCAGATGAAATGTTTATTCACTTGCAAATTTCTCTCTTAAAAAAATCTTTCTATTTCAATTAATCTAAATTTGTGTAAAAGTATTCGATTAGATTGGTATTCGATATAGTTATGCAGATATCTTTAAAATGTTTAATTTATATAACGAAATATTTATAAATAAATTTATTGTCTTTAATGATTGTTTGAAGCCATGTTACTTGTCACAATAGCGCTTACTATTTATTATCTTTAATTTCTATAAATTATTTTTTTTAATAATGTAAATTTCTAATTATTGACCGACAGATTGACGAACACTCTAACCGTGATGTAATTTTAGTTCGAAACATTGTTTAGTGGCTGTTTTTGCGGTAGCGTGAACGTGATACGAACGTGAGACATAGAAAAAGTATTTATCATGTTTTTAAATTACGTTGACAAAATACGATATTAATTAATATCTATGGCACTTAACATCTATGGAAAGCGCTTTGGTTATCAAAAAATTCAAGATATTTTTGGAAATCAAAGGAAATACTGTAAAATCATATCATTACTTACAAGTCTTTCGTTCCTCGCCAGATTGAAAGAATCATCCACAATTTGAGCTCGGTTGAGAACGTGGATGGTTTGATGGCTTGTGTTTAGGACTCTCGCCAGCGCTTGCCAATTTTCAACGTCATAGTTCACCCGGTAGTAACCTGCATCAGACAATTTTCACGTTAACTTCTTGAAATAATAATGTATACTAATCATAAGATTTATATATATTAGAAAAAAGATTTTGATTTTGTTGAAGAACGATGGTAGGGCCACACAACCCTGTTGCACGAACGGGCAGGTCCGTCCGGGTAGGTACCACAACCTCACAGAAGACCGAGTGGGATAGCCGGGGGGGGGGGGGGGGGGGGGGCTTTATTAGAAGGTGGCAATGCATTTACAACCCTACGAGTGTTACAAATGTCCATGGGCGGCGGTTATCACTTAACATCAGGTAAACCGTCGTCGTTTGCCACTTACCCACATAAAAAAATTATTTTGTTCATTATTTAAATCCTCGATGTCATGTTATTTATGTCTATATTGATTATTGTAATATTTATTGTTATCATTTTGTTATTAATTACAAAATAATTGCGTTGTGTGGATGTAATACATCCACACAATGCAATCATTTAATAATTAATTATGAAAATTTTATAATTAATTATTGAAATTAACAATACTCTTGTCACTACTACATAAAATACATAGTTTGAGTAGACGCCTGAGCAATACATTTATGCTTATATGAGAACAAAAATCATCTGGCTTAAAATTAAACAAAGTAATGCTATAGTGAAACTAAATTAAAGCTGAGTTTTTGAAATTATTAGAGTTGCTACGTAAAGCTTTCTCCGAGTATAAGTGACTCACCAGTTTGCTGTTTGTTGACGATATACCAGCTAGCGTTGGATAGTCCAGGTATATCAACTGCTACCGCGGGGAAAGACGGTGGCACCCAGGCCTGGGGGCTGGTGTCTGAGAAGTCAGCATTGGTTGAAAGCACCCAGTTGATTGGCACGTGCCAACGGTGTGTCGAGTTCAATTGACGGTTGGTCAGGAAACGTTCCTAAAAGAGAGTAAAGGAACAAAAGGTTAGATTATGTAAAAAGAACTATTTACGTAACGTAAATATTTCCACACGGGACGACACGTATTTTTGTGACGAAAGCATCATTGCCTAAGTTCCTGATGAACGAACGAAGTCATGAAAAATATATTTTGCAAAATGATTCGTATTATCTAGCAAATGGCAAATTATTTAAAAGTTCAATTTTTGTATAACGTTTTATGCAGAGGTTCCCAAGGTTTTAGTTTGCTTTCTTTGAAAGTGTTGTGATTTGTTCTAACAAAACATCGCGAAATATTACCTGTGAAATGAATATAGATTGTGCGCTTGGTGCTGATCTCCTAACATTTAAGACGGGGAAGCCTCCTTGGTTCGTCCAGCGATCTAGGACGGTAGTCAGTGGGAAAGGAATACTGTGTGGTGATTCATCTAACGCCTGCTGCAGTGCAGTGTAAAGGTCTTGAGGGCCGACTGCACGACGAGAGCTGTAAAATAAATATTACTCCTCTAATGTAATTTATAAAAGTTATTATACATATAATTTTTTCATCTTTACTTACTGTAGTAGGACTACGCAACAGTGTTTGGTGGAAGTAAAAGGTTTACACTACTGTGTTTCATCTGGGAAGTGAGGTAGCCGGGTCCCACTTTACAAAAAGGTGACAACGCATCTGTAACCCAAATGTGGGTGTTGCAAATGCCCAAGGGTACCACTTTTTGAAATTAAAAAATCTTTACCATTTATAATTAATTGTGATTACTCGTTGTTACAAACCTTGATTCTTTTTGTGTTATTTATAACCATGATTTTTTAATAACAGTAATATTTTGCATCGTCCAATGTTAAGATAAGGACTGAGAGAGAGAGAATGTCACCCTGAGGCACACCCGCGCTTCGTTCACAAGAGTTAGAGAATGTATTTTCTATGCGAACGCGCTGCGAGTGGCCTCGAAGATATGAGTCAAACCAATTTATGGAGGAAGAGGAAATGTTAATTGAATGAAGGATGCCGAGGAAAATATCAAAGTCAACAGAACAAAAAGCGTTACTGAAGTCAAGCAACACCAGTAAATTAAGTTTATTTGTCTCCATAGCCCATCGAAAGACATCTGTAACTTTGAGGAGAGCAGTAACAGTACTGTGAATGGGTTGAAAACCGGATTGGAAAGGACTTATAAGCGAATGAGAATATAGAAAAGTGGATAATTGAATATGGGCAATGTGCTCAAGAACTAAATTGAACTGAAATTTTTGTCAAAAGTGAACTAATATTGTTGACAAAACTGAACTGGAAAAAATGTGTAAAAGACATACATACATAATTACGTTTTGAGTATTTATACTAGCAGGAGTGTTTCTTTTCGAGTCGCGTATCCGATTATTCCACTGGGTTACTGATGCCATCTACTAGGCACTAATTTGTTGTTTAATGATTTTTTTGTTGTAAGAACTCCTATGGGATTGAATGTGACTTTTTACCTTAGAAGTAGTTAAGTTTTCGAAACTCATCCACTGTAAGTGTGTGATAGAATTCGTAAATATAGTTTCATTTACTTTTCAACAAATTTTCGTAAATGAAATTGTAACGTCTTTTCTAAACACGTCACTGTTATTCGAATAGTCGACCTCATACATTACTGTCCATAGCCGCATGCCGTCACTACCTACTCGTACAATATTTCCCATAAATTACTAGTTTAAGCATGCAATTTTTGTCAAAAAATATGTAAGTAGTATTAAGAACTATCACTCACTTCCTCCGCAAGTAGATGATGAGACCTCTGCGGAATATTTCAGGCGTTAGGAAATGCTGCATCATACGAATCACAGAGCCAGCTGGAATGGAAACGACATTTTTATGAAAACGTGAAAATATGCAATAAAGATTTTTACCCCTATTATTGTTCTTTATTTAATTTTTATATTTTAAACAAATGTTGGGATTTTCTTCGAATGCACGTTCACGGACTATAAAAATAACCTGGCTCGAATATCGAAAGTGAAGTAAGTCTGATTGTTTATACATAAATCCCTCAAGCACACGTTTACATTATAGTAAGTCGATCACCCGGTAAAACGAGGTACGACGGCTTCTATGTACATACAGCTTACGAGTAGTAAAAGTAAAATCATCTTGTGATGCGAAATCATGTAAAAATAAAAATAAATCCCAGGAAATTGTCGAGGAATAACATAACGCAGGTACGGTTTAGTAACTTTTAGGTGGTATAATAATGTAAATCATCGAAATCCTGCATGCGTATAATAACTACCTATTCTTATCGTATTTCGTGAAAAAGTTCTATTCAAGTACTTCACACCGATAAACGTTGTATCTTTTTATTTCACAATTTCGATAAGGTTTAACCTAAGTAAATCCAAACGAAAGAGATAGACATGTCTCAGGGGAATAATTTTTACGCACTTTATTTCATTTTACATGGAATTACTCGGTGTTACAAATCAAGAAGTTCTAAACGAGTTAAAAATATTTATTGTTTCTATTATCAAGATCATATTTCCATATACAGGTTGGCTTTTCTAAGTGTATCCATTTTTTTTATCAGATTCTAGACATAAAAAATGTTAAATATAAAATGATAAATATTTAAAATCACTTGTAAGTAATTAATTACATTTATTTGAACTTATCTCAAAAAGTGCGTGATTTGTACGCAACTTATTTATTTTACGCGCGATCATTCATAACTAACACGCACACAAGTTCGTGCAAATAAAATTTAGGTATTTATGAATGACTACCGCATAGTCAACACATTCTGTTTTTAGGGAATAGAATGTCATATTTTTGGAAAAAAGAACTTTGTTTTGTATTTCAACATACGACAAACGATTATACTACCGAGTCTGAACCTCCTGTGTAAATTTGGACACTTCTCGAAAAATCTCCCTGTATTTATGTATTTTGGAAAGAAGGCAAATATGACATAAATTTTTAACTTAGTATTATTTTAATGATGCAGCTTACATTTTTGGTACGCAACCGCATTGAAAGTGCCGAGGACTTGGGAAGGAGTGAAGACGGGATGGGTCATTGGATTGACGCTCAGCACGGCGTCGTTTTGGAAGACATTTTGTAATAGCAGCACGAACTGATCCATCATTCGCCATTCCGGTAGCACCTGGAATTATCGTGTAGGATAAATTAAAATAATCATTTGAGATGGACTGTGCTTACCTTATTTGGTGATTGTAAAAATGTGAAAATTAACAGACATATTAATATAACAGAGAATTAATTCTCATTAAATGTTCGCTTTACTCAATTTAGATTTCGATTTTAAAGTGGTATACAGAATAAGGCAATGCTTTAACGTGCTGTAAAGTAGTTTATGGGATGAATTTTAAACTACATAGTTACTGGACCTTGATATTAATTAATCTCCTGCCTACAGAGGAATTTTGAGAAGAAATTAATTGGAAAAGAAACAAAATGCTTTTGTCATTTAGTCATAATTTAAGAGAGATTCTGTGGGGGAGGATAATGTTCAGCAGTCGATAAAGATGATGACGATGAAGAGAGAAAGAGAGAGAGAGAGAGAGAGAGATTAAAGAAAGAGAGAAGAGAGAAACAGAGAGTAAAGGCATAGCTTACCAAGTCCGTAGCGAAATTCTCAAAGAAATTAGCAAAGCCTTCGTTCAGCCACGTGTACGTCCAGTTAATGGGGCTCACTTCATTGCCGAACCACATGTGAACATTTTCGTGGCAAATGATTCTGCCAATGTTTTGCTTCGTAGCTGTCGTCGTAATGCCATCACGTACAAGAAGAGCGACTTCCCTGTTGAAAAATGAAAATTTAAGAAAATTCTATAAATAAAACCAATGTATTGCAATTTTTTCGTCCATTTATATTACAATTAGATTTGGATATTCAAACTCTCGTCAACATCAATTGACTTAAGTTTACCTATGTGATACTCAAATGTGATAATTAAGTAATTATAACATTTCAGTATCACATACGATATTTAAATATTTACACATACGCACCGTTATGATAAAAGTTCAAACTTACACGCACTTTATTTTGCAGCTTAACCGACTAAAATAATGATGGAACGTAAATATTAAATAGCTATTATATAATTCTATGCCACAAGACATATTTAATTAGCATAAACTCTAGTAACATTTCACTTTACCTAATTATACCACATTAACTTATTATTTTACATTACGAGATATTATTTATTCACTAATACAATCTATTAATTTATCCAACATATATACCTCTCGGTCCTAAGCTCTTTGTATAAGTCCCACTTATAACTCTCCTGACATAATTTATTAAAAATTACAATTTTTATAGTGCTAATATCTGCACTTAAGATTAGTGGCTAAAGCTTCAGGGCTCTAATCCCGAAGACATGGGTTCGATTCTTACAGCGGCGAAAGACTTTTCGTACTTTTTAAAACTTTCATACTTTCGTAAATTTTAATAATTTATTAATTTAAGTACCTTAAAAAGTAACTTAAAACACATGATTAAATAATGTAACTTCATATTGTTTCAATTGTACAAAGTTTACTATAGATAGATTATTTATTTATAAGGCATGAGCAATGCAAGCAATTGACAATGAAATTATGTACAGCTATATCTTAAAATATGTAAAGAGTATAAAAGGTCAAAAAATGTATCTAAGGCCCAAAGACTAGATTGAGACAGCCCAAACGAGAAAAGTAGCAGTAAATTATGACGTAACGCGTTAAATAAAACCGCTACATGTAGAGAGGTTTATTTGTAAAGCTCGAGCAGGCTTGAGTTTTTCATTACGCGAACTACCTCCCTAGTGGCTAATTTAGTGAGTGCGCCATTTTCAATTGCTCTTTCTTAATGAGTTCTCAGCCGTTGCTACCGACTTACACGACCTACTTGTGAATGACAGGCATCTGCGGACGTCACGGGCGTGGACGTTATGAACTCAATTTGGAACATTCTAGCTGAATTACATAATAAAGTAAAATTTTATTTTTAATTAGACAATGGATAGGCGTTAGCGACATTGTTAGGGAATCCAATTTTAGTCCGACGTTCCTGTCGCCAATGGTAACTCATTATTTTAAACTTTTCTTTTATTAAGTATGTTTTTTAAGTTGTACGTATTTAAAAACTTTGTTTAACAAATACAACTATTTCAGTATGTTTTAAGGTTTTTAATATTGCGGACCGTATATCACTTGAGATTTCTTTTTCGATTTTACGAATAACTTTAAAATTATTAAACGAGTGTTATTAGACATTCTTAGTGTAAATCGGGTACTTTTATACACTTACTCGTATAATTACCACATCATAAACGTTTTACAAAAATGCTCATATCACCTTAGTCTTGTTATTAATAACTTATAGTCATAAGTCCTTATTTGTAAAATAGATTACAGGCTGTTTAGTCTGTCTATTTATATTTTACACTGAGAAACAACAAATGAGTAGGTAGTAATATTGTTATTGGTATATTATTGGTATTTTAGAGTCCGGTTAATGTACCTGTAAATTACAAGTCCCCAGTTCTCCATGGCACCAGCAGCAAAATCTGGGACCGCTGCCTTATCCATCTTGGGGAAGGCATATGTGAACTCTGTATAGTTCTCAAGTGCTATCATGTTTCTCTGGCCGAAGTCTAGGGCGAATGCTGCCGTGTTTTGGGTTCCAGGTCTAGAGTAGACTCTGAACGGTACATTGTAGAGCGGTCTTTGTTCGTTGGTGACATACTCGAACTTGGAGACCAAGTAAGCAATAAGGTACGTCGACATGACAAGCGTGTCCTGGAATTCGTGTTTGCGGAAGCCCTGCACCTCAGGCCTGGAATCGAAAAGAGTTTTGTATTAAATATAGATAACTGAGCTCCCTCTTAGTTTGATTTTTGCTTGACAGTGTGATGATACTGCTCATGTTTTTGATTCAATTAGTAACAGATTTGTTGACATAAAAACATTTGGCTATTAGAAGTAAACTGTGTTTTACGCATGTAAACAATTTGCAGGGAGGTATACGTATATAGGCACTTTACGAGATTTAAGAGAAAGAAACAATATTATTATAATTAATTAATTACTGAACTTATATGTTATATTTAATTATATTTCATTACTGAACTCGCTTGACCTACCTACTGTTATTGATAACGCAACATTTACTGACAAAATTATTAAAATATTTTTCGTTTTCAGACGTACAATCAATATAAAATACAATTGCTTTGATTATCTATGTTACATATTTTGATAACAGTTTTTTGTAATTAAATAAAATGCGTACTTCAGAAGGTCGCTCCTCTCTGGCATATTGCTCCTTACTACGTCGTACTCGGGTGGGGAGTAGATAGTTGTTCTGAATACAGCTTTATAGGCAGGTTCGTCGTAACACGGGAAGGCTCGTCGTGCGAAAGTAGGTTGCAACTGGGATGTAATAAGACGCCTGCAAAAAACATTTGAAGCGTTTATTGAATATTAAACAAGATTCTTACCTATATGTACACAAATATAAAAATACATTATTTTACTTCATTAGATACTATTATCTAAATGTCACAAGGGAAATTTTTGAAATCATTAAAGAAAGATTAAAATAGATGTGTAAATTAAGAGAAAAATAGCTTGATAATTGTTTTTAATATAGAAATCGGGACAAAGATCGATACCTCTACAACATTCTAGTGTCTTATGACTATCGGCTACGGACTGGGATGTTTGTCTGTCATGATGGGTACTGTATATTATATATTACCTTAAGATAAGGGCCTTTCACCTAGGTAGGACTTAAATAAATAATTTAAAAAATGTTTACTTTAACCCGTGCTAAATATGATAGTAGGACGGCAAAAACCTTAATCGTTTGTAATTTACAATTAGATGAAGGCGATAATAAGTATCTGAAAATACAATTAAATATTCTCAACAGATTTTATTGTGTTGTTTGAGGTCACAAAGTACACAAAAAGTTTAAGCGTATCATTACGACCCGAATGGCGTAGTGGGTAGTTTACCTGCCTCCTGCGACAAAGGTTGTGGGTTCGATAAGTATGTTTATCAGTTATCTAGCACCTATAGTACAAGCGATGCTTAGTTTGGGACTAGAAAACGTTGTGTAAAAATGTGTCTTAAAAAATACTTACTGCGTTCCAACACCTGGCTCTTCGTAAGTAGAGACGTAAATGCCGAACATGTTTTCAGCGTATCTACCAACGTAATCGATATTTACCAAATACGCCTGGTTTGCGACGTACGGCGTGGTGGTCCTTATAGTAAGAAAATGGGTATCGTCCGTGGCCAGCGTGTGGCTCTGGTAGATGTTCAGCTGTGGGCTGCTTTCGAGGAAAACGCTCACTCTGTTTATCTGCATCTCCATCGCCTGCAGGACTATTCCGGTCGTGTTCCTAACGGGGATGACCCTGATGGAGACGCTCCCGTTGAACGAGGCGGGTGCGTCCGGGTTCATGTACAGCCTCACGTCGTAGAACGTCGGGTAGGACTCGCCGGGCAGCACGTAGTGCTCGTAGTTCACGTTCCTCTCTGCGACCGCGTCGCTCACAGGGACACTCAACGCCGTCCCAAGAACGGAGACGAACAGGAGTAAATACATTTCTGGAAAAAATGGTATTCATCATCAACATATCAGCCGTAGGAAGCCCACTGCTGAACATACGCCTCCCCCATTGACGTATGAAATCGTATTACTGTTGCGTAATTATTTTTATACATTCAGATGCTTAGCTAGGATCCAATATGCTGGTAAACGGTGAAATTTTATCTGAATAACGAAAAACAAAACTGACTTCAAATATTCTGTTTAAGTATATATAAGACTCTGTATTCATTTTATAATTAATCATCACGATTTTCCTAATTATCTCTGGAGCCCAAGATTCAATACTAATGATTAATAATTAATATGGGACCACATGGCACCGGCTTTCAAATAAAAAAATAATCATCAAAATCGGTTCTCTCAGTAGAAAGTTCTGAGGTAACAGACATAAAAAAATACAGTCGAATTGAGAACCTCCTCCTTTTTTGAAGTCGGTTGATAAATGTTTCGAAGGACCAGGTGGTTCACCTAAACGCATCATATTTTGAGTAACATTCTCAGCCAATTCAGCCAATTCGACCAAGTATAATTTTGTTTACATGAATTTTGAGTGCATGATATTTCCAAGTATGTGCAGAGATCGTAAAGTAAAATTACTCCTTCCAAAAAGAAACTACTTATGCCCGGTTCCTATATTCAACGAACGGCCGTTAGTTACATAGTTTCGTAACTTCCATAACTTCTTGCAGATAAAAAGTGTGTGTACCCGGGTCCTATATTAACAAAACGAGGCGTTTTCCTTAAGAGTCGTTGCATTACCCACGGAAAGTGAGGTTCTAGCGTTCCTTTAATCTACAAGTCGCTATGAAAGTTACGAAGCTATGTAACTAACGGCCGCACGTTGAATATAGGAACCGTATTTACGTACCGTAAAGTCGCTTTAGATGCGATATTTATTTTTGTAAAATAAATATCGCATCTAAACCGACTTCAGAACAGACATCTACAATTTTTAACTTAGATTTAGAACAATATTTGATAAAAAATATTTTAGGACCAATGCTTAGCAGGAGAAACTACAAGAAATAAAACTATAAAAACAGTTTTCGTAAAACAAACAGTAGAACAGCTCTAATATCAGTTTTATAAGTTTGAATTAAGAATATAGGCAGGAACATCATAATGACTACATAACAAATGGTTATCCCTTTGAATAGTTATTTAGTACGTGCCAGTACATGATAAATGTAATAACATTGTTAAAAGTAATCGTTATTCGTAAAAACTTTGATAAGATTAGTATTATAAATTATTTATTGTTTTAATCCTAATGGCATACATCAAAAATAATCTAATCTAAATAATATGATCTCATCGAAAAAATTTATATGTGCATTTTGTCGAATGAGAGAAAGCCCAAAGAAATATCTAATATATAAAATTTTCGTGTCACGGTGTTTGTAATTGAATTTCTCCGAAACCGCTCAACCGATTTTCGTAAAATTTTGTGTGCCTATCGGCCAAGGTGGAGAATCGGACAACATCTATTTTTCAACCCTCTAAATATTAAGGGTGATCGAACCCAAACATTTTTTCTACTCTATAAATAATTTATATGGCAAAACAACTTGAACACACATGAACTTTTTTGTTTTAGCACCCAAATTAAGGCATTTTTATCATGAATTTAATGGTTGAATTTCTACAGTTTTGATTTTTTTTTTTCTAAATATTTTGCTATTATTTTAAGTCAGGAGTCAATTGATTCCTGCTATTAGTTTATCGGGTTTGGGTCAGCGAGGAAATTTTTCTTAGCACCATACCTCGTGGACTAGATTTATTGGATTGTATTAAAAATAGATTTTAATTTTGTAAATATTCGATATACTAAAGTTTAATTAAATAAGTGAAATTGACTTGCTAGGGATAAACATAACTATGATTAATGTGGTGGAACAATATTTTTTTGTTACTAAGTTGCCAAAAAATGTTATTGAGTAATTAAACTTTGTAAAGTATTCTAGTTCTTTTCAGTGTTGCATAAGGAAAAATTCAAATTACAGAAGTAATTACAAGTAGCTATTTCCATGTCTGATTCGAATAGTATAAAAAGAGATTTGCATAAAGAGAGGCTTAGCCCAATCAAGCGTATTATGTTCTAAATAATAACAGGCAACAACATCTAATTCAAATAATATACAGTTAGACACGAATTTGATACAAGGATTTTTGCTAAAAAACGTTGATAAAAATTATAATCTCTCTTCACATTACGACAATTTTAAATAATAGACATAATTATGTATGTTATGAAGTTTAATGACACTTAACTATTTCTCGAAACGCCTATTATTAGATTAGCTATTGACAATATTTCGTAATTGCGAATAAAAATTGTTGAAAGGTACTTACTGAAAATGTATTTACTGGCCCACTGACATTGATTGAATGAATTCGTCAGATAATGTTTTAAATAAAGGATTGGGACACTTTGGGGATCCTTTTGAGTAGCGACTGGACCAATGAAACCGTGTTGTTGATTTACCGTTTGTGTTTTTGTAAAAAAAAAAGTGTAGTATATTGAAATATTTCACATAACAATCAATATCGTCTATATATCTATAAAGTCTATCAGCATATCTAACAAACCCGTCAGAATACTGTTCTGATTGAATTACAATACTCTAATTGCAATACATTACTCTATCAATATTAATGAGAATTGTCATCCTTCGAGATGGAGCGGGGAAGCGGGAAGAGATGATTTTTCGGTCGCAACGCTTTTTGAAAAGTGTAAATTTTCACTCCCTTGTCTGACATGATGTTGGCAGAATTCTTTTAAGAGAAGCCATTTATTAAAGAAAGAAGAAGAAGTGTAAATTGAGATAGAGAATATAAAATTATGTGTCCATTAAGCATTTAAGTTTCGAAGGTATCCATTTTTTATATGATAAGATGACAAGTGAGCTGCCTATTCTGTTGATGGCAATAACCGCCACACATGGACATTTGCATCACCCGTAGGGTTGCAAGTGAGTTGCCACCTTTCATTAAGTGGGCTCTGATTACCTCATTTACCAGTCGCAAACGCAAAAGTATAAAACTTCCAATACACGTCTATCTCCTGTGAGGTCATGATACTTCCTTGGACGGACCTGCCCCTTCGTGCAACAGCGCAGACTTGCGTAGCCCTACCACAGCTTTATAACAATCATAGAATTGTGAAAAAGGGAAATAAGACATGCATCTTATTCGCCAATATTTTCGTCATAAGGCCCCAGCGCTGCGAAAAAACATTTTTTCATCGTAAGTAACTCCGTCTTACATACACGAATTGAATTACATCCAGAAACGTAATTATTGTCTTCGTGTCGTGCTGATAATTAATCCTCACCGGAATTGAATCGCGACCAACGAAGCCGAAGCCAACAGCTAAAACGATGAAATTTTGCATTTGAATTAATACGGAATCCTATTATTTATTTTTATCTTTTTTTCGCAATAATAATGCCTACTTATCTGCGATTAGCGCAAAATAATCGATTCACTTAATACTTTATCAGTATCGTGATTAGCTACGTACTAATCTCACCGAATATTTAGACGCGACGCTTTGAATTTTATTTATTATGACAGATATCGATGGTCACCGATAGCAGAGAAGTACTGTCAATGCCAAATCCTTCATAAATCGCAAGCAATTAACCTTGAGTAAACCTCAGAATACTTTTACGACGTAATAGAGCGGTTTTAGAGCATTTTGGAAATTGCATATTTCCTCCAATAAATATTAAAATAAGATAGTATAATATAGAAGAAAGTAACTAGTCCATGGACATGCACAACGAACAAACATAAGTAAAAAACTTTTCTACGTGTCGCTGGAGAAGACACGTTTGTGAAACAGCATGAAGGATTAATGTGAAAATTACAACTTGTTCTTAAAGCCACCACTGAACTTTAATACTATTAATTGACGTCCTTTGTAGGTTTTAAGTCAATTTTGTGATAGGTAATCTTTTGGTTAATTTAATGTTAAACTTTTAACGGGATATTAAAGGAAATTACTGATCCAAAAATAATAATTTAAGCGATTTATAAAATTTCTAAAGTAGCAATTTTTTTATTATTTTAGTTATTATTTTAACTAATTATTAGATTTACTTTTGTACTGCTTGTTTAAAAAATTAATAGCAATGATCGTCCGTAGATCAACATCGAAAACTCAAATAAAATTAATGGCTCATGACTATTATCCGTCATATTAGAAAGTTACATAGGAAAGTCGCTATTACATGCTTGAGAAACTGTAACTGATATTTTTGAGGGATCATCCTTATACAAATAAGCCATGAAATTGAGTACATGGGATGCTGCTCACGTCCGTTACTTGGATTTTCATGCTCTCAAGCTGCATCAAGTGTCCCCTTGGTAGTGATAAACGTTTAAAGAAATTGGTGATGGACCTCACAATTGGCTGCCGGGTTCAAGATACCAGCCAACTTCCTAATGCATGTTGCCAAACGAAGCGTCGTGTTTCGGCATGGTATCGAATGGAGAATGGGTCATAAGTGATTGTAATTACGGAGGCTTGATGGCGGAGATTAGCGGAATTGAAAGAATGGTGCTCCGCTAGCCACCGGAAGTCCGGAAGGGAGTCTGAGAAAAGTGCCAGCCACACATGAAAGGCTACCTCGCCAACTGTGAATTAACCCATGGTGGCCTCAAGACGATGGCCCCATCGTGATGGTGATCTCTAGGTGGGTTAGGGTGTCCCGGCAATCTCCAGATACATTCACTCAACAGAGTCTGTACAGAGGGTATTAGGGCATAGTCCACCACGAGGACCCACTGCGGATTGGCAGATTTCACATATCTTCGAAATATTTTTTTTTGTCATTATTTCTAAAATGTGCAGGTTTCCTCGTGATTTTGTCATTCACCGCTGAGCAAGTGATAAGTCAGCACTTAAAATTAACAATTACATTATTTCTGGCACCGGGAATTAAGAGCTCGGGTTGCTCGAGTGTATTGATTTATAGGCGAGCGCCAGG